CATCCACAGACAATAACCATGATCAGTCCACTTTATTTCAAGGTAGAACAAGTAGGATTGAATTTTAAAGGCTATGGACCTTATTCTCGAAAACTTAACTTTTAGGATTTTAGTGTTCCAGTCATCTGATTGGTCAATCACTAAAATTGATTTCAAATTTGGTTTTATTATCCAATCAAATTAGTGTATTTCTTCAGTTTTTGAGAATAAGGCTCCAGACTTATATTGTGGTTATAACTGCTACCTTCAGATAATATGGACTTGGGCCTTATTTTCAAAAACTAAACTAAGATAAAATCCATATTTTAAAAATACAGTTATCTGATTGGATAATAAAACTGAATTTAAAATCAATTGTAGTGATTGACCAATCAGATGATTACAACATTAAAATCTTATAACGTTAAGTTTTCAAGAATAAGGCCCCAGATCTTGTAAATGTTTTGAAATGTCCCCAGATGTTACTGATACTTTGGCTTGACTAGAGCTTTCACTGAGAAACATCAGAATATATTTCACTAGATGTTATAACAACCTGATTATAATTAGGTCAAGGCACATGTAGACATGAAGACACTGTGTGTTGTTTTTATATTTATCTGTAGACTTAATTACAATTCAGAGGCTTCTTGTCATAAACATTGTAACTAAATCAAAAATCAAACTAACATATATTACAAAGAATTCTTGAAGTTGTGAAGTCATAAAATTAGTTAATTAGATTTCTAAAAGTTAATTAGATATGAAAATCGTAAATTAAAAACAAGAAGCCTCTGATCTGTTAAAGATAAGGTAGTATCCATTAAACTCTTTAGGTTGTCAGGATTTCAATTATGTATGGTCTAACTTCAAGAGAAAATTACCGGTTTGTTGTTAATTTACATCTGAATTTCTCTTTGTTTTGGTAATAGTTTTTATTTTTGAACTAAGTATAACTTCTAATTAATTACAAAAGATAATTAGATTATAATTTTAAACTTTGATGACAATCTGTTGTCAAGAAGTGATGACTTAAAAAAAAAAGCAACAAAAAACCTGTTTTAAAGTCATGGGAATTTTTTTCTGTTCATAGCAATAAGACAAACTCTGTTAGTTGGTTTGAAAAAGAGTTTGGTAGTAATGAGGCATTAGTAAGTCCAGGATTACACAATACTGATTTATACAGGTGAAATAATGTGGGTCAAATGTGATTATGCACATGCAGGATTGTTTCTAAAAATAAACGTGACCAGTTCATTTTACTTTAAGGTGGACTAGGTAGTTATGCATACAATATTAGTCGAGCTAGAGTTAAGACCAAAATAGACTGTCCTGTTATATAATGCCCTGCATGTGCATAATTATCTTTGGCCTACTTAATATAGCTAAAGCAAACAGTTCTTTAAGCAACATGCTACAATAGACATCTTGCTATACTTATAGCAAAATTTTGCTTTTTAAATGATTAAGTCAAGTTAGCTACCCTAGGCTTGCTTTTAAAATATTTCTAATAGCTTTACGCTGAATATATATCCAGAATTAAAATCATATATATTTTAAAGATTAAAAGAGTAAAAATAATACTTCAAACTTGTGCTTTATGATTAACATTAAAGCTATGCAATTTATAACTCGTATAAACGCTGATGAATAGGTCTGTAAAAACCAGAGAAAATAGAAACTAGCCTAACCCTTTCTATCCCTTCTTAGTCTTTTAGTTTTTGTCTAGCCTACAGATAAAGACTAAGCTAGGCAATCAAACTCTTATTATTAACTTGGGATACTCTTTGCTTTGTGTAGTTGTTTTAATTTTATTTAGAAAGAACATTGAAAGTTTATAGTTTATAATTTTAATTAGAACAAGCTCTTTCCTTAATAAAGGATTTGTAGGTCTGCTGCATAGAGAAGGATCCTAGTTAGCTTTACAGGGAATAGTTGTCCAAATACGAGTTCAGGTCTTATTAGATCTATTGTTGTTAAATGGATTGTAAAGATTTGTTTTTGAAGTTTTTGTGTGTATTTAGCTGATTATGACATTGCAAAGGCCCTTAAATATTATCAGCACTTTTTACAATAGTGACGTCATGAAAAATTTAAGTAATAATGAAGCTGTAAGAATCACAGACATCTGATTGAAAAGTGTAACTTTGCAAATCGATGCTATCAGTGACCCAATACACATGAAAAGTTTATAAAACAACTTTATAATCCTAGTAGAAGGAGGGAAACATGTAGATATTGACAGACTACTAGTAACTGAGATTAGGGATGTAGACCACACTGCTTTTTGTGGGATGGTCTGATAAAGTGGTCCGAGTGGCCCAGTACAATTATTGGACCGGTTATTATTACTTACAATTATCAACATTCCATCAACTTTAGACTTGAGTTTGCAGCTAATTTTTGTGAAATAAAGTTCAGAAATATGCCTGGACTAGCCATTATTTCACAAATTCCAACTATAAATGACTTTAGAACTGACTTGTTTTTAGTTGGCTGTCTGGTGACCATGGTGATATAGAAGAAGCACCAATGTCGCCGAGTGCCAAAACCTTCCCTGATCAAAACAGGTGATTTTATTATTTCATGATTCTTTAAGTTTTAGATTGTAGGCACTGCATTCCATTCACAATAACTTTACTTAGAGACTGATTGAGTTTTATTCATCTGATTGGTCAATCTAATTCTTAAATTTTATTAACCAATCAGATTGCGGTATTTTAGAATTCTCTTCATTTGATTGATCAATCAAATTCTTGAGTTATATCAACCAATCAGATTAGAGTATTTTAGAATTTTTTTCATTTGATTGGTCAATCACTAAGATTGAATTTGAGTGTTATTTTATTAACCAATCAGATTAGAGTATTTTAAAGTGTGTCAAGAACCACAAAGTGTGTCAAGCACAAAGTTTTCTGATGTGTTGTTGTCTGTCTGTTTTGAACTGTATTAAATATTGTTTTAAAAAAAAAACAGAAAAAAAACAAGGGAACTGTTAGACAACTTTTTGAAACAGGATTTGTGACTTATTTCAGTCTCCCAATAATCAATAACTTGTTACTTTCGATTCATATTGTGAATTTATCGGCACACTTTTACACTGGTGTTGTGTTTGTCAAAACTTTCAATTAATAAAAGAGAATTGTATAAAGATGTAGGCTGAAATGTGAGGTTAAATGTATAGTTAACAATTTTTCAATCAAGAATCCATTTTTCGAACTTATTGACAGACATTCTTCCAGTCATTCATTCTGTTTGTATAATCTGAGAGATTTTAACCATATACTAGTTAGTCAAGAGAAAATCATTGCCGAAAGGTTTGGTCAAGGAGAAGGTTAACAACTGTTCGTTCAAACCGTGATCCTTGTAAATTATGGTTGGTTTGGTTTTATAGTATGATGTTGAAATATGGTTGTTTGTTATTGTTTATTAATTAAAAACAATATTTATATTCTGTTTATATTATATATTTATTCTGTTTATATTATATATTTATTCTGTTTATATATTTCAGTGCAGCATTAAATACAGATATTCCCCCCTCCCCACCAGTTGATCAGAATTTCTATAGAAAACACGGAGCAGCCCCTGATGATGATATCAGCTGTAAATTACGACAGTTAACTAAGAAAATACAAGGTATTTTAGTCAAATATTTTAAAAGCAACTTGTGGCATTGGAAGGGAACCAAAGAGCTTGAACGAATTAAAAAAAAAACCATTTATCAGAGGTTCACATTTCTATCAGAATATAAGGCTCTGGTCTTAGACACTCGTTTGCTAATTGAAAATACCCTTACACCTGTTGTTCAAACATAATTTGACTCATTGTACACCCTAAAGTGTCTCTAACAGACCAGTCGAAGGGTCAAAAGAAGGATGTAAAACTCCATGTTATATATTTTTTTCAGTTCACAAGAAGAAAATAAAGAATTTTGAAGAGAGTTTTGAAAGAGATCATGGCTATAGAGTAAGTTATGTTCTAAAAGAGATATTTTTCTGAACCATGTCAAAAATTCAAAACAGTCAATAAGCGCAATGATTTGGAAATAGTGTAAATTTTGGAAATATTTCATTTATTGATTTTAGTGTTGATTTAACAAGGTTTTCCAGGAAGATTTTCTAATCATTGTATGTTCATAGATTTTAATCAAACTATCAGACACCTGTTGTTACTGTAATTCAAGAAAAAGTTACCCTGATCCCCTTTTAAGTGATTGATAATGATTTCCTAGCCTTGAGACACTCATAGCTTCTATTTGACCCATTCTGACTTCACAGATATCAATAATATTTGTAATAGTAAGTCCTCAACTGGCCAAGTTTGGCATGTGGTTGATATCTTTATTATATTGATATAATATTTGTTATTTGTAGCCGTCACAAAGTGAGAAATCCAGCAGACCTGAAATTAAGAAGAATATGTCTGAATTATCAAAAGCTAGAAAAGATCTTAAAAGTAAGTATGGTGTATATTTGTAAGCCTTAGATAAAGTTTGACTATACAATGTAATGTTCAGAGGCTGTATATATTATTCTGTATAAATTATCATTTTAAAATCTTGAAAATGAAATTTTTATTTATATATATTAATGGATTTTATTTTCAGAATTAAAAGAGGAGGCAGAAATGGGTAGTAGAAGTCGTCATGGTAGCGGTGCTTCGTCGTCAGGTGAACGAACTGATCCGCCCACATCTGCACTATCGTTAATCGAGAAGACATTGGAAATGTTACAGAAACGTTTAGAAGATAAACGAATTGAGGCTAATAGACCTCATGATATAGAGGTACTTTATTTATGATTTTTTCTCGCATGACCTGGGCCAGTGCTTGTATACGACTCATTACAACCTATGTGTTGCATGATTTTGCCCATTTTCATTACCTCAATGAAGAGCAGAAAAGTAGGATGTAAAACTCCATTTCATTTCATAAACTCGATTAGGAACAGAACAATAAGATGTATCGTCCAATCAGGAGCAAAACGCCATTTCATTATTGTTATTTATTATTTTAGACAATGAGAAGAGATCAAGTTCAAGAAGAAAAATTAGCCATTCAGAAATCTCTTCTACATTTTGAAAATTTACATGGTCGACCTGTAAGTATGGAATAAAACTGATATAAGATTAAATTGTAAAATCTAAGGGGCTGATATAAAGGGGCTGTGTGTACTACAAACTGTGTATGTTAAAGGGCTATTGATTATTAGAAATGGACAAGTCATGATAAATTTCTTCAGACAAATAAATTGATAGATTGTTTCATGAAATATGTAGTATTCCTGATTCATATATCCTTGTCATGTATTTTCCAGTAAAATTAATTCTGCTGTGGTTAAATTCTGCCAATTCAGGGTTTTTACCATGAATTTTTGACTATTTATATTAAATTTTTGATATTATATTTTTTTCAGACTAACAAAATAGAGAAAGATTTGATGAGGCCACTCTATGATAGATACAGATCCATTAAACGTATTCTAGCAAAACCCATGTCGGTAAGTAACACGGACAGCTTTCTTCTTTAATCTTCTAAAGACATGATAACACAGGTACATGATGTGTTTACTCATAAATGAATATGGAGACGGGTTTACAATGGAGACGGGTTTACAATGGAGACGGGTTTACAATGGAGACAGGTTTACAATGGAAACGGGTTTACAATGGAGACGGGTTTACAATGGAAACGGGTTTACAATGGAGACAGGTTTACAATGGAGACGGGTTTACCATGGAGACAGATTTACAATGGAGCCTTGTATTCTTTGAGAGATTATGAAATCATGAATAACATTTTTTCAGCCTAGAGATACAGTGGAATTAGAAACAGTACCAGAAGATCAACTTATAGAAATCTCTTCTAAACCTTCCATTCCTTTTGTAAGTAGATATTCTTCAAAATTCTACTTACAGTGCAATAATGGTTCATTGGTTCAAAAGACTGGATATAGTGCCTAGTTATCTATTTGACATCTCACAACTTTCTATCGCACCTCTCCAACTACATTGTTGCAATAGATCTCGCCGTTTCTAGACTAAAAGGTCTAATCGTCAAGGCTTTAGAGACCATTGAGAGTTACCAAATATTTCTTGGGTTTTCATAAAATTCTCATGAAAAATATATGATATGATAGAGATTAGCAGATTGTGTTTAATAATACATTAAATTACATCACAAAAGGAGTTATTTTGACTTGCACATTGCAATGAAATTCCACTTAAATTGATTCCTGATTAAGACTGTGATTTGATTTTTGTTTCCAGCATGTGAAGATCCCTACAGCTGAAGAAGATGAGGAAGAATGCTATGATCAACTAGGAACTTTAGATTTTGCAGTCACTCGTGATTTTAATGTATTAAAGGATACTATTATACCAACAGATATCAAATCTTCAATTGTCTCCAATGTTAAAAAGAAATCTATCTTAGCCTATACAGAATGGCAGTCTACAGAATCTAATCTTCATGAACTTGACATGTAGGTTATATTGTTTATTATAGATGAGCCCCTGGGGGAAGGCCAAAAATGACAGGTGTCAAGCCGAGGCAAGGTCCAGGCAAAGGACTGGGGTCTGCCATAGGCCCCCAGAATCCAACGGCTTTCAGATGGCCCCAAGATGAATTTTGAGCATTTAGAGGGCTTAAGTTTCACTTTAAAATAAGACTTTTCACAGTCCCAATGGCCCTCCCCTTAAATACGCTACCAGGTTGAAAGGACTAACATGGAAACTTAAAAGTGTCCAGTCATTCAGATAGCACAATAAACCGAGGTCCCATGCGCTACAGACTGTGCCAGTTAAAACAAATTTTAATATCCCATCCTGAATCTAATGTGTTTGTAATTTTTTTTCAGCCATGAGTTACATGATGAATTACATAAAACTAAAACTGATAAACGTAAAATGAGGAGACAACTTCGGGAATTTGAAGATGACTTTTTCGAAGAAAATGGAAGGTAAGGTTATTCCCCCTTTATTTCCTCTTCGCCTCCTTATTTCATAAAGAAAATTCCTTTTGTGCAGTGGCATTGGTAAAGCTCAGTCAGTAGCTAATTGGATTGTCGTCTGCTAGACGAATACGTGCATTGGGTTCAAATCCTTGTTGAAGAAAAATTGCAGTGCCAAGGCCATGTATCTGCTTTCAACTGTATTAAGCATCCATGATCTGATTAAATTGTTATGCATCTTATGTTCTAGGTCATTTAATATTAAATAGTTTCTGAAAATTAATTAGATATTAAATACTAAATCATTTTGAAGGTCAGCCATATTGTTTTTAGCTCATTGACAATGTGTTTATTTCTAGGAAAGTTCAAAAAGAGGACAGAACTCCATTACAAGAAGAATATGATCAATATAAGGTAAATGTCTAAATTTATTATTAGATCAAAAATGTTTGGTGGCAAAAACAAAAATTTCCTTTAAGAATAACAAAACTGATAACTGCTCATGAGAATTTTAAGTAACTAACGTTTTTTTTAATATATCCGTGGTTTAGTTATCTATGTGACACCCCTAAACTTTCTATTGAACTCTTCCAAACATGCATACTTTCCATCAGTATGAAAGCTACATGAATGAACGGAAGAGTTCATTTATAAGATAAGGGTGTTTTTGTTTCCTGTTGATTATGTTTATGTTTGCTTAAAATAGCAAGTTCTAAATAATTTTAATGGTTTTTGCAGCAAATCAAAGCCAGATTACGGTTATTGGAAGCCTTGATAACAAAACATAACACATCAGAAGCTTGAAAGATAGACAGATAAAAGACTGGTTGTGTGAGACACATGCTAGATAAAGACTGGTTGTGAGAGACTTGTGTTAAAACTTTAGTCCTAGTTACATCTGTCTCAAAATAAACACGGATTATATTAAATCCTAGGTATGAGCGGACATTTTAACCCTTATTGTAAGGGTTTACTTTAACCCTTTGAACTTTAAGTGTCCGATGATGAAACCTCAAATATACTGAGATTTAAAAAATACAGTAATCTGATTGGTTAATAAATGTAAATTTAAAGGCCAATCAGATAACTTTAAAAGCTTGAATTTTACGTAAAGATGATGTAAAATTTCTCCCTATTGTTATAATTAGGCATGACGAAAAATAGCGTGATGGGGACCTTTCGTGGTTGCCGCTGGCCATCACTTGATAAGGGCTGCTTTACAGTCCCGTCCCCTCAGTTATTAATGTTTAATGTATCACCATGATATTAGACCTTGGGGTCAGGAGATCATCAGAGCATCCGAGTTCAAATGGTTAAATTAACAACTTGAGTCAAAATTTGGAAATCAACAAATTTTGAGTTTTTTAATAAAGAATTTGAATATTTTGTTGAATATTTTAAAGAAAAAAGATGTTATTAATGTGCCTAGAATTTTGTATTGTTGTTTTGTTTTTAAATATTATACATATCTATATTCTAGTATATTATCTTGATCTATCGAGTGTTCTTGAGTTGGACAATAAATATCCCTTGATACAAAAACACTTTAAATCAACATCACCATTGTGCAGTGTCTGACCTGAGTACTAGTTACTAGTAACAACATAGAATAAGTGACCTCTTAATCGATTTGACCAATTACAAATCCTGTTACAAATTAAATATAGGATCTATATATTTTTGACCAATGACTGATAACGTTACATATGGTTTATGGAGTAGCTCAGCAACCTCAGCTTGTCCAATCAGAGTTCGTCTTACATTAAAATACAGAATTGTATTTGACATTTGCAGCCTCTATAGAATTTTAAACATTAGTTTTGATGAATTTCTAACTTAAAACTCCTCTACCAATTAAATTAGTGTTGAGAATATCATGTTTCTGAATCAAAGGTTAGATTTTGTAAACTGACTCGAATTCCCTTGATAGATCAAGATGATATTGAAATGTAAATATATCAATGTAGTTGTATAATAATAATAAATCATTTTTAATTCACATCAATATTAGGCCAGAATTTTTATTTAACAGTTTACAAAGTGACATTTTTTATTATGAAAACAAAATTTGGAAAAATGTCATTCCTATTTTGAGCTAAAAAACTGAGTTTTCCTGTTGATGAAAATCTTTTATACTTGAAAAGAAAAATTCCTGGCCTTACTTGTATTATCTGCCTGTAATTTGACAGTCGTGTCAAAGTGAAACATCTCATTAAAACTAGCAGATGTTTTTTCATAGAAAGCTTTGGGTCAAGAAGTACCTTCCTACTATTTATGTAAAATTCTTAATATATGTAAGCTTCATGTCTGTTTAATTGAGATAAATAAGAACACTATTATAGATATACTAGTCCTTTCTTTAATTTCTAGTTTCAATTCACATACAGGAATCTTTATCAAGCATTGTTTATTTTTCAATATCATTCAAATCTTCTACTCATTAGATATTGTTCAGTGAATTTAATATTAATAAGTGAGAAGGAAGTGAAGGCAGGGAGTTTACTAGTATTATATTGATGTGAATTATTAAATGATAGTGTGTAAAAACTGTGATATTTAGATGTGATATAATAAAACAGTGTCATATTCAGATAATCCCTCATCTTCATTTCAGAAGGGGCACGCGGTGTCGAATTAGCCGCCTGGTGGATTCGACGTCTCGTGACCCTTCAGGATGAAGATGATATTCCCCTAGTGGGGCAGTGCTATTATTATTATTTATTGTCATCTTTTTGCGTAATTTAAAAGAGTAGGCTAATGCCTGTCATGGCAAAATTTCCCTCATTGTACACTGCATGACTTCATTAGCTATGCATTTGCAGATTATTTGGAGGTAAAACTTCCATTTCATTTCATATTTTGTTCATCTGACACGTTTGGTATTTCTGTTTTTTTTTTTTTGTGCACACTCTAAAAGTATTTTGATTTTAATTTTATGAAATTGACAAGATTTTTAGAATGTTGCTACATTTAATTCAATGATCTAAGACCTTGGTCAATTTATCTCAATTATATTCAATATGTTATTCTGTTTGACACTATATCAGTGTTTTAATTTTTATCAGAGGCTAGTTAGAGGTCTGTTTCAGCCTTATTTTGAACAAATTGTTACAGAAAAGAAAAATATCAAACATTTTGTCCTTCATACTGTATATTGTATTATACTCTCATTGTTTGTACTAGCATAATAGAGACTATAGTCCTTGTCATCCAGTCATTTATTCATATTGTCCATCTCAGGGCAAGTTTTGTACATCCGTAGATATAAAATGTATGAATATTCATGTGAGAAAGTAGGGATATAGGGGTATAATTATTTAGCTTACTAGCTGAGAGAGCTTAATTTCAGCCTACTAGCCGAGAGAGCTTAATTTCAGCTAATTATTCAGCTGACTAGATAAAGAGAGCTTAATTTCGGATATCTCAGTAAGAATATTTGACATTGAGATCATTTGTAATTTATATTTCTTTATGAAGTTTTGTCAACTATTAAAGCAGATAATTAAACAACCATATCCCTTTAATAATTCTCTTAAATTTGTAGTTGCTATGTAAATCATAGAAAGGAAATGTTTTATTTTGTATCAGAATGTTAAATCTATGATAGTTTTGGGAAGCAAAGATATTGATATGGATGTAATTCACCAATTTCCAGTTGCACGACCCACTAGAAAAATTGTCTAAATGAGCCATATAACCAATCGGAAGCCATCTTTTTATTTTATGCCAAATCGGAAGCCATTCTTTGTTTTTATGAAATTCAAAGGAAAGTAAAGTGTGTTGTTTTGTAACTGTAAGGTGGTGAATTAAAGAAAACTAGACAAGTTGAGTACTATCTTCTTTCTATAAGAAACAAATGAATTTTGTTTAGAAATTGTAATTTTCCTCTCATGTTGGAAACTTTACTAAGAGTTTATACGTCCACTTTACTAAAAATAAGAAATTTTGTATTGATAGCCTAGAAGTTTGGTTAGTTTTGTATTATTTGATGTTAAGATTTGAAAGTTTGAGTGTGGTCTATAGATAAAGGATAATGGCGATTTAGGTAAATTTGATACTGTGTTGACAGTTGAATGATGATTTATAAGATGTAAAAGTTTAATAGTTCGTAGCCCGGTGGGTCTTAAAATGGCATTTAGTAATTAAGTATGATATATAGACACAGTTTTAACAAGCAACAATCACTGGTTAAAGTTTTATGTAACTTTTTGACGTGTTGTGTATTCTGTGCCTGAGGATGACGGGGGAAACACATCAAAACGATGCGTAAAACTTAAACTAATGATCGTTGCTTGTTAAAGCTGTGTCTATAAAGCCAAATGTGTTTGTATTTTAGAAAATTCAAAACTTCGAGGGGTTGTGTGGTAAGAATGGACAGTAAAAGTTAGTATTTTTATAAATGAAATGATTGCAGATAATATTTTAGATTTGAATTAGGTTTTTTTAACTTTTTATTCTTGTATATATTTCGTTTGGAATTATTGTATTGAAATATGGCATTTGTAGAATATTAATAAGGCCAGGCCAATTTCATGTCTTATTTTAGTTTGATATTTGGTGGGAAAGAATTTGTTGAACTATTAAAACATTGAACTTGTCCTTGATTTGTAATTTGTAAAGAGTCATGTTATTCATTTTTACATTGTGACATGCCACTACAACACCCCTTACTTTGATATTGAACTCTCCTAAACATTCAATACACTGTATTATATTGATTGAAAGTATGCATGTGTGGAAGAGTTCATTAGAGAGTTAAGGGATGTTTAGAACATGATTGATAGGGTCTACATTATTTCAGCTTTGCTAGCTGTTAATACCAAGGTGTTTTTTGAGCGAAGATTTGAGTGTGAACATGCAAAATGAAGTCAGTCTTTGATATTTATTCATTTCCAAGACATTAACAAAAACAATCTACTGTCAATCAAGAATTGAGAAGTTGAACAATTTCAAAGAAGTTCCAATGGTCAATCTAAAATTCAGCTCATGATGATAATCATAACTAACAAAGTCTAGCTTTCACAGAGTTAATGAATTTAGAAATTAGCCTGGACAGTTGTCCCCCCTTTGAGTCTGTCTGCAGCCCATTAGTAACCCTAGTTACAGAAGGCTAATGCCACCACTGTTCATCAATATGAATCTTAGATTTTGATTTGATGGTTCTTGGATACGATTAATAAATATCATTGATGGATTATAAACAATTTATTTTGAAGTTTTGTTGTTTTAATTGGTCAGGCAGACCACTTTCATTGTTTTACGACATTCTATGTTTTAGCAAGAAATATGCGATGTATAATAATTTCACATTAGCCCGTTCTTACTGTACATAAATATAAATTATTTTCCTATTATTATCATCATTATTATTTGAATATGTATTGTTGAATTTTCATTGACATAAAATGTTGGTCATTTTTATTTGCTTTCTTTTATTTTCTTAGAATTTGCCGTTGATGACATGACCATACTACACAAGTACTCAAACCTACTTTGTAAAGAATGAAACATCTTCATGTGCAGTTCCTTGGGCTAATAAAATGGTCTTTTATGGCTCTAGATTGGGCTAATGAAGACAGGCAGTGACATGCAATGAGAAAGACATCTGCCTTAGAATAATCTTTTTGATTGCATGTGTACAGCTTATATCATATGAGTAGATGTTTTTCTCAGAACTGAGGAGGTGGTTCGGATGGGACAATAAACCGAAGCCTCGAGTGCTACAGACTGTGCACGTTAAAGATCCCTCGACAGTCGTAAATCGAAAAAGATGGCTAAATTTCCCTCATTGCCACATGCATGGCGTTGCCCGTCTGCAGAAAAGTAGGACGCAGAACTCAATTCATTTCATTCTATTTTAGCACTCTGGGCGGCATCGCTGCAAGGAGAACCCAGTAGAAAAATCTCAAGGTATTGACAGGATCTGGGGAATATAACTGAGCCACCTTCTGGAAATGCAATTGAAATAACCTTCGTATCGATAAGGACAAAAACAACACTTATTTCTTACAAATAAATATTTCTATTTTAATTCACAGCATAAATCAAAGTTTTCAATATCACATTATATTATAGATGAATTGAAAAAATAACAAACCAAATTAGATAAATTACTGAGTTTAAATTGTTTTGGTCAAGAACCAGCTGCTGTTTTGATTTATTGCTATTTTCTCTGCTAACATCAACAAAACATAAAATTTTAATTCAGGTTGACTGCAATTCAACTACAAATGGGTAAATACAACCCAAAGAATTTTGGTCATGAACCAGTTGGTAGACAGGATTCTTCAGTTCTTGTTCAAAATTTTTGTATTTTTAGTTTTTGCTCTACTAACAATATTAGAAATATAACCTATAACAAAACATCAGTTATCAGTTTAGGTCTATAAACCTATTTCAGTCATCAGCCATATTGAATCCAGAATGAGGCTAATAACGCAAACAAAAATGTACTGTTGTGTCACTGCAATAAAATTGCCACCATTGCTTGACTTGTTAAATGTCTCAAACCTTATCAACATCATTAAAATTGAAATTAACCTATTTAATGACACTATTCTCAACGAGAGGTGAAAAAGGCTTATTGCTTGTGAACTTCATCACTTGATTTTTCTATTTCATTTGTAATAGACAACAGTTCATTATCACTCAAATCACAATCGGAAAAGTTTTTAGAATCTGAATTCTCTGCGTTCATTTTTTCTACGTTTTCCATCGCTTGAATCAATAAATCATCGTCATCAGAGTTGGACATGAAATCATCTTGTTCTAGAAGATAGGTCGGTAAATATTCTTTAGGTATTTCATGCTCTGAAAATATAAAAACTTGTTACTCTTGATCTAAAATCCACTCACTTTTAACCATCTCAACACTAGGGGTCACTCTACTAGCCAGTGAAGTGAATTCTCCTAACACACAAGATAAACTTTAAGTTATATATCTTACAATTCATATCAGGGTGTATGACGTTTTTTTTATTATACACTCAGTGTTCAAAGGGTTAAAATATGAGTGGTCACAAAAACTCATGCAAATTCATCCAGTTTTTGGTGAACTTTTTAATCAGAGGACACCCATAATCAATGTTTTGAGACAGAGCCTCATTATCCCACATGACCCAGCTGTAAAAGGGTACACAGGATCCTTGTGAACCTAAATTGTTATCTAATTAACTGGACACATTTTTATGGATAACAATTACTTTAATAAATAACTTAAGTAATTGTTATCCATATAATTGTGTCCAGTTATGCATTACTCAATTACTAAATGCCACTTAAGGAAGTTAACTTGATATCCTTGAACAATCATTGTCAAGAGGTTTAAGCAAGAACCAGTTTGTCGAAAGGATCCTCAAGAACCTAAGTTGTTATCCATGTGGATATAAGGTTGTTTCGTTATTTACTGACTCTAAAATGTTGCCACTTTAAACACTTATTAGGGATGCTACCTTTTTTCGGCACAATAAAAGCAGGGATATTTACCTTGAGATTTGAAATCTTGTTTTTTACAATCAGGATCATGACATTTTTGATAATAAACTCCCCTTCTGATATCGACTACATACCTGTAAAATATTACATTTCTTTGTCATAAAACGACCTGACTTAAATCTCACTTTGAGATTTTAAATAGGCAATGTTTTTGGTCTAAGGGGAACAATGGCACCCAAATTGCCTGCAAACATGAACTCTTCCGTATGTTTAGGGCCACCTATGTCCCCCTGTCACACAGTTTCTGATATTCATAGCTAAACTTAATTTAGCAGTCTCATAACAACTAGTTACTAAATAAACAAAATACACCATCTTACATAATATTATTACTTCTATGTTGTCTGTTGATATTTTCACAATATCTATATTTAGCTATATCGTAAATCAGTAACTCTCCATTGGTAAAATATGTCCAGTGACGTACGTAACCATGGTGATCACCACCATTAATTAAAGTCTTGATATATCGATCTATTTCTGGATACGGTGAACTTCTCTCTCCTTCTAATGTAGCTAGATTAAAGTTAACAAAATAATGTTAAAACTTTGCTGATGTTCATTGAGAGAGTACCAAATGGGAATAAATGAAAGTGAAATGAGTTTTACGTCCTACTTTTCTGCACCATCTGAGCTAATGAAGACGGAGGTACAAATGTAGAAAGGGGGTACAATGGATCGAAATGAGTAGGAATTAGGAGTCTAGAGATCTTAATTTCTGCAGTTTAAGCCATATTCAATTAAAAATGCAATGATAATGGGAACTTGGATCTCTTTGTGAATTTTAATTTGAAAAAAAATCACAAATATTGATGAAGCTCAAGAGAAGATATTGTGATAATACATAACATACCTTCTGTGTTTTTATTTCTACCAGGAAAACAGACGCCCTTTTCATTATATTTTACATCATCACAAAATTTCAATATTCTTAATTCATCAGTATAACTAACGACAAATAAAATGAGAAAATGGGTTGTTAACGTTAAATATTTAAAAATGGCAATTAAAGGCATCTCATTGGATCATTTGGTCACATGTTTAATTGAACACGTGTTTTATGTTCCAATTTTATGCATCTTGATAACCTATTGAAACTGGACAATGCCATATCATGGGAAATAAGGGAAAAACAATACAAAGCCATCAATTACTGTAGATATCAATGAACTTAATGCCATGCAGTGTGCTATGAGGGAAAAACCACTAAAAGCAATACCTTACTTTAGATGTCACGGATCTGAGGCAACACCAAACAGTCTGCAATGAGGGAACCACAGAATACTTTCCCTCTATTATATGCCATTCAGTGTGCAATGAAGAAAGAAAATCAGAATACTATACCTTACATTAGATATCAATGAGGCTAGAAAAACATCTTCCTGTGTATTAGATAGAAACTGGTTGTCGTCTGATAAAACCAAGGGGTTATTTTTACCAAGTTTACTGGATAAATATAGTCTGAAATTTCTATTCTTAGTATATACCCCTGTAAATTAGAAATCAGTAATTACTTCATTACTTTCTTTAATATCTCAGTTTGTAGCAAATTAGATTGACGTCTCAGTTGGTAGCAAATTAGATTGACGTCTCAGTTGGTAGCAAATTAGATTGACGTCTCAGTTGGTAGCAAATTAGATTGACGTCTCAGTTGGTAGCAAATTAGATTGATGTCTTCTAGGACTGTAGAATATATCTCAGTTGGTAGCAAATTAGATTGACGTCTCAGTTGGTAGCAAATTAGATTGACGTCTCAGTTGGTAGCGAGTTAGACTGACGTCTTCTAGGACTGTAGAATATATCTCAGTTGGTAGCGAGTTAGATTATCTTCTGCATGGACAGTAGGATACTGTCTGTGTAGCAAGTTGGATTGTCGTCTGATTGTTGGGTGCAGTGGGTTTGCATCCTCTAAGCAAGTGCTACCAAGACTCCAGTGTCTATTTTTATTTGGCTAGTTTACAACTTTTCAATTTTAAGGGAATACCTACAGGGTTTCTTTCTTAGAATTGTGTAGTAATTCAACCAGGATTTTTACAGATATTTTTGACTGAAAGGGATGCCAATCCATATAAAATATTTTCGGAATAAACTTACCTGTGTCAACAAATGTTATTTTATCACCATTTTTATTATAAATAAATAAAGACTGTAGATCCTCCATATTGAATATTTCTAATAATTCATTCAACTCTTCAAATCTGCTTTCTGATTTTAGTTGATGAGAATAACCATGATGAACTTCATCATTATCAAGATTGTCTTCTGTATTGTTTGTTTCTTGTTTCATGTCTTTAAAATTTTCTGAACCTGCTAGAGTTGGTTCCCCATAATCAAATTTTCCACTGTTTAAACTACAAACAAGATTTGAGTTTTGTTCATTTTCAACTCCAGTCTTTTGAGGACTTTTCTTTACATTTCCTAGTAGTGGTCTGTCATCCTTGTTAATTTCTGAGTCAGCTAGAGTTGCCTCCCTTCTATCAAATTCAGCTTCTCTAAGGCTACCTTCCTTGTTGTTTCTTTGTTGTTTCCTATGCATATTGCTGCCTTGAATGTTTTCTGAATCAGCTTGAGTCGCTTCCCTTTTATTAAATCCTGCATCTTTATGGCTGTCCTCCATATTGGTTGTAAGTTTACTGTCTATTTGGTTGTCTATAGATACATCAATACCCGAGTCTGATAAAACATCTTTATATGTTATTATATCTTCTAATTTCTCCATTATCTCCTTTACAAAATAACCTACAGAAAGAATGGACTTTAAATAATAAGAGCTCATATGCTGTGTGTTTCAGATATAGATTCCTCATCAGAACAGCCATTTTTTTACATGGGGATAAATGAACTCATGCTTTAATCAATCAAATTCCATCATTACCTCACAAAATCCCAGCACTGGTAAAAATGAATTGAAATGAAATGAATGGAGTTTTACGTCCTACTCTTCTGCACCTTGTGGGCTAATGAAGATGGGCAACGCCATGCAGGGTGCCATGAGGGAAATTTTGCCAGGACAGCGACATTAGCCTGCTCTTTTTCGATTTTCAACTGTCGAGGGAACTTTAACGTGCACAGCCTGTAGCACACGGGGCCTCTGTTTATTGTCCCATCCGAACGACTAGACGCTTTTTCCATGTCAGTCCCTCTTACCTGCATCACTGACAGGGGGAAACCGGGTTGAAAAATCCGAAGGTATTATCTCGACCTATGCCGGGACCTTCAGGTTAGCGAGCAAGCGTCTAACTCACTGAGCCACCGCGGCTTCCCCCAGCACTGGTAAAGGTACAGGTCATCAGGATAAAGGATTATTAAAAACGGAACAAAAATTTTGATTAGACTGCTTCCTGAGAGTCTTTAAAGATACTCAACTATCTTTTTAAAAAATATCATTCTTACCAAGCTGTATGTTATCTTTAAATGCTGCTTTTTTCATTTGAAATATAAGATGTCTACTGAATTTATGTTCTGTGCTGAAAAAATTTAAAGAAAAAAGGTCAACCACCAAATATTCAGGTCCTATCATTCAATAAAAATGAAAATGGAATGTCATTAGCTAAAATTGAGCATTGGAAAAAAAGGTTCCAAATCTATTCATTTTAGACCGGCTGTGTTAGATTGATGAGTTCTGAACGGGTTCCATTCTAGGCCTCAATTGCAACCGGATGTCACATTCAATACTTTCCATTCTATTTCTTTCTCTGTCATTTTGAATTCAGCCAACCTTTTCTTGTTTTTAAACCTGTTCCCTTATAGTTTTGGTTGATTCTATGAATCTGGAACAAGCAGATCTCACCAATCAAGCAACATCTTAGAAATAACTTGAACATAATTACCTGGCATCTAAATTTAATACATCTGAAACATCACAGGATTCACTGAATCTCTTCTTCAACCAAAAACAAACATACTGAAATAAAGTTTGATATTCTTGCTCACACAATAAATCAATAATGGCATTCTGGACACCAATAGGTTGGTAGACAAGACTGTCTCTTAGCTAATATTGTTAATTTGATATATGTTCATGATGGACAGGACTGGCAAGACTGTGGCATTTATATCGCTAGGCAACTCTTTCATGTAGGTAATGCTGTATTTTTGGTATTTATATCTGGAACACCTGATGCTTTTACGACTTGGTTTGTCAACTCCATATCACTTACATACTTAAAAAAAATCAACATGGCTAACACAGTTATTATAAACCAGCACTTATCATTATCTCCCCTTTAATATTATCTCCCTTTTATCATTATCCTTTCCCGAGAAAAACATGGCTAACTTAATGTAATATTGTAAAATAATTTCTTTCAAATACCTTGATAAAGATTTGAACCATTTCTACGCCAGCTGAATCTGGATTATATTCTTTCATATATTCCAAATCAAAATATATTTTACATACGCTGCCTGTAAATAAATCAATCAATTCTTCACTATCTGTGGGTCTCGCAGTTCTGCTGAACCAAAGCGTTTTATGATATAGCTATCACAAAAGCTTTTGCGATAGTTATGTCATTAAAAACATGGTTTTAAAGGAATTGCAAGAACCACAGACATCTGATTGAAAATTCGAATGAAGCAAATTAATGCTACCAGTGTCCCTGATGCTCAAAGAAAATTTAGAAAACCTCTTTACATTCTCTTTAATAAATTCTGACGTACCTTCAGGTATAATTTCATAATGATGTTTCTTATCACAACATAACTGTCTGAAAATATACCACAAAGAAACACAAAGTTATCAAAAAGGAATGAATTTACTATATAATACTTGGCAGCCTTTATAAATTACTCAGTAGGAAAACTAACTTCAGTTATCTGAAGATCTCTACTTGTTAAACTTCAGGCTGAAGTAGATCAGTTGTCTGAAGATCTTTACTTATTAACTTCCGTGAGCAGAAAACTGAAATAGGTCAGTTGTCTTAAGATTGCATAGCGTGAGTAATAACATGTTTCAGTTTCTATTTTAATACTGAAATCTTACCTATAATAATGCCAAAACACAGGATAACTCGTAACTAAATATAACCTTTGACCTTTTTCTTCACCTATAACTTCCTTTTCATAGGAAAATACATGTAGATCCTGTAAACAGAGAAAATAGATGTAGATCCTGTAAACAGAGAAAATAGATGTAGATCCTGTAAACAGAGAAAATATATGTAAATCCTGTAAACAGAGAGAATTGATGTAGATCCTGTAAACAGAGAAAATAGATGTAGATCCTGTAAACAGAGAGAATAGATGTAGATCCTGTAAACAGAGAGAATAGATGTAGATCCTGTAAACAGAGAGAATAGATGTATATCCTGTAAACAGAGAAAATAGATGTAGATCCTGTAAACAGAGAGAATAGATGTAGATCCTGTAAACAGAGAGAATAGATGTAAATCCTGTAAACAGAGAGAATAGATGTAGATCCTGTAAACAGAGAGAATAGATGTAGATCCTGTAAACAGAGAGAATAGATGTAGATCCTGTAAACAGAGAAAATAGATGTAGATCCTGTAAACAGAGAGAATAGATGTAAATCCTGTAAACAGAGAGAATAGATGTAGATCCTGTAAACAGAGAGAATAGATGTAGATCCTGTAAACAGACAGAATTGATGTAGATCCTGTAAACAGAGAGAATAGTTGTAGATCCTGTAAATGGAGAGAATAGATGTAGATCCTGTAAACAGAGAGAATAGATGTTGATCCTGTAAACAGAGAGAATAGAAAGATATAAACATGTAAAGTGATAGAAGCATGTTCTCAGTTCCTCAAAAAATATTAAGACAAGTATTTATGGTAAGTATGGAATCTTATATATTTTAACAACTTTGCTCGTAATATATTTTAGGAAATGGGACTCTATGTAGCAGTTGACATTGTGACTACTGAAAACTTGGGCCAAATTAATATATAAGAGAAATGAAATGAAATGAAATGATTTTTAAGCTCTACTTTTTGCCCAAGTGTGTTTGTGTGTAATGAAGATTGGAAATAGCATTGCAGTGTGCAAGTATTTTAAATTCTGTAAAATACATTCCAGAATCATTGCAGACTACCTACCTCTGAGGTTGACTGAGCAAATCTAAAAGCTTCATTCTGTTTATAGAAGATTTTCCAACTGGAAGAAGGACCACCAATTCTAAAAAACATCATTAACATAAAACCATTCCCTTGGGTCTATTTTTTGGAATATAGATGGCACACTCATTAGTAACATATCAAGTTAATACCTTTGGGGTCTATCAGTAATAGGCATAGAGGCCTGAATTTGAGATTGTGGAGAAGATTGTTTTAGGTATTAGGCAGTAAACATTGCCTAGTCTCAGAAGCACAGGCAGAGACATTAGAATTTTTCTTATCTTGAGAAAGATTCAAACCCACAGCATTTAATTGCCAAGCAGTCGACAGTCGACTGAGCTATTCCACTGCCATGGCCTGTTGAATAATCAAAAACAATATCCAATTTTCTCACCTGGATTTAAAATCCTCAGGTAACGAATATTTACTCTGTTTTTGAACCTGTTGTTCAATCAATGTTTTTATTTCATATCTTCTTCTGAAAAGGTTAACAACAGTTTGATTAAAATATGTTTAAGACATATATGACTCTTGAAGTCGGGAGAAAATATCACATACACAAGACAATATTAAGCAAGTGTGCTTATTCCAAAATATTGACTTGGGTTTGTGATATGTTGTAGGAAAGTATTTTGGTATATATTCCACTTGGTCATATTTAACCTATGACTACTCAGTACAGTAATTTGAGTCCTGATTAATAAAACATGAGCAATGTGGAGAAAATAGTGTTAGATAAGTTGGGAATTGGCCATTGAAATGTATCACACAAAACAAATTATTTATTTTATGTTATCATTATCGACATACTTTCTGCATTTGGCTCCGTAAAATGATTTTGAATTGAAGGACTGTGTATGATCAGACATGGCTTGTTCATTTCGTGATCTAGCATATATCCCCAAGATTTAAATTAGATTTAGATCTAGATTTGCTTCTGATGATCATTGAGTTCAATGACTTCTTTCATATTTCCCCGCTAAAAAGTGACACTTTACTCTCTTACATCAAGACGTCAAAGTTTATCAAACCAAACAGCCTAAATTATTGCTACTGGATAATCACGGCGATCTTTTAAAATTATGAAACGACGAATTTAATTTTCCAAATGAAGTTATGTTGCCAAATCCACATGCAAGCACATAGCTAAAGTATTTTGGTACTTACAAATTGCTACGACATCTGAAATATAAAAAAAAATACATAGTCTCTTCCTAAAATAAATTTAGATATGTCGTTCATGGTTAAAATGAATTTGAGTTTTTGTACGTTTTCAGTAGACCTGATCATCTTAGTTCTATTTTATTATAAAAATTACATAGACATAACGACTGGAAAACAGACCAATTCCAAGATGGAAGTTCCGAAAGTATTTTCGGATGCCTTGCACAAAATATCTTCCTTTATACCAAAAGTGAGACCGGTGGAAATGTCTTCCGCAGCGGTACCAATTTACGAAGAAGCCCCGCAACATCTAACTCGAAATGTAATCGTGGCCAAGTTACTTTCGACGATTTTGGGCCTGTCATTGTCTGCTGCAATGACTTATTTTGGTATTAAATTGTTGGTGAAGGCAATGGACCCCACTAACAGTGATAAAAAATCAGCAGAGATAAAGGTAATCATTAATTTCTGCATGAATGAAGTTTATTTAAGGACGACCTCCAGAAAAGTAATTTGGTTTTTAAGATTGGCATAAATAGGTCTAGGCCACTAGGGTAGCCTACATCTACAAAGGTTGTCTGATGCAATGATATTGAGACTAGACAAGACAAGATAAGAATTAGATGGAAATTGCTGAATAAAGAGGTTTTAATTTTAATCTATTGATTGTGAAACTGAAAGTTAAAAATAAAATACATCTTTGATTAAAAATATGAAAGCAAATTAATCCAATGGATTCCCGATACATTACTTGTGTTGATCCATCACAATAATTGATCAAAGATTAACAGGTTCTTAATTAGTTTATTATGAGTTAATTAGGGGAAGAATCCACTTAGAATAGATAAGATAAACTGGGGGGAACCTGACGTAACTGTAAAGGGTGGGAACCACTACCACAACTTTATAAGTTCCTCCCGTAGTAATTTCCCACTTTTGAATTTCCAACCATTTAGATGTTGCAGAAGGTTGGGCATGCCCTCGTCATTAATGACATTTACAATGATTATTGTAGGGGATCTAAAAATCTGTAACTCTGTTGCATTGTACTTGTATCATTCTTAGTTAGATATAAGCTGTAAGGCGGTGAAAGCTGTCTCTGTAGTTATGGCATCAGAATTTTCAGGTTTTTTCAGGTTTAACTATATTATATTTACTGTTTTTTTTTTACAGGCCAGGGAAATGTTAAAAAAACTGGGAGTAAAAAATGTGAAAGAGGTAAAGATCCAAGCACTAATTTTAGTACTTGATGATTCGAAATTCTCTTATTTTAATCAATGCTTCTTGCATTGTGTTAGATAAAAATAATTATTTATTAACTGTCTTCAAAGGGATAAGTTGGCTATCTGTTTGATCAAGTTACTCTAGTCTCAGAAACAGCATTTTGTTAGCTGTTGACATCTTACCAACATAATTTGAGCCGTCAAATCCTCGTTTGTCTAGAATTATCTGTGTTGGAAAATTAAAAAGACGACACCCTTTATAAGTTGCATAGTGTTACATTGTTAGGGTATGTCCAACAAATGGTGCTGGTATGTGAAAGCCTTATGACCTTGAATAAGTAACTCTCCTCATTATTCCAGTCAAGCCATTTGTAATTTGGTTTGTCTTGGAAAGATTAATGCGAAGGACCAGCTGGAGAATGGATGGTTATCCTTGTAAAAATAGTTGTTTGTTTCTTTCCTTTTAAAGTTCTATTGAGCACTATTATAACAGTGATAAGGTTTTGTTATTATATCCTATTCTATTCTAGTTAACAGCGTATGAATTGTGTATGGCAGCTAACTTGGTAGATCCTCTGTCTATTGATGTACAATGGAATAATATTGGTGGCTTAAGTGATATTATACAAAATATACAAGAAACTGTTATACTTCCATTTAATCGTCCAGATTTATTCCAAAATTCAAGTTTATTACAAGCACCTAAAGGTAGGCATATTTCAATATGATATTGCAGCAAGATTTACGCAGACATTTGGCAAGTTGAACGCTTGCTTGATTGTTTGATTGTTTGATTGTTTGATTGCTTTCTTGCTTTCTTGCTAACCTGAAGATCCAGGGTTCAAACTTGGCATTGGTTGAGATAGTACCTTCACATATTTTATCTGAGAATATCATAGGTATATTTTATGAATTTAATTATAGTACTATCAGATAATTTCTAGATTTATAAGTTTTCAATTTTAGAATAATATGTTGTTGTTTTTTTTATCAATACTGTTTACTGATGTTATTTTACAGGTGTATTACTGTATGGTCCACCAGGATGTGGAAAGACAATGTTAGCCAAGGCTACCGCAAAAGGAGCAGGTAAAATTTGTTAATTTTTCTTGAGTTTAATTAGTCAAAGTTGGTGTATGGACTGATCTACTTCATAAAGTCTAAAACCAGAGTACAAAAAAAGATATTTTTGTAAAATGTGGATGCTGTTTCATATATTTGTATTATGATATATTTATTTATATGTAGTTATTTTCATAAAATTTGAAGGTTTATCCTATGATTAGCCAGGTTCTAGTTTTTGCCCATGATCTGTGAAAACCTTAGTAAGATTTCATCTGATAGATTTTTATGTATAATTAAACAGGTTCTAGTTTTTGCCAATGATCTGTGAAAACCTAAGTAGATTTCGTCTAATATATATATATTTTTTTTCCTATAATTATACAGGTGCTAGATTTATCAATCTACAGATATCATCGTTAGTAGACAAATGGTACGGAGAGTCTCAGAAGAGAGCAGAAGCTATTTTCTCCTTGGTAATTCTTTTTTACTAAGTTCTTTGTAGCTGTCAATAGAAATAGATTTATGGGCTATCTTTAGTATTTGTTGTAAAATCTTATATACTGTAGAGACATGCATGAAGAATTTACAGACTCATCATATCTTAAAACTTTGAGGTTCGGTAATTAATGGTCATTTGACATTATTTTTATATTGAGTATTGTTTACAAAGATAAATGCAGATGAAAGCATGATCCATTTAGAATAGGTCATAATAATGCCCTCAGTTTCTGCCTATCAGCAGCTAGTCCGAGGGGCTGGCATGGAAAAGCATTTAGTCATTTTAATGGCAAAATTTCCCTCATTGCACACTGTATGGTATTGCCCGTCTTCATTAACTCAATCAGGTGCTAAAAAGTAGAAGGTAAAACTCAATTCATTTCGTTGTCCCTTTTAATATTTCAGTTCCTAAGGTTTCTGTATTTCCCTCATTGTACACTGCATCATTTCCTATCATTCCTGTATCTTGTTCTTCCAGGCTATGAAATTACAACCTTGTATTATATTTATTGATGAAATTGGTAAGTTGATTATTGTCAGTTCTATTTCTGAAGAGGTTTTCAAAACTGTTTATGTGTATCAGGGATACTGATAGCATCTATTTGCTTCATTCCAATTTTCAATCAAACATCTGTGGTTCCTGCAATTCCTCAAAAACTAATCACGAAGGACCTTATGTGATAAAGCATATAGCTATTAGTGACTTCATCAAACACTTCTTTTCTGTGGAATTTCAGGATCAATAGAGGTCTGATTGAAAATTGTTGCTATCAGTGTCCCTGATACACATAAACAATTTTAATTTCGGCTAATCTTGGGAAATATTGAATCTAAAAAGGGGTCATTTTGGCTCTCAAACTGGATACCCTGAAAGTGGCATCTTAAAAAATGTATGGAATATAGGTTTTCTCCTTGTAATGGTTATAAGATCTTTTTATTTCTGTGTCAGACTCGTTCCTTAGATCTCGAACCTCAACAGACCACGAAGCTACTGTGATGATTAAGACACAGTTTATGAGTTTTTGGGACGGTTTAATCACTAACCCGTCTTGTCAAGTCATGGTGATGGGGGCTACCAACAGACCTCAAGACGTAGATGCAGCTATATTACGTAGAATGCCCAGTATGTTTCATGTTGGGTTACCGGTACGTGTGCTATTTATAGCTTTTACAAGATTTTCATTACACTTTAAATGTAGAGAGATTATTTAGTCGTAAGCCTGTTCTCTAATCTTTTTCATATTGATGTGAGAATTCTTACGAAGCCAGAATATTATGAATGCTTGTCTGAAGTAGTCAAGATAAGATTGGATGGTTTTCTAGACTTGGAAAATATTAAATCTGGCAACTCTTTTCATAAATTTCATAACATAAATAATAATAGTAATAATAACTTTATTAGAAACCCAGATGTACAAGGCAACCTTTCCTGGGATCTTTCTACATACAACTACAATAACATATTTACAAAATGATAAGGTAATAAAAATGGAAAATAGAAATAAAATAGAAAATGAATGATAAACACCCTTTAAAAATCCTCCTGTTTATGGAATCAACACAGTATATTTATTAACCCAGCATGACTTTTGTTAATGAATTCATATCATATTATATATATTAATAGGGGAAGAAACAGAGAGAAAATATAATAAGATTAATACTATCAGGTGAAAATGTAAGTAGACATTTTGAAATAAGATCAAACTAAGGAAAAGTAACTTTCATTTCGGACACCCTTGATCTGGTGTTTACTGCTTGACAGGTTTCGTTCAAGTTGAACTCTTCAGGGGTGACTAAGTAGAGGTTATGATTACAGTACTGAGGCACCCAGGTACCATTGGCCTTTTAGTTTTTATAGACCGCATGAAAATGCGGAAGAGGGTCATCAGAGGTTAAATCTGACTTCCCTCCGCATCTGAAAATGAATCTTACGGTACAATCTAACTTAGCTAGAAGTTTCATGCTTATTGCAAAAAGTGCACAATTTTCTTGCTGAGTCTCTGAACTAGTCGGCCATTGTAAATTTGATGAATTTTTTGTAGGTAGACGATGATATAGAGTATAACACACTAGCTGAACACACGGAGAGTTTTTCTGGCAGTGATTTACGAGAAATCTGTCGAGCAGCAGCTGTTTCTGTCGCACACGAATTTATTCGTAGTTCGGGTTTTAATTCGTAAGTTAAATTTGAAATTCACCGAAATGATGTAGAATTCTCGCCTTAATAAGTCTAAGTGTAAAATAAGTTTTAGTATAAAAAAATACAAGTTCAAACGATGAAAATCTTCGAAGGTTTTTGCTTATGTGGACAACTATTGAAATTCTAATTGGATGTGGACACAAGTCTTTATATTGCGAATTATTTAATATTCGGACCTGTTTTACCTGTTTGTTTAATTGATTTGTCTGTCTTCTTTCTAATGTTTTCAGTGAATATTTGTTCTGCTTTGTTTATTTCAGAGAATCAGAAGGAATGATGCGTGGAATCAATATGAAGGACCTGGAAAGTGCGACAAAGAAAGTTCGACAAACCAAGTCCTTATCGACAAGTTCACCTCTTAATTTTCATCTAGATTGATAAAATCACAGACTTTAGTAAAATGGCATCCTAATTAAAAGACTGGAGCTATTTTCTTAAAAACTTACAAAGACAGATCAAGATTTTAAGCAATACAGTAATATAATTAGTACTCGTTGGGGCAGGGAAGAACTTCGGCTGTCTGGCTGACCCCCATTCTCTCTTCTTGATGGGAAGGGGGAGACATTAGCTTGATATGGATGACTAAAAACTATGAATTGTATCTGTTCTTGTATTGAAACTTTTGTGTGATTGTCTTTTAAAACAGATAGTGATGTAGATTTCAGTCAATAGGTTATGTTGGTGTACAGTGGAGACGTGTTTAACAGGTTGCCCCTGGAAACCCTGATATTCACACGCTATTTACTGGGAACAGAATATATAGTATATAAAATTACCTGTTAATCCGGTTTCCGCAGGGCTGTGATTGGCATCGAAATATTAAATTATATAGTAATTTATGTGACACTTGAACAAACAGAAAGGGACATAACTCTAATTGTGGCATGACATGTTTCATCTATCCAGAAAATCATTTAATCGCACACAGATTCTTCGGGAACGGTAATGTGCCGATAAAAGTGGTTCCACTGTACTATGTTTTATGCGTGTTCCATCAAGACTATATGTGTGTTAGTAAGGCAGATATAATGCATATAAATAATGATGACCTCAATATCAGTAAATAGTAGGATTGTGGTTCACTTTAACTAAATAGCTTTGTATTAGGCAGTGAATTTAACCAATCAAAACAAACCTTTACATATTATGAGAGGGGTTGCTGGTAAAAAAAATGAATGAATTTTGTGAGAGTATCATCTTTAATGGCCTTGCTTCTAAATTCATCATCGATTTTTAAATTGTAGTTGTACATAATTATATAATAAAATTAACCTTTATGTGATAATTATTTATTTTTAATATTTTGCTAACGGGGGATGGTAAGAGTTCAGGGAGTCTCATTCAGAAAAGACGACCTAAGTGCACTGATGACTAGACTCTGTCATCCAGACCCTATTTGTCTATGCAATGCTTTTCTGCTCAACTTTGGCCAATGTTTGTGAGTTGGTAACTAGCAGCATGGTAGTCCCGAAGTTGATACAAGATGCAACTCTTCAACGAAAGATGTCGGGAAAAGTCTGGGCATCAGGGAATAAAAGATGACAGAAAAGTCAAAGTTGCTACAAGTTACTATAATGATCCAGTTGATGACAATACACCTTCGACTAGATCCAATACTACGTTGCAAGTCTCCAGTCCATTCTAAAAGCTCAGGATAATTGACAGAGCTTAAACAAGAGTATATATATGTAAAGAAATGACTGAATAAATAAACCAAGTACGACTGAATTACAAAACATAATCCAAAATACCACATGAGGAAGTACATGTTGATCAATCATTTATAAGTGCGTCAGTATTTCATAAGCAGCTAATGAACTGTTCACATGAAGAAGTATATCAATAATAAGTGAGTATTTCATAATGAAAAGTAGTATCAGATGTCTAGAAGAGTAAGCATAACCTGCCTAGTGCCACACCCGTAAATTTAATAATTTTGAATTTTGACACAAGCGAGTAAGTATTTTATAAGAAATCAGTATTTATTGAGAATAAAAGCTACAGTGTTCCGTGATTCACATAGCAAGATGATAGTAGATTATAATAATAATAGTAATACACATATATATATATTCACAAAACAATATTTCACTATTTACACAAACAGGGGGCCTTATTCTAAATAACTTAACTAAGGTAAAATCCAGATTTTAAGAAATACAGTAATCTGATTGGATAATAAAACTTAATTTAAAATCAATTTTAGTGATTGACCAATCAGATGACTTTAGAGTATAAAATCCAGATTTGAAGAAATACAGTAATCTGATTGGATAATAAAACTGAATTAAAAATCAATTTTAGTGATTGACCAATCAGATGACTTTGGAGTATAAAATCCAGATTTGAAGAAATACAGTAATCTGATTGGATAATAAAACTGAATTAAAAAACAATTTTAGTGATTGACCAATCAGATGACTTTGGAGTATAAAATCCAGATTTGAAGAAATACAGTAATCTGATTGGATAATAAAACTTAATTTAAAATCAATTTTAGTTATTGACCAATCAGATGATTTTGGAGTTGAAGAATAAGGCCCCAGGTTTAAAAGCTTTTTACACCAGTTGGAAGAATAAAGCAAGTGATAAACTATATAATTTATACTATAACATTTAGCAGTGAGATTTTCATACAAAGAACATAAGGCATATTACATGCTTCTTTAAAGGGATTGTAAAAAGGTTTTCTAAATTTTGTATGATAGCATCAATTTGCACCATTTTAATTTTCAGATAGATGGAATGGTGTACATTGATGCTATCAATGTCCCTTATTAACAAACATTTTTTAGAAAACGTGTTTACATTCTGTTATACCTAAACACAAGACCTATATAATAAATATTATTTCTTTTATATCGAAGCACAAAAAAACAAAAGCAATGTGTATCTTTCAAAATAGTAACTTTATACAAAATGTAATGTGTATGTACATAATGCTATATCTTCAGTCTTTCTAGACCTTGAGCTAACAGACTAATATTCTAGTCCTTAACAAGTGAGTGATATAGAAGCATTATAGACCTTATTCACGCGTCGGTAATATTGAATCGAGAACGAGGCTCATAGCGCAAACAATAAAAAGGGAACATATCACTGCATAAAATTGCCAACTTGATGTCTTTAAAGCCTCCTTCTCCAATCCCACTAACTCAAAACTAATCATATTTTACATTATTCATTCAAAGTTTTTATGAATACTTTCAGATGAATTTTACCTTCGCACATTTTCAAGAAAGGGCAGTTTTAAGCCCATTTTCTCGCTGTTGATCGGGTGTTTAATGAAGTCAAATTGGCTATTTGTTCATACGACGTAGCCATCTTATAAATGGATGATGTAATTTGCATTATGAACCTTGCTTTCAGTGCAGTATCTAATTTCTAGCTTGTAGCAAATACAATGAGCTCTGTAGTTCTCTGTAAGATTATCAAATTTAATTTAATATAATATATAAACAAAATAATATTGATCCATAAAACAATCAGGACTCTATCTGTATCATCATAATAATTCTTCTTGTGCATATAACATTTTCTTAATTTTAAATTTATATTTAACATAAGTTACCCACAATAATTTATAACATACAAACATAATAAAAGTCAATTGTAAAAAATTTACAAAATAAATTCTTATACTTGATATTTCAATAACATGGTGCAGAAAAGTAGGAAGTAAAACTCCATTCATTTCATTTGATATTCAATACTTGTTTTATAGAACATCTTATTTCATTTTCTTTACTTATTAAACATAGCAACAAAACTCATGATAACAAGAACGTGTTGGGCGAGCATTAATCTAATTTAAATTAAATGAAAAAGTTGTATCTATTTTATTTTTTGATATTTACGACCTATCAAAGCGTGTAAAACCAATTTCTTGATAAAATAAGGAATTGTGGGATATCGAAACCTATTGTAGAGCAGTCTCTTTGGGTTTCACTATCCCACAATTCCACATTGGCCATTAGGTTATTCTTTTTCAAACGTTTATTATATCAAAACTCATAAGTTTCATATCAAAGATTTAAAACGATTAACATAATAGTAATTTTCTGTAAAATAAATTAAAAATAAAAATCAGGGACTTCGCTACAAAATTTTTGTGAATATATGAAAAATTCGCAAAACCTGGCTCAATTGTAGGAAAATATCTTTAAAACCAAATGCATATCCATATATTTGGAGCCCTTGTCAAACATGACTGGCAAAATACAACATAATCAACAGTTGGGAGCTCTATTCAGACATGACTGATAAATACAGTTTAAGGCCCTAGTCAGACATGAATGCAAATGCAAAAAAGTCGTAATTTTAATGCTTTAGTCAGACATGATTGGTAAATACAACAAAATAATAGCTTTAGTCAGACATGACTGGTAAATACAACAAAATAATAGCTCAAGTCAGACATGACTGGCAAAAAAAACATGATCATAAACTTTAAGCTCGACTCAGACATGACTGGTAAATACATCAAAATCAAGCTCTTGTGAAAATTGCACATAAAATTCAACACTGATTAGATGTAAATTGAATCGTAAGTGCCCTATTTTTGACAGTAAAATTCCCCACCGGCAATCAGTTTGCCAAATTTTTTTCGTAAGACATCTTGAGAAACAGGGTCCTGGCCCCAGACCACGCCCTGGCCCCAGACCACAAAACATTTCTCATTCTCAGCTTACTTTCTACTCAAATTCATAATACCTCTCTCATCAAGAAAAGGTAAAATTTGAAGATAAATGTGATAATGTTAGAAACATTGTATCCTAATGAATAATTTGATATTTTTTTCTTTGATACAATTAGTTATACTGTAATAACAGCTTGAAGTTTGAGTAAAATGGTAGAAGTACATGTATGGAAAAAAAACGGTTTGTGGCCCTCAGACCCTGATCTAAAATTATCTGATTTTCAATCACTTTTATGAGTCATAGGTGGAAATTCATTTTCATCATCCAAACGTAATTTTCCCATGTTGCTGGCCTCGTCCCCGCCCACAGCTCCCTGCTCTAGTTCTTCATACGGCTGAGATTCTGAAAAAAAAAGATATGTTCATATAAAAATTGAAAAATGGAGTCATATATTTTGATGATACTATTTTGTAATTTATAAAGCACTTATTTCCAGGGATTGTAAAGAATTCTAAATGTTTTAAGTGTAGCGGGGACACTGATAGCATCAATTTACGTCTTTCCAATTTTCAATGAGAAATCTGTGGTTCCTACAATTCCACTAAAACTAAGTGTTTCATGACGTCACTAATCACGAAGGGCCTTTTGTGATAACGCATATTTTGATTAGTGACGTGCTCTTTTTAACTAAGATTTGAAATATACAGGCCCAAATAAACACAGTATGAAATGTGCCACAAAGTTACAGAATTGAAGTTAAAGAAATGTGCAACACAATGTTTTGAGAAGAGAAAAGAGGAGATCTTTTTAAATTGAAAAAACCATTAAGAAAGCATGCCAATGAAGTCATTAATTTTAGAAAGCATTTTATGTATAATCTGATCAAGCCAATAAACCCAGAGATCATGTTCCTTCAACATCGTGTAGTATAGAGTTGTTCAAGTTTGCTGATGTTGATTAGATCAATCATCAAAAATCATGCTTCAGTCCTTCATTTAGAGCCAATGAGCATGCTAAATACAGTAAGTAATCATTTAAAGCTTTCAAGAAATGATTTCCGGACTAACGATAAGTCAATTACAGTTGGTTTAAAACAAATGTCAGAAAATTCAGCAATCTGATTGGTTAAAAACTCAATTCAAAAGAAGTTTGGGGAATAACCGATCAAAAGATTGCTATATATGTAAAAGGGAAATATTTTCTGAAGTATTGCCAATGCCAATAATTAGAAAGATATATCCCTTTTAGATAAGATTTCGAGAAATTGAGACTTGGTTAACCAGGTTAAAATTAAAACCATGCTAAGCCGTTGGTGAGATTTGAAAATGATCAAACAAAAGAAATGAAAGTTACAGAAATATGGATGAAGGTCAAGGACATTAATGGCTGCTACTCTAGGATGTAAATGGCAGGCTTCTAGGCCACGTTTCTCTCAAAAATCTTCCAACAATCCTTGTCACAAGTGTGGATGACCCTTGTTCATCTCAACTTTCACAATGAGAGTGTGGCATCATGTAAAAAATCCTACAAGCTTTAAGGAAATGTAAGATGGTTTTCTAAATTTTTTATGTGTATCTGGAACACTGATAGCATCAATTTGCAAAATTTGCTTTATCACATAAGGTCCTTTGTGATTAGGGATTTGATGATTAGGGAATTGATGATATAAATGTCCCCAATACACATAATTTATTTCAGGAAACTTTTTTACAATCTCTTTAATGAAATATTTATAGTAAAATACTTCATATAAAACCAACATTTATGAATTTTCATTCATGGATGGCCTTTTTCTGGTAAAATCAACACTTATGACAAGTTTTATTGTAAGATTTTTTGAAAAGCGAGAGCCTTTCTCCTCCACCGGCCGACGTTATGGTTGAGGACCAGTGCGGGGAGGAGCAAACTAGTGGGCCATACTTTACCTTCCCCAACTAGAACATCATCCATTAGAGCAACAGAATCCGGTTTCACGTCTTTCTTTGACAGCATCTCTGCGTAACTAAAACCTGAAGAATTCGGGGGACGGTCAAGCGACGGTGGCTTACCTGGCGGAGTGCCACCTGCTGGAGTGTTATCTCGACGAGTATAAGTGGCACCTGGATGAGCTAGAGGACGATCGTGAGAGGCTGGATCTTGAGAGAAGGATTCACCCGGCTGCCCATCTAACCTGTATGAAACATAATCCACATGAAATGAAAAAATCAAAAGAAATAAAGATCTAATCAATTTTAATTTTCAATTATACAAGCCAACTAAACTGTCTTAAACTCAGTGGTGGAGCCAGGTTTACGTCCAAGGGAAGGCGAGATATCTGAGATAGTTATGAGATTCTTGCCCGAAAAACTTGCTTCCAGGCCTGTGAGGGGGGGAGTGGGGGAGCAACTGCCCCCTCTGCCCCCCTTTGGCTCTGTCACTATTTAAACTACTGCTCATAATATCGCAATTATACCATACATATTCAATGTTGTTCAGTATTTACATTTTTCAAAAAAATGGTTAACTTATGGATTACTTAATCACTATTCAAAACATCTTATACATCAGTGTTCTACTGGGTTTGAATAGTGAAGAATTCTTGCTAAAAATCAGCGTTTCTTGAAAGGTATGATTGCTGCCAAATTTCCAATCAAAAGTAAACCATTCCGAAATCTACTGCTGCCATTTCCTTCCACGTATTTGCTGGAGTGCAAATTGACGTCATCCACCTGGACATACAGAAAATCTCGAACTAACAGTTCATCTCTGTATTAACTACCGTTGGCCTCAGTAAATATTACACACTACATGTTGATAATTCTCGTATTAACCTCACCTGAGTCATGAACCATACAATATTTACTAACCTATGTTGTCTGATTAAGGTACATTCACCACCTTCATTAGGATCAATATTATAAATATATAAATAACCATCTTGAGACGCCACTAGTAATCGGGGTATCTTCTGTATTCTGTAAGCAAAAATATACAACGTCAGCATTTTTATAAAGATGTCGGATCACCTAAAGCTTTATAACAGTAGAATTACATCTGAATTTTACAAATTTCGAAAGCCTTCCCTTTTTCGATTTCCAACTGTCGAGGGATCTTTAACATGCACAGCCTGTAGGAAACGGGCCTCAGTTTATTTTCCCCTCCAAACGACTAGACGCTTTTTCCACGTCAGCCCCTCTTACCTGCATCACTGACAGAGGAAAACCAGGTTGAAAAATCGGAAGGGTGTAACTCACTGGCCCATCGCGGCTCCCTGCAAGCTTTATTGGGAAATAGATAAAATAGATTACTTACAAGGCTAAAGCACAGACATTGCGTAAGCCCGAGTTAGGTAGCCTAGCCGTGGCAAATGATCTCCCTTGGTTAAACATCTCTGTAACGGGAGTGGGCAGATAATTAGCTGAGGTTTTTAAAGCTTGATTAAAATATCCCATCCAACTCTGATTTTCATCTTGTGGTTTTGTTTGTCTAAAATAATAAGTTTTGTGCAAAGTTATTATTACTTTTAATGTTTCAACTATAATTTCTCATTATTTTACACCTTCTTTGCCCCATATTCAATGATACCTAGAGGAACGGCTGTCCAAAAGATATTTCTAGTCAGGAAGCTAAGGTACAATTTTTTGCCTTTTGTTGCACAACGAGACATCTTTTTCATGTCAGCACTTCACAATAATTAATTAATTTAATGGATATATCATGTTATATAGAGATTCTATTCTTTAGTCATGGCACCTAGTAAGTCTAACTGATGAATAAATACTCTTATTGACCAAGTTTGAGACATTAAATTTTATGTCCATTCTAAGAAGTAGTATTCCTTTAAGGTTATTTAAAATGAAAGTAGAAAACTTACTTGTCTTTCATATTGATATCTAATTTAAAGATATGAACAGTTTCTGTATTACTAGAGGCACACAGGAACAATGCATCGTTACTAAACCCTAACGAATTAATACTAACACACCTGAAATAAATAATAACACTTTACAAACTGAACACAAGAACAATGTATCATTACTAAACCCTAACAAATTAATAATAACACACCTGAAATAAACAGTAATCAAGCCAAAATTAAGTGGGGCATCATTTAGTATTCAGATTTATCAACTTAGCATTTTGGTATTTCAGGGGGGTCCACAAAGCTAATAATGTTTATTTGGTGTTTGGGTTAGCTTACTTCTCATCCCTTTCAAAAAGGACACATAGCTTACATTTTGTATGTTGTAAGTTTTTATTGCCCCTTCTAGGCTACAGGCAACACCATGCAGTATGCAATGAGGGAAACTGTAAAGGGATCTTTAGTGTGCACAGCCTGTAGCACACAGGGCCTCTGTTAATAGTCCCATTCGAACTACTAGATGCTTTTTACCATGTGGTATTTCCAAGACCTCAACCAACTGTTTGTTTGCTAATGGCCATGTTGGTATTTTATTTTACCTTTTAACTCCTCTTCTAAATTCAAATAATTTCTGACCGTCTGGTATAGAGAAAACTCTGATTACTGTTCCCTGTAATATCACACAAAATATTATTATAGGTTGAAATATTAAAACAGAACCTGAAACATGTTGTTACTCAGAGTTTCACACTGTGTGATCTTCAGACAACTGACCTATTTCAGCCTGTGTCCCTATTGAAGTTAGACAAGTAGAACTTATTCTCATGTCTACATTTCAAGAGTTGGAACATTTGTTTAAAGATGTGTGCTTAGGGGCATTAATGTCTGGGCTCTAGCTCTGCTATCAATGGACCAGGCCACGTATTCTCAAACCGATTTTAGCTCTAGGATGTCCTAGGATCTTATCTTCTAACATTGATTCTAGGACATCCTAGCGCTAAGATCGTTGCGATAATACGTGGCCAGGATATTTTGAATTTCATGATAAGTAAATAGTTGTCAAAGTATCTGTTTTCCCAACTCCAGTCTAAATTTAATGTCAAAACATTTTATAAGACCGCTTTTTTTTAATTTGTATTACCAAGAGTTTAATCAAGAATCAAATGAATGCATTTTTAAATCAAATTCAAAGAGTTTACCTTTTCTGAAGCTGTGACTAATTTGTTACCTTGGTGACTAAAACTTAAAGCAGCTAAAGGACCATCGTGGGCTGGTATCATAGTAACTGCTCTCTAAAATAATAACATAAGGTTTAACAACATTTATAAGTTGAGAGAACATAAAACAAAATACACTAGTAATACTGTACAGTATAATTCACTTTCTTTAATAAAAGAGACTGTAAAGAGGTTTTATAAATTTTGCATGTGTATCGGGGAAACTGATAGCATCAATTTGCACCATTCCAATTTTCAGTCTGTGGTTCCTGCGACTCCACTAAAACTAAGAGTTTGATGACGTCACTATAAAAAAGCACGTTCAAATGCTTAGGTTTAGTGGAATTGAAGGAACCACAGACGTCTGACTGAAAATTGGAATGGTGCAAATCAATGCTTATAGTGTCCCCGATACACATAAAAAGTTTAGAAATCCTCTATACAATCCCTTTAATATGATCTAACTATTACATAAAACTGAACTTTACCATTGAAATTTCATAGATAATCAAATATACTTACTAAATTAATAGTATCGAATATCTGGACTTCACCAATCTGATTACTACCAGGGTAGGCCAAGAAACAATTATCATTGCTTATAGCCAGAGCACAAAGTCCTGTAGGATTAGGTGGTGTATCACGTATCGTATGTAACACTTTCATATCTCGAATATTGTGTATATATAAACTCTCTTCTAAACATACAATCAATCGCTGAAAAATACAATATAAATACTACTATCAATTGCTGGAAAATACAATATAAATACTACTATCAATCACTGGAAAATACAATATAATTACTACAATCAATCGCTGAAAAATACAAGTGGAAGGTGTTTTGCTAGTGTAGAAGATGGTACTTTCAACAGCTAAAAAATAAATCATTTTAAGATAATATATTAATTCTTTGATAATTTTCTTTAGTTTAATTAGTCATTATTTTTTAATGTCAAATTAAGCAAACTATTAGATTAATTGGTGTTTCTAATGAATTATCATGTATTCTTAATCATATCATTATATTCTTATTGCATATAATAAAGAGTTTTAACCAATCATAAATGTCCATGTATGAAACAGTCTTGATAAACCAAAAACAAACTTTTTGACCTTTCTTGATCGGTCACTCATTAGAATTCTGCAGGTAATTCTCTTCTAATTTAGCTAATTATGAATTAATTATGGACATGTGAAATAAACTGGTATTTTCCAAGTCATTAGAACACCTCTACTTTCTATTAATAAAAGTATTAGCATTTTCATTTTCATAAATGAAACTAAGGGAACGCATCTTGAAGTTTATAACATAAATATTAACAAATATATTTTGTTAACTTGAGTTGAATAAAAGGTGCAGTTCTAGGGAATATAAACTTTCTATGAACCTCTAAAAACTATCATATTTGATATTGAAATATTTTAATAGTGAAAGGTGCAGTGTCTGTATCAATTCAATGGCTATTAAATAAATCATTATTACATAAAAAATATAATAAAAAATAAAATGAGTCAACTTATAAAGGAAAAAATAAATCACACGATAATATGTAAACAGTATGTAATAAGTCGATATAATTAGAGTAAATGTGGGTGCTATATATAATATATTTCTCAGACAATATTCTTTAGCTTAAGTGAATAAAAGGTGCAATGTTATAGTGAATTGTGAATATATAAAGACCTATTTAACAATCACTTTATATAAGTCTATATATGCAGCTTATAGAAATAGTATCATATGATATAATATAATATAATATTGGTAAACTTAAAAATAATCTGCTGTAGAATAAATATACCAAGTACTAACGATCTGAACTGAAAAAACTTTAAGACTACTTAGTTTTTTCTATAGCAGATTATTTTTTTGAATGTTTACTCATGTGTTGTGCTTTAGAGTATCCACATTATATTGATCAACTAAAAAATGGACTGTTAAAAATCTTTGTGAAATGATTTGCGTGTCTGTTATTGAACACATGTCCATGTGAGCGTATAAAAATAATATCATAATTTGCTGCAACCAATGTTTTGCTATACTAACATTTCGGATTTCCCGTTTGGACCGTTAGTACTTTTATTTTTTTTATTGATGATATTAAAAGTGTTACAGTAGGCTAAATATTTGGATTACCAACTGATAAAGCTCCATTATTAAGTTATATTATCAGTAATATCTGCATGGAATTGATAGATTTACTAGCATCCTACATTGTTGGGATACTAGATGCTGTGTTAGAAAGTGTTAATAAAATTGAGCTCTTACACTGAGGAAGAATTAAATTTTACCTGTCGATTGAGCATGACAGCTAATATAGAATTGGAATAACTTTAAAATTACCTGTCGATTGAGCTTGACAGCTAATATAGAATTGGAATAACTTTAGAATTACTTGTCAGTTGAGCTTGACAGCTAATATAGAATTGGAATAACTTTAGAATTACCTGTCGATTGAGCATGACAGCTAATATAGAATTGGAATAACTTTAGAATTACTTGTTAGTTGAGCTTGACAGCTAATATAGAATTGGAATAACTTTAGAATTACCTGTCGATTGAGCATGACAGCTAATATAGAATTGGAATAACTTTAGAATTACTTGTCAGTTGAGCTTGACAGCTAATATAGAATTGGAATAACTTTAGAATTACTTGTCAGTTGAGCTTGACAGCTAATATAGAATTGGAATAACTTTAGAATTACCTGTCGATTGAGCTTGACAGCTAATATAGAATTGGAATAACTTTAGAATTACCTGTCGATTGAGCATGACAGCTAATATAGAATTGGAATAACTTTAGAATTACCCGTCGATTGAGCTTGACAGCTAATATAGAATTGGAATAACTTTAGAATTACCCGTCGATTGAGCTTGACAGCTAATATAGAATTGGAATAACTTTAGAATTACCCGTCGATTGAGCTTGACAGCTAATATAGAATTGGAATAACTTTAGAATTACCTGTCGATTGAGCATGACAGCTAATATAGAATTGGAATAACTTTAGAATTACCTGTCGATTGAGCTTGACAGCTAATATACAATTGGAATAACTTTAGAATTACCCGTCGATTGAGCTTGACAGCTAATATAGAATTGGAATAACTTTAGAATTACCCGACGATTGAGCTTGACAGCTAATATAGAATTGGAATAACTTTGGAATTACCTGTCGATTGAGCTTGACAGCTAATATAGAATTGGAATAACTGTAGTTGCATATTTCTGTTCCCTTTTTAAAATGACAAACTTCTAATTTTCGAGGTGATGAAAGACTGACAATGGCCACTAGACTGCTGGAGAATAACCTTTCTACAATGGCTATATCTTCACTATCTGTAATTAAAATATAAAAATTGCTGCTGATTGGTTATTAATAATTCGTGGTCCAATCAGAATTCATTTCTCATAATCAATTATCTAATACAGTAAAAAAAATGGAGCCCAGGGGGATTCAAAATTTTCACTTAACCGGTGTAGACTTTTGTACTTGTTTCTGACTCAACATTTGGATATTTTAAGTTAAATTTTTCACTGAAGGTAAGGGGCATCTTCCTCTACGTGTTGGCATGCAGTTTGATGTATTCCAAACCACAAAAACCGAGTGAAAAAGGCTCAATGTCCTTTAACGAAATTTTCTTTTCATGTCTATTATTTGGTATTGCAAAGAAAAAGGTGTCAAGAGAAATCATCCGAAAGGTCATCCAGTGCATCAATAAAGTTATACACTTTGATATTACATCCATCCACCATGTTAGAGATAGATACAGTTGAAATTCATTAAATTCACAGCCATGTCAAATAAAGTTCAAATATTTTATAGATTAATTCTACGGTTGACTGATTTTAAAAGTTTACTTTTCCATCAGAATCTAACCAGTTCGGTTTTGGTGTTAAGGTGTATGGAGTCTCAATGAAAGCACTGGCCTAGGTCACAGAGAAATACTAGCCTTTGGTAGTTGTCAGACGATCAAATATCTATCAGATGCTGGAATGTTTCCGACTAATACCAGGCAATGTACCACAGTAATGTTCTCATTGAATCATTTTGGTTCTTCAATTCTCCAATAGCAGACAAAAGATTTCATAGGTGATTGGGTACATTCAGGGGTACAGGACGTCTAAAACCTCATCATATATATATAATACCTACCATGTTCATAGATAGATTCTAACTTCTCAACTGAATTCAAAGAGAATAGTTTGTATCCTGTTTTGGTGCCAACTGCAAGCGATCTGAAAATATTACAAATGTAATTGTGAGGGAATCAGGACAACTCGGACCAAAACAAACTCAGCCAACCTTTTTTATCAACAATATTTCACAACAAACCCAACCCACTTTTTATAACAACCTCGTCCCACTTTTTTTGACTCGGACCAAGTTTTAAACAATTATTAACCACTATTTACACTTACCTTACTTTTTAATTCTAATATAATTATCTTAGTAATTAAAGAATTCAAACGGCCCTTTTCAAGACCATCCAGCGTCTTGACTTTTAACATTGGTTTGAATCTGAGTTGTCTTCAGCATTCTACTTTCAATTTGTTTAAAAAATATGAGTGGTCCCAGTTTGCATAGTTAGTGGGCTGAGTTTGTCATAAAAAATAATAATTATTAAGTCCGAGTCTCATAAAAAGTCGTGAAAAATAATAATTATTTGGTCCAATTTCTCGTAAAAAGTCGTGAGTGATTCCCATATAAAGTGGGCCGAGTTAGTCTCGAAAAGTGGTCCTGATTAGTCAAAAAAGGGGGCTGAGTTTGTTTTGCTCCGAGTCGTCTTGTGTTCAATTGTAAAACCTAAATAATGAAGCTTATAACTCATCTCCTTATCCAACACCTACTTTAATACTTGTAGCAATGCAAATGGTCACTTGGGTTCTGTAGACATATTCTTTAGGTAACGCAAAAAAAAGTGTCCTGAAAATGCATGGTCTTAACTATGCAATAATAAACTATTTTCACTCTTAAAATAGAGCTCAATACATCAATAATATTGTAGAGAATTGTTTTAACTTTGTATGGTTTCTTGACAAGTCTCAAGTACAGTCTCAAAATTGTTGACGCTGCATATTCTGAGTATTGAACCAGAGTGAAATATAATTCTGGAAAATTTTGTTATTTCAAAGTTCACAGATTTGATATTAACTAATAATTAATAAGGACAGAAAACAATTTGATTTACTTTATCATAGGTTCCTAGGGTTTAGTGAGAACCTAGGCCAAGGAACAATTTATCCAAAGCAATTCAGAGGAATTATAAAACCAGTACAGTGGTGTAACCTATTTTCGTGGATATAGGGATTTAACACCGAATTTCTTCAAAGTTAAAAAAACGAAAAAAAAATTTTATGTCTTAGATGTTTCATCAGATATTCTACAAAATAATTAAAATTGGTTTATTTCGATTTTCTTTATGAATCCTTCACTTTGACCCATATTTCATGAGCAACCAACTCGGCAACGGCGGCAGAATGCGTCACGTATTTTCGTGTACAATGTTTGATCTATAAATAAGTCTTGAAAAACACGTTGTATGGATACCGGGTGGTATAATTAACTTCTCTTAGTATTTGTCTTTAATATCAATTCATTATAACTAGTGACAATTCCTTCAAAGAACCACGATTTAAAAAAAAAATAGTGGCTGACAAAATAAGATACGTAGCGTGATTTATTGCTGAAAGTCACTGAAACAACATAAGAATATGGTCCACTTTGTGTTCCATACAAATTTTCTGCTGACACAGAATCCGCTAGTTGATCACGTGACTTCATTCGTTGGAATATATTCTAGCAGACGACACTTGGAACTCCGATTACCGCTTGGGATTATAAGGAAATTCGGCCGTTAAAAAATGGTGACGTTTGGTAATAAGTGAAATCCGCCATTTTGTATTTGTCAAAGTATACATTAATACATTTTACCTTACTTGAAACTACTGAATTCATTCTACTAGCTGATATTGTAGAGAAAACCCATGTTTATCAAAACAAACTAATGCGGAGGTCGTGCAAGGTCGCTCATGTAAATTATTAAACATTTCCGGAAATCCACGAATAATAGGTTTCCACGAAATTAAGTTACTTGACTGTATAAGTTCATCTGAAGAAAGGCATTTTGTTATTCATGAATGAAACTGAAAGAATCTTTCATCTGATTTACTTTTTTTTTTTAGAATCAATAAACTACAACTATTCAATATAAGTTTCTAAAAATAGAACATATGTAATGTTTGTTGACAAGCTAGGAGTTCTGCCACTTATTATTCTGGAAAATTTTGGCTTTGATTTTGTTTCAAAGTTTAGGTCAAATTATGAACTCATCAGTCTGTAACTGTGGTCCTCCATCAAAATTTTCAGGTAGATCCTGCATAAAAAAATAGCCCCAATGGCTGTTTAGATAGGTTAGTTGTTACTCTAACTTATTGACATTGACAAACCAAAACCGAAACAGTTCAGCTGATGATGCAGACGTCAAAATGAAAACAGACTATAAAAATTAAATGTAAACAAAGCCATTATTGAACACTTACGAACAGTCCTGGTTGAAATTAACGAACAACAGATTGGACTGTTGATCGCCCGATTGACTTGCGAGGTTCATGAGGCCAGTCCAGCCTTGAGAAACACCACTGTAGATATAATCCGTGTTTATATTTTACGTCCAAAGCTCAGTGGACTCCATTTACGATTGTAGACAATAAAGATTATGGCTATGTACACTACAATTACGTACAAAGTAGAATTATCAGAAACAATCTTTTTTTTAAAGTGTAATTTCAATTTTCACTCGAAGCTTTTCTTTTTATGATCTTCTGTTCTGAATTAGAAGTTTAATTGTATGCATATTCTGGAATGTGAATATGACGTGATTCGACCTGTGTATGATTTAGTCAAAGTGGCGAATTCAAATTTCTTATCAATCCGTGAATGCAGTGCTAATAGTCAGTAAAGGTCATGACACAAGAATGATGTTATCTGATTGGTTAGGTTAAAAATAGCAGAGATAACTCTTGTACTGATTCAGACCACTGTTAATATCTGTAGTCATAATTTTCTCAATAGCCATCTGTGGCCCATTTTAAATAACAAAGCTATTGATCATTAATTGATTTCTTAGTCAGTAAATTGGGTAAATTTGTAACTTGCCTTTTCACAATTTTGGTTCTATTCAAGATAAAAAAAAATCTACAAGTCCTAAAGCGGATTTGATAACGATATAGGCCTAATTTTCTGTTGGCTAGCTTTTAAAATTATGAAAAATAGGCTTAAAACCGTAGCCTACCCTCTTGAGGGGGCTTTCAAAACTTACAACAGCGAGTGAATTGGCTATGTTCGGTTCAATGTTATTAATTCTGCCCGTATACCATGCCGACTTCACAGAAAGGGGCAGTTGCTCACCCCTGCGAAGCCTTGAGAGGATCCCGTACCCCATATGGCTACGTAACCTATAACCATACAGAATCATCAAAAATACAACTAAGCAAATAAGTCGATTTGACACTCTGGTACATTTTCCGATTGAGTATTTCATGTTAGCACGCTACGTTATCATTCAGCACGAGACTAACTGGCGTTTATACCGGGTCACGTGTCTAATGCGTGACGTTAATTGAAATGCACGTGCATTAGAAAGGAAACCGTTATATCCAGGATGTTACAACGTTTGGTATGCAGATACCTTGTCACTATATACAGGAAGGCTATGAAGGACGGTCCGTTATTGTCAACGCTCGCTATCTTTCAGTGACACGTGACCCTGCGACACGCACGTGTAATCTGAATCACGTTCACTGTTAACGGTAAAACTTGATCAATCGATGTGTGCAACTCTAACTGAAGACATCGTCTGGAATTAGTTAGCGACTTACATTTGCAGTGAAATTCAAATGGCAGAGGATTTCTATAATGCGGATTCGGTATGTTAAAGGCATGGTTTTGTTTCGATATCAAAACTTTTGATTTATGTTATCTGTGCTATCATCAGCACAATTGTGTTCTTTCCGATTGATTGATTGATTTCCAATGATTTTGATGTTTAAAAGTCGAGGACTTCTCTAGTCATTAGCTTTTTAAGATAATTGGAAATCTTCTAGAATTTTTTATTTAAACAATATTTATTCAAGAATTACAAATATTACAATATACATATATATAAACATATGGTTTTGGAAACAAGCTTTAAAGCTTATATACATCCATTACCATTCAAAATCATTACAATACGATACAATACAAATTAGGGAAAAATTTACAAACTGTTTACACTAGAATTCTAATATAGCCTAGGTTATACCTAACTTATATAGAAGGCCTATATCTGTATTGTTAAAAACTATCTGTCTTTGTCAATGTTGTGTAAATTAGTGTTTAAATTATTTTTTTTAAAAAATAACTAGTTAAAGAGAATGTCAAGAGGTTTTCTAGATTTTTTTATGTGTATCGGGAACACTGATAGCATCAAATGACGTCATTAAAGGCCCTTTGTGATACGAACTCATTTTGCGATTATTGACGTCAACAAACACTTATTTATTGTGGAATTGCAGGAACCACAAACGACTGACTGAAAATTGGAATGGTGCAAATTTATACTATCAGTGTCCCTGATCTAGAAAATCTCTTACAATCCCTTTGATATTTGTATTATTCTTTTCTTTACTCTCTTGACACCCTAATTTCAGTCAGAAGTAAAAATTTTGGTTTATCCTGATAAGTGTATACCAGTTATTTTGATCTATTTATGTTATCCAGGAAAGAACTTCCCATAAAGTTATCGAGAAAAGACGAAGAGATCGGATTAATAACTGTTTAATGGAACTATCTCAAGCAGTACCTTCTGTTTTCGCCAAACAGGTAATTTCAGTTTTTAATACTTTTCTTGATAGGAGGTAGCCTAGTTTTAAACGCCACAATATTAAATCAATTTTAAACCTGACATATGAAACCTTATTCAATATATGCTGACTGTGATCTGTATTTTTAAAATATGGGATTTATACCATACCTGATAGGCCTACCTAACTATGCGGGCGTCCGAGTTTAGTGAGGTTGTTGTTGTAGTAATTGTTTTATTATAAAGGTTATATTGCAATAGGGTAAATGGAGGAGGCATTGGGGAAGTAGATAATAAAGTTTGAGAGTAGGCCTTACCAAGCAATTGAACTCAACTTCACACAAAGACGCCCACCCTATTGCATTTGTATATATAGTATTTCATAGGAGTTAACATTCATACATTTTGTATTTTAATACATCGACTTTGATAGCCTACTTTGTAGCAGTAACATGTATTTTGTAAGGACGACTTTGGTATTTCAAAGCTTCGATATAGTAAGTTTGGCAACGTTATACCTCCATAAGCTTGAGCATAATATACCCCTTATAGAAAACAATAGAGGTATGAGCACACATTCTAACCATGACCGTAGCGAGAGGAGGGGGAGGGGTGGGGGGAAGAAGAAGGGAGGGGGGGGGGGGGGGCCTTTAAGACAAAATTTGCCCCCCCCCCCTACGGGCCTGGTGCTATGCAAATTTTCTGTAGACTATCGCATTGAGCATTCACGCATCCAAACCATATATCCGTCCATATATTCTGAGGTTTATTTTTAGTCTTCAGGAAAGTTAGAAAAAGCCGAGATATTAGAGATGACAGTCGAATATTTAAGAACAATACAAAGAACAGAAAGTGGGTCGAAACACGACACAAGTAAGTTTACATACTCCTCATCGGGCTGATACATATTGGCGGTGCTAGCCGTTTTCAACGAGGGATTGGAATACACCTTATCAATTTGATTTTAACGTGCATGACCCGTCGCACTTGAAGCCTCGCTTCGTACTTTTATCTAAACTTTCGGGAAATATTGTTGATAAACTACATCTCGAAAGATTAAAATTCTGTTACTAACGGGAACATACTTGATTAATTGATGACGGTACAATATGTATATAATTCGATATAATAATGCACGCGCATATTGACCTAAGTTCTCGATCGAAACAAGTCTATTTCTGTTCGATCAACCAATGATTTGCGCTAATTCTGGCAGCCCTACCCACGTGATCATATTTATGTGCCTGTATATTGGGGGACGAGGATATCCATTCTGACTACAAAAACCTGCCATGTTTTGGCTAGTTGGACTAGACATTTTGTATCCGGAAGATAACGAATTATTGATCAATCTACCAGGCTGGGGTCTTTTACACACGTCGAAAATTCCATCAAATAATTAATGTGTGTTGCCTCACTGGCACGTGCAGGGCACAAAAGATATCACGTGCAAACATCTTTCCCGGTAACGGCACGCGACATCACCCGTCCACACGCAAACACGCACGTGCGTTTCAAATGCGCACGCGACTTGGATTCTAAGCTCACGTGTTTCAAACAGATGTGTATGTCTTTATTTGCAGGAAACCCGACTAATTTTATAGCAGAGTGTGCGGAAACAATGAAACGCATGTCAAAATGAGAAACTGAAAGGAAATCTGCTTTTCTCTCGATTGGGGTGCACACGAGACACCAGCAATTATCGTCGTAACACGAAACGCCCGCGCAACGATCACTCTATAATTTTATAGATGAAGACTTTGTTAAAACTTAAGATGTTGCGAACTTGGAAAACATATGACGTGTGCGCAGGCAATGTGCATCATATGGCATAGTCATCGCATAGCAAGGTCAATAACTCATCGTGTCCAAACCACACCCCTATTCGTCATACTTCCATGTCAAAACTCTCATTCGGGATACGACGATGTATGCTTTGCATCGCAACCGTGTACAAAAATCCAACTAGTGAATAAGTTTATCAATGTTCTGTTATGTTAGGAGCTTCTATAATGCCTATAATCACGTATAACTTTAAAACAATTCTAATCGAACCCTGAACAAATACGTTTCATTAAAATAGGATCGTATGTTTGCTGCAAAATTGTAGGAGGAAAAATAATCATACTAGCGAATAAAGTGTGGCTGACTAAGATTCAATGTTTTCCATTTTTTTTATTTCAGGATTATTCCAGAGCGGATCCACATGGACAGATTTTTGTCAGAATTATGAGCTGGGGTATAACGAATGTATGAGAGAAGTGGTCCATTACATGACTGATATAGAGGGCCTGGGACTCAACGATTCGAGATGCGTTAGAATACTATCGTATCTTCAGACAAGACTATCCCCTAATATATCCCTCAATAACGACTTTCCCCAAAGTGTCCGTGAACCGAAATCAGAATGCGGTGGACAAGTAAGGGGTTTTTCAATAGAACGAGGTTTCAGAAGATATTCTCCCTACAGGACTGAAACACATAGAAATTTTAGAATTGGGGCCTTTGTGAATAAGCCATCGTGTAGAGACCTTAGCTCAGAGTTACATAGAAGCTCCAGATCGTTCAATTTGTTGTAAAAGGGGCTCGGGATAGATTGCAAGGCAAATTGGGCATACAAGTGAAGGATATTTCAATAGAGCTTCAGAATATCATGAATCATGGATTGGAATCCTTTGCGAGTAACTAGGTGCTCTAGGTCGTTCAAGTTGTTGTAAGTGGGATCGGTGTTAAAACGCGGGGCAAATCTTTGAATACGTTCCTATGTATGTGATACGGACATTGATCAGAAACTGTTACGGATGGTTTGATAATAATAGGCCCCTACTGCAGAAAGTTTTATGGTCTGGATTTAGTCAGAATCTATCAAATCTTGGTATGGGATTCGCGGCTGTAACAGCTGAGATGATTTAACTGATAATACCTTAAAGGGATTGTAAAGAGACACTGATAGCATCAATTTGCACCATTTTATTCAAGAAATGAAGTAAGCCTTACAAGATCAAGATTAAAGGAACAAAGAGTTTTAAAATGTACAATATATTTACAAAATAATATAAGTTAAATGAATTATAATAAAATTTTTCTTTCCCCTATTGCCACCTTTCTTGTATCACAAAATGGATTGATTGGATTGTTTGCTAATGAATACAGCCAATAATGAATGACCAATGGTTTACAGACTTCTTGTCATTGGCTGTATCGAACATACAAAATTACGAACAGAAATAACGCAGACAGACATAAATCACAACCATTTTGAATCTCTTCCTCGACTTAAAAGGTCAAATTTTGAAAAAGGGTATAGTATTTCAACAAATATTGAAATATTGAAGCCTTTCAAAATTTGATTTATCAGGTTGAGGAAGAGATTCAAAATGGTTGTGACCTATGTCTTTGTGTGTTATTTCTATGTATGAACTATACGTAACTTCGTAGCTTCGTATGACTAGCGAATACAGCCATAGAGAGTCTCAACACATTAAGAATATAACAAGGGCTTTGATAATAATAGGCCCCTACTGCAGAAAGTTTTGACTAGCTTGAAATTGCAATGAGCTTATGTATGTATATAAATTTAGAGATGTCAACATTTAATTTTATATCAAATAATTTTGTGATTTAAACCCTACAGGAACCACTTGTTAGGGCACAATGACTGGAAAAAGAGCATAAAAAATTGTTAAAATTAAGTGTTTTTTTGTAGGTGGAAATATTTTTGTGCTCAAATTTGTGAAAACTAAACTCTACTATTTTAATGTATAGTTTAGTTTTCACAAATTTGAGCACAAAAATATTTTAAAAAAGTCTCTAAAGGTATCTGACAGTTTTAACTAAAAAAATCCAAACATTAGTTTTTTTAATGCTAAAACAATTGAAAACATTTACCTAAATTTTCAAGTTTGTTAGGCTTTTTAGAAGCTGTTAAAAAACTTCTGTACGAATCTAAGCTCTAAGCAAAATAAACGCGAACTGTAAATGAAATGAAATGAGTGTTATGTCCTATTTTTCTGCATCATGTGGGAACGCTAATTGTAGAGATGTCCCTTAAGTATTCTAAAGGTTTTAACTTTTTATATTGAGTCATTATAAGGCCAAACACCAAAACTAGATCTAACAATTAGTATGCTTTTAATTAACCCTTATAAAACAAATTTAGTTTGATTAAAGTAATACTACGTCTAATAATGAACATAAAATTGAAAGATTTTAAACTTGGCCAACAAGAGCATAATATATTCATCTGTAGATATACCTAGTGTCCTAAAAAACATAACAGGATCCTTCTATAATCCGATAAATCCAAAAAACTTAGTAATTATCCATTAATATGTAATTAACTATTGAAAAACTCTTAATAATTATTATTCTTAAGTAAGTGGACTGATGAATATAGACTCATATTGACTATTCTTGAAAACTTAAAATTTATCTTCATTCTAAGACGTAGTATCACTGTAAGTAGATAAATAGATGTAAAAAGCATATTTTAAAAATATTAACAGGTATAATACGACATTTCAGATTATGAAAATTTTGCGTACTGCCCCTGTAAGTTTGTTGTTACGAGTCTGATCAATTCAATTAAATTAGCTTGCCAGGCAGGCAAGGTAACATACGCCACTCTTTATAACTGCTCTTTCAACTTGTTATCTTGTAAAAAAAACTCTCTTTGAGAAAATATATCAGTTCATTGTACCCAAAATGATTCAACTGCTAAATGATGCTCTAGAGTGCTTATGGGCTTCAAACACGTTTTCCAGAAGAATGGCAATAACTCATAAATATTTTTTGATTGTTCTGATTTTTAATAGGTTTCATCCACCAAGTTTCGTCAAATTCCCTCAAGAATTGTGTCTCTTAGAGTGTTTACGAGCAGTTGTTAACGGATGGACGGACATGGGTGATGCCAATATACGCTCCCAATTTATGTGGGCGTATAAAAACATCTAAAAATATATTCAAAACATATCAAACAAATATACACTATTAATCATGATAATTATGTAATGAAACATGTCGAAAAAAGGTATTTTACCTTTATATTACATTCATTCGAATTAATGATGACTGCAAAAAGATATACTGGTAAACAATCCTTAAGTGCACAACTCTAAATATAGATAAATATTAATGTTTATGAGCTTGTTTGCTGATTTCAAACTTAATTCACCATAAAATTCAAATTCAGTTTTAACTCTTCATTTAGACTTGATATATTTATAATAAGCTTGATAAAGATAAAATAAGCAATCTAAATCTAAATACACTTCTTACAATTTGGTAGATAGAAAGTTTCTATTACTAATTACGTCATGTCAAAACAAGGTTTTGACGCTTGTTTACAAAGTCAAGGGCAATAACTCAAAAAGTGTTCATAAAAAATATCTCTTGTTAGAACTTGTCCGAGATCTTATCAATTCCAATGATCACACCAAGTTTCATCAACATTGGTTGAAAACTGTAGCTTCTATTGTGCTCACAAACAAATTTTGACGCGTTTTTCGTAAGTTAATGGCAATAACTCAAAAACATTTCATCGAAAATGCGTCAAGTTAGAACTTGTCCGAGATCTTATCAATTTCAATGATCACACCAAGTTTCATCAGAATCCGTTGAAAACTAGCTTCTATTGCGCTCACGAACAAATTTTGACGCGTTGTTACAATGTTAAGGGCAATAACTCAAAAAACGTTCATCAAGAATGCGTCAAGTTAGAACTTGTCCGAGATCTTATCAATTCCAATGATCACACCAAGTTTCATCAGAATCGGTTGAAAAATGTAGCTTCAATCCTGCTCACGAACTATTTTTAACAAATTTCGACGCGTTTTAACAAAGTCAAGGGCAATAACTCAAAAAACGTTCATCGAAAATATCTCAAATTCGAACTTGGCCGAGATCTTATCAATCTAAAGCATCACACCAAGTCTTATCAAAATCAGATGAAAACTGTAGTCTCTATAGTGCTCACAAGAAATGTTGACGGTCGTGACGGACCGACGAACAGGGGCGACGACAATATACGACCACATATTCATGTGGGCGTATAAAAACAACAAAAATATTTTTAGGTTACACACACTAATTCTAATAATATTTTGTATCTCAGAAACTTGTAAAGGAATTGATTTGAGGTTTTCTAAAAATTAGGACACTGAATCAGGGACACTGATAGCATCAATTTGTACCTTTTCAATCAGATGTCTGTGGTTTTTACAATTACACTAAAAACTAAACGTTTGATGATGTCACCAATCACAAAATATGCCAAAAAAGGACTTTACAATTACTGATATCATAAAACGCTTACTTTTGGTGGAATTGCAGGAACATATGTTTGATTGAAAATTGGAATGGTGGAAATTGATGTTTAACATAAAAAATTTAGAAAACCTCTTTATAATTCCATTAACCTTTTAAGCATCAGTATTTCTCTATTATTGTGAAAGAAACCTGCTATTAATTGGTGTGGCCTTTACAGTGGTTCATTTAGGACATATTTTATCATGATTTAATTTTATTTATTTTACATCTTTTTGTTTATTGAATTATCAATAATTTTAGAAATAAAGCATGTCCTAAACAAATTACTGTAGGCCTAAGATTAGCGTTTCGATTGTGATCCCATTCTGTTTGGATTTTGAGAAGGGTAATCAAATTTCAAATTAGCACCGAAAGGTTTCTTCACTCCCCCTGATTCATAGGAATGACTGGATGATCCTCTTGATGGCTTCACGGATTGATGAAATCCTTGGGGTGGTAGAGGGGCTTGTATTTTCATACCTGAAACAAAATTGAACCTCGTGAAAAAATAATAAGAAATTTGATGCAATAAATCAACTAGTTACTAAGTGTTCACCCAAGTTTTTGCTGGTAGTGATTTCCTTTTTCACAAAGGAGTGAATTTTATGTCAAAATTTCCTCAAAGACTAAATCCTCTAGTAACATATTCGTCACTATTACAAGTACAGGTATAGTACAGGTACAGGTACAGCTATAGTACAAGTTCATGTGCGGATGATAAAGTCACAAACGAAAAGAATAAGGTCTTAGTAAGATAAACTTGAGATTTCTTGGTCTGACATTCACCCAATATGTTGATTTTACAATTTGTAAAAAAATGTTTTCTATGCATTTTCAGTTTCAATCTGTTTGAAATCCGCCTTTTCCTCTGTCTAAACAATTAACTCTAAACATAATCCAAAATTATACATACCATGCTGATAGGGAGGGGGTCCAGATGGTTTAACGTTCATATCCATTCCAAATGGTGGTGGCATTGAGAAAGTACCTCCCATAGGCATCGCGCCACCTCTCTGCATTAATTGTGACATCATTGGTGGTGGTGGAAGATTGAAATAATTCTTTCCAATTTCCCCAGTTGGCATTTGTAGAGCTGAACAACAATTTAAAGTATACAGTTTATCTGCAGATTTACATTTCCTAATAAAATCGTGCCTTGTGAGGAATTTCCAGATAGGATTGCTGAATGGCAGTATTAATTAATGAACAGGCAATATTGATGTACAGACATCTGAGTGGTCATGTACAGAGATCTGATGAGTCATGTACAGAGACCCTTGGACCCTTTCCCCTTTCTCTGTGTATAGAAATAAAAAACTTACCTCTGCATTGCCCACGTTGATGTTCTGACATCTCTTCCTCGTCATCTTTCTTCGTTGATTGTTGTTGTCCTTGGGAACGACCCCATTTAATACTTAACCTCTGACCTTTAAGTATCAGCTTATTGAACGATTTTTCAGCTGCAGCCTCTGCGCTCGTCCTTGATGTGAACTGAACAAAAGCACACTGCTGTTTCTGTACAACATTAACTGATCGAATTTCTCCAAATTGATAAAAGTGGTTCCTTAAAAAAGCAAATAAAAATAAATGAAAATCATTATCACGAAGTAACCAAATATACGGTCACCCAAATATTACAACAAACATCTCGTACTTATTCTGAGATACAAATTTGTATATGCATCCAAATCTACTGAATAAAAAATCCGTATAAGCAAGACAAATCCTTGAAACAAACTCTCGTCCAAAGTAAGTAAAGACAGTTGACCACAGCCATATACGCCCGCCACAGCATGCAGACTCCTCCAAAGGTCGTCTCTATAACACCTAAAGATAATCCATGTGAAAGCAAAAATTGAAATAATCATTATCGTTGGCATATCAAGTTTTTATCAAAACTGTGTCGTGTGCACTAGCTATTTCTCAATTACTGTAGTATTACAACGAAAGTCTGAGCAAAGTAAAATGTTTTTTGAATTTATTCTATATTTTTTTTTAAGAGAATTGAATCAGACTCAAAACAGAACTGTTATTCTTAGAATGTTTTTGCGTTGATAAAAATATCATTATCGTTAATATGCAAGTAAGCTTATACATTTAAAAGAAGTACTTGCCTCCCCTTAAAATTTCAATCCGAAAAAGTTTAAATTATGACTGAAAATTGTCCTCTGTTAAAACAAATTTCGAAGACATAATGTGTGCCTATGTTTATATTTTGTTCAACGCAAAGACATTCTAAACCTAACAGTACTATTTAGAGGCTTCTATTCAAAGTTTCATTAAAATTATGGAAAAAAATCAATATTACTTTGCCCAAACAATGGACATATGTTTCATCAATATTTTTCCCTCCATTGTTTTTCACAACAAAGCGTGTTTTCCATGTCAGCCCCTATTACCTACATCACTGACAGAGGAAACTGGGTTAAAAAATCCAAAGGTATTATCTCTACCTATGCCAGGATTGAACCCTGGATCTTCAGGTTAGCAAACAAGCGTTTCACTGAGCCACCGTGGCTCCACAAAAACGTTACAGAACCAGATTCCTTATATGAGGACAAATACAAATAATAATCAGTCAAAAACAAAGTTAAATGAAATATAACTCACTTCAAATCATCTACTTCTATTGCTTCAGATAGACCTCCAACATAAAGTGTGGTAACAGTTTCATCCTCTGGGGGTTCTAGTTTGGGCATGTCTTGATAACGACGTAGTAACTTATCAGCAACAGGATCATTAGTGCCGTAAAATCTGTCTTTAATATTCTGGTTTGCTAATGGATCATCTGGGTCTGTAGGCTTATCGTGTCTGCAATAAAAATTTAACTTAGTCTTATTCAGAAGTATTAGAAATGTACAAAAATTACACATTTCCTGTAAAATTATCTCAAACTAGGAATTTCACTTTCTACATATTATGTCTTCTACTCTTCTCTATATATTGCAGAGTCTAAAGTAAATTATGACGAGCCGTGCCGTCAGTTCAACAGTCAAACATGGATAATTCTGGACACACGTGGATTTGAAGGCTAAAATTTCGACCGTGAGCTGAAAACTCTACTACTGATTAGCTTAGCTAAAATCTTTCTGTTTCTGAAACTAAAGTAAAATTGGTCAAACGAATAGCAAATCTGTCCCTTTAAATATAATCATCTCATCTGCTTGAGTATTATCAGACAAAATTGGATACATATGTTTCAATATTTTTTAAATCAGTTTTTTTTTTTAGTTTTTTTTAATGAAAAGTGACTGATTTTAATCCAACTGGCTCAATTTCCTGAATAGAGACTAACATTTCAAGATTTCTTTCAGACATGATATGCCAATGGGGCAGTCCCCAGGGTCACTCCAGAAAAGCAAAATGTGAAGATGAATGTGATAAAGCCAGAAATATTGTGCCCTAAGGAAAAGACTGATATATATTTTTTGTTGATACAATAAGTTATACATTGTAATATCTGCTTCAAATTTCAGTAAAATCTCAGCTATGAAAAAAGGTTTGTGCTCCCAGGGCCAGATGGTTTCTAGAATACACGAGACATCTTGCAGTGGGCAATGAGGGAAAAATTCATAGCCTTTACTACATCAGATTTAAGTTTAATGGCAAATGCAAATGCAACTCATATTGAATACAAAAACTAGACTATACCTGTATGGGCATTCTTCTCCTCTTTTACATTCCCCTTTCACCCAGAAAGAACAAATGTGGGGTCTATTTCTTTTGTAGTAGGGCGAGGTTCGGGCTAATTTTAGTAACATGTCGCTGGGTACTTTGTTGGCTATAGCACCAACTGGGTTAGTTCCATCACTGTTTTCTATCTATAATAAAAACAAATTTATTAGAATCGAATAAAAATTCCGATATGAAGCACAAAACAAAATCCAAAACAACATCTTGGCAATACATTGATAGCAGCTAATGAACTTTTCACATGAGGAAGTATATCAATTATAATTGAGTAAATATACTAGGATTACTAGGGGTGCTTTTATAAAAAAAATATTTTTTACTTCTCTTTCCACATTCTGCATGTAGAATTCCTTATTTACATCTGATTTAGGTAAAGAATCTTGTACTCTTAAAGCAGCATCTCTAACTTGGACAGGTAAGCCTATTATGAAACAAAAACTCAAGTTAAAACAAGGACACACACAAAAAAAAACACAGCATAATTATGGTAATTTCTTCAAACTGGCGGACTTCATTTTCATATAATCTCATTGAAACACTGTTAAAGATTCAAATGATTCTCACAATCGTAGCATTCCATTTTGAAGGGACAGATGCGCCATTTTTTTGGACCCATCATACTTTAGTTAGTCTCGGAAACGGGAATTTTTTAGCTAAGCCAATCAGTAATAGTGTTCAGACATCATCTAAATTTGAACCTTCAAATCCATGTGTGTCCAGAATTATCAGGGTTTGAATGCTAAAAGGACACATCTGTGATATATTAAAAAGGCATATATAGAATAATGAGTAAAATTCCTAGTTCAGAGTATCTTTAAAGAAATTATGCCATTTTCGTACATTTCTACTACTTCTGAAGATATTTACATCTATTCAAGACTAAAATCAACCACCCCTTTCGTTAAAACGTGAATTTTATCTAGTAGGCTTCAAATTAGTCTAAATGCGTGATTTAAGTAAAAAAAAAGAAACACTTTGTAGATAATCATCTAAAACTGCAATCCTAAAATACCTAACCACTCTCTGACTACAATGTTTTCTGAATTGAAATTTGCTAACCATTTTCATATGAATTGAAATATCAATTACAAAATACTACTGAGAGTGTCTATTTTAAATATAAAATCACTGAACCTTATATTTCCATGGACCCGAAGACATTCCAAGACAAATGGCATACAACTGAAAAATTTTATTTGAATATTTATGAAATGAGAGAAAAATTTTGATTCAGATCTCAATTTAGTCAGACAGTAGACATTACATACCATATTCTAAATCTAGGAGACATGTTTGACAAATATTTTTCATTTGACTGCAAGTTTGACAGACTTCAGTTTTCTTGAATCTCATCCTGGCCCCCGGACACCATCTAAATACTGTGAATGGTCTGTTACAGGTTTTACATTCTTTTCCATGTTTCTCTTTCATCTATAAATGACAAAAATAATCAGTCATAAGGTCAAAACCAACAAATACTCATCTAAATAGTAACCAATCAAACACAGTGTTACCACTAAAAGGATCAAAAAATCAGAAGTAGAAGTATCATTATATTCCTGATAATGATATGAGAACCACATTGAAAGTAATAAATATTCTAGAAGTATTATTATATTCCTGATAATGATATGAGAACCACATTGAAAGTAATAAATATTCTAGAAGTATCATTCTATTCCTGATAATGATATGAGAACCATATTGAAAGTAATAAATATTCTAGAAGTATCATTCTATTCCTGATAATGATGTGAGAACCATATTGAAAGGTATCAAAATAATTATAACAATAGGTAAACTGCACCAAGAATACTCACCATTCGAACATATGGATTGTCTCCAAGACATGTTTGACATAGTAACGGAAATTCCTAAAGAAAAGCAGAAATAAAGTTCTTCATTTTGTGTGGCAATAACAAGATAAAATCTAAAAAAAATATTGGAATTACAAGGAACATAAGGATTCGTGTAGCCGTAGGCCCCCTATGGTACCATGGTGCTGAAAAGTTGGACGTAAAACTCCATTCATTTCATTTTATAGTACCATTGCCATGGGAACTATACAAAGTTCATCAGATCTTTCCCTGAATCTATAATATTTTATTCTAGCCTATTTAGGAATTTAGGTCAAATCTAATCAGGTCAAATCTAATCTGGAAAAAAATGGTCAAAAATGAGAAAACTATAGTAAATAAAAGATATAAAGGGATGGATGAAATACCAACCCATAATATGTTCATTTTGTTATAACAAGATCACTCCACTACGTCACTAGGCCTATTCAAAATATTTCATCCTGTAGGATATGTTTTATTGTGAAACTAATACATAAAACAAACGTCAGTATCATTTCCTAATCTTACTACATGTTTCATAAACAGGGTGAAAATCACATGATGAAGTACAAATATACATATGTAATAGGCCTTTTAGACTTTGATGAAAATCACGTCAACACCAATGATCAAGCAAAACGTTGGTAAAACGTCGACAAGAGAATCCAAATAGGTTTTATTTGTAATCACAAATGTACATGGATAGTAGATATTACTGTAAGGAAAGTAGAATACTAACTGATTCTTCCCAATTTTGTCGATTATATGTGTTAGCACCTTTACTTGTTGCCATTTTTATTCCGGAAATTGGGAAATTGAGGTAAGTGGGTCTGGGAATGCGATGCGCAGAAATCGCATTCGATAGGTCCAATGACGACAGCTATCATATGTGCGTGTTTGTTTCAGAAAACTCTCGAATGGTTAACCGGATGTAAATTAGAATACGCTTGGAAAATCAATGTTCTAAATTTATCGTCCAATCAAAATTTAAAAAAGATGTGTAAAAATCGAGAATGAAGCGATCAAACATGCCCAAAACGTAAACAATAAACAATGGTAGAAATTGAGAAATTGTCAAGCGAGGAGTAGAACGAAGAATGATTAAGCTCCTTTGAAGGATTTATTGTAAGGAATATATAGGCCTACTGTATTCTTGAAAAGTTGAAATTTTTGCCTTACCGTCTAAGGCTACTTAGAAGTAAAAAGGTCAAAAGTTTAGCAATGCAAATTGAAAGTAGCTGCTCTACCATCTTATGATGGGGCATGTAGGCCCAGTGGTTTCCACCTCTTTTTTTTATAATAATCCTAGTGGTTTCCACGCCTGTTCTAGGTGGTTTCCACCAAATTAACTTCTAGATTACTAATAAAAAACCTGTTAATCTTTTATCAATGGCTTTGTGATGGATGGAAATTAAACATTGAAAACAGGTTCCACAGGATGATTAGGAGGTAGCTATCTAATCATACATTATTCCAATGCTAAAAGAAATGAGTAAATATACTCACAAAACACCTAAAACAACAAAAATGAAAGGGTTTGATTGATGACAATCACTGATAATGACAATTTTACAATTAATAAGGTTGATGTGAGTCATTGAGATTGATTAAAGTGATACTACATCTTAGAATGAACATAAAATTTAAGTTCTCAAGAATGGTCAACATGAGTCTATATTCATCAGTGAACTTACCTGGTGTCATAAAGTTACAACAGAATCCCCGTAAAATCTGGAAAATTGGAAAATTCATAAAACAAAGTTATTAATGAAAAACACTTAATCTTGATATTAAGCGTTTTTCAATAGTTAATTGCATATTTTACGGATAATAATGGAAGTTTTTTGGATTTATCGGATTATATTGGGATCCTGTTATGTTATTTATGACACCAGGCATATCTACTGGCTCTTATTCGCCAAGTTTAAAATTCATAAATTTTATGTTAATTCTAAGACGTAGTATCACTTTAATTAAAAGATTAAAAAACCGCTGTTAAAAGTTTAAGTTACTGAGGACAGAAAGAGATTGGGTTCATGCTCAAACTCAATTGGTGGGAGAGGCTATTTTAAGACTAGGGCCCAAGCTTGTTGCCTTGTTAGAGTTCCTACCAACTACTAAGACTACCTAGTTTGCGATATCAGCATACGCGGGAAGCAAGCGTTGATGTCAGTGATGGGGGTCAGATGGTCCTGGTATGGAAAAAGTTTGATAGGGACAATAAACCAAGGCCCTGTGAGCTACAAGCCGTCCATGTCTAGATCCTCAGCAGTTGGAAATCACTAGAGAGTAAGCTAATACAGCTGTACTGGCAAATTTCCCTCATTGCACACTGCATGACATTGCCCGGTGCAGAAAAGTAGAAAAGAATAACCTCCGAACATTCATTTGATTTGCAAATATTTGCAGGTTTCCGGTGTTAGTTGGATTTAGATCTTCCATAGAATTTCCAGCTGACAGGTGACAAAAGTCAACAAACATGGCGGAGGACCGCGGTGTCATAAATATTTGTTTCAACCAAGATTATAGTAAGTAAAATGTTCTGAAACTGCAACTTTACCTTAAAAACAAGACATATAATTTGACAGGCAACAAAAATCACCCCTAATTTTACAAATAAGTTATTCCAATTATATACATATGTAACATATTGTTAGATAAATATGCATGTAAGAAAGAGATCATTTAAACATTGAGGGGTGTCAAACAGATGACTGACATAGACAATAGGCATTTTTGTGGGCCGATTCGATTAGGTTAATCGGTACATTTGTTAGCCAGTTTACCTTAACTGATTTGGCTAACCGTCCCAGGAGGTGGTTAGGCGATTCGATTAGGCTTTTCCAAGATGGCGGCATGTGGAAGTTGCTAATATAATCAAAATAGCGGTCTTTCATTGGTTGTCAGCAGAGGCAGCCATATTGCCAAATCGCCGATTTGAATTTCGCATTTGTGGACCACTGCTAATCTAAACCAAATTGCACCAAATCGTACTACCTAATCGAATCGGCCCACAAAAACGCCTAAATTATTGTGAAAAGGATTATTTGAGACTTAAATCTAAGAAAACTCATGAAAATCTCGTCCAAAGCATGGCAAAATGAGGAGTAAAAATATTAAAGTAGTGGACTCCTCCAAAGAGAAGTACCATCAGGTGAATCGAAAAGAGTAAACATGGTTTGCTTTGTGCGACATCCACCACTACTATCTAGGTCAAACTAAAAGTCTCTACATATACAAAATAGAGTATAGTAGAGGTTCGATAACACAGTCAGTTAGAGTATGGATCTTTAAATTATGTCATTTTGTTTGGCTACATTGAACAAATGGCGGTTGTGGGTTTTTATCTCTTAAGAAAACATATTTAAAATCGTTTTTAATCAAATGAAAATGTCCTGCTATTTATCTTGTGTTGTAGGTTGTTTTGTATGTTCTACAGAATCAGGGATCAGGATATATAACACAGACCCCCTGACACATAAATTAAGAATAGGTAGGTTCATGTTTTATTCATAAATATATAATTTTAAAGGGACAAGTTGACAATTTTTTTTAGCTAACTAATCAATAATAGTGTTCACAGCTTACTGGTAAAATTTGAGTCTTCAAATCCATGTGTGTCCAGAATTACTCATGTTTGAAATAAATTGAGACTTGTCTTTTCTTGAGACTCTGCCATAAATAGAACTCTGTTTAAATTGTGAAGAAGGAAGTCATCTTCTATTTGAGCGCTCTCTTTAATCCAAAATATTTTTGAAATTCCATATCTTCATATCACTCATAATTCCAGTCGACCCAGCTGTAAATGGGTACGGATAATCCAGAAAAGATTAATGCCAAAAGGTTTGGCCAAGGACCAGCTGGTAGAAAGGATCCTTAACTGTGAACCTAAGTTGTTAACCTTGTAAAATATAGTTGTTTCTTTCTTTTCTTTATTTCAGGTGCTGAAAATGTGGGAAGTATAGGGTACGCTGAGATGTTGTTTAGAACTAATTTACTTGTTATTGTTGGAGGCGGAAAAATTCCTAAATTTGATGAAAAAGCAGGTAGGATTTGAAACACTGAACTGATTTGGTTGTGTAAATATTTTGATAAATATTCCTTTTGAATATTGAACATTGGCTTTGAATCTGCTAAGGACAACCTGAAATTGAGTTCTATACACCTTATGCATATTTCAGCCATAATGGATCCAGAAGGAGGCTCACAACGCAAAACCTTAAAAAGGTTCTGTCACGACATAAAATCACCAACTTAACTTCGTGAATTCCCCCCTTTTCCATTCTCATTAACGTCAATACTTATCAAATTTTACATCATTAAAATCAGAATTTATTTCAGCAATTTAATGATATTTTTAGATGAATTTTACCCTCACACATTTTTGAACAAGGACAGTTTTAAGCCGATTTTCTTGCTGATCAGATGTTTAATCACCTGATATAGACTCTTCATTCATATGACATCGCCATCTTTTCAATAGATGATGAATTTGCCTTGCATTCAATGTTCAATTGACTGATAAAGCCAGTATAAGACAATAATGGTCATGTACAAGGTTTTCTCCCAACTTTGGCTTTTGTACTGTTCTCTATTTAAATGTGTGATGATTGTACAGATATTGATTAAATGTTGTATATTTGAACAGTATTAGTGTGGGATATTGATTAAATGTTGTATATTTGAACAGTATTAGTGTGGGATATTGATAAAATGTTTTATATTTGAACAGTATTATTGTGGGATATTGATAAAATGTTGTATATTTGAACAGTATTAGTGTGGGATATTGATTAAATGTTGTATATTTGAACAGTATTAGTGTGGGATATTGATTAAATGTTGTATATTTGAACAGTATTAGTGTGGGATATTGATAAAATGTTTTATATTTGAACAGTATTAGTGTGGGATATTGATAAAATGTTTTATATTTGAACAGTATTAGTGTGGGATATTGATAAAATGTTGTATATTTGAACAGTATTAGTGTGGGATATTGATTAAATGTTGTATATTTGAACAGTATTAGTGTGGGATATTGATTAAATGTTGTATATTTGAACAGTATTAGTGTGGGATATTGATAAAATGTTTTATATTTGAACAGTATTAGTGTGGGATATTGATAAAATGTTTTATATTTGAACAGTATTAGTGTGGGATATGAAAGGTAAAGATGAAAAAGAAAGTATTTTAATGGATATTACATTCTCTCAACCAGTTGTTGGTGTTAAAGTCTTAAGAGACAGGTAGGTACTGTTTTTACCTGTTTATACTGATTCTTCCTGCTGATTGGGTTCACATTTGTAATGAGTACCATGTAACTGATCTTTCACATGGTATATTTGTTGGCCATGGCTTTTGGCGGTACAGATAGCGAGCGTTTATTATTTAAGGATAGTTGAAGGAACCACGATTTATTTTACCCTGGATTAGTAAATCTTTGGGGTAATCATACTGCGACGGTGAGAAACTGAGAATTAGTCAATTTACTGGGCTATTTGTACCATCATATAAGTCTCCTCCTTGTACACCGCATGATAATCGTGAGCTGTTAAATTCTATTTTTCTATTTTTCTAATAATTTCAGACTGATTGTGATTCTAAGAAATCAAGTCCATGTTTTCTCTTTTCCTAACGAACCACAGAAACTTTACACATTTTCTACTGGAGACAATCCTAAAGGTGAGGATGAGCATTTTGATTGGTTAACCCACAACAGCAGAGGCATACCAATCTTGTCAGATCATGGATGGCAAGTGGAGTCACCTGCAAAAAAAAATGAAACGAAACATTAAGATTTATTTTATTATTTTAATCCGACTGTGACAAATGATTTTAGATTCTGTTGTTGTCAGATTTGAATATTTTCAAGATATTATTCCATAGAAAAACATTTGTAAAAATAAACATTGTTGTATAATGTAAAAGAAATATTTTGTAATTTTTTTGATAGGTTTATGTAGTGTCAGTTGCTATGGTAAAATTTTAGTTTTTCCAGGAATAAAATGTGGTAGCGTTCAAATTGTGGTAAGATATGTTAAATTCATCTAAAAATGCTACAGAGCTTTTAATGTTAATTTGGTATGGACAATTGTCAACTCATCATCTCTTTCACAGACCTTGATAAAGTTCATGTTGAATTTTAGGTTTGTTCACTCCGTATCCCTTTCAGAGAGTTCACATAGTTAATAATGTTTATTTGGTATTTAAGTTGTCTACTCAGTATCCCTTTCAGAGAGTCCACATAGTTAATAAGTTTATTCAGTATTTAGGTTTGTTCACTCAGAGAGTTCACATAGTTAATAATGTTAATTTGGTATATAGGTTTGTCAACTCAACATCCCTTTCAGAGAGTCCACATAGCTAATAATGTTTATTTGATATTTAGGTTTGTCAACTCAACATCTCTTTCAGAGAGTCCACATATCTAATACTGTTTATTTGGTGTTTAGTCTGTCCACTTAGTATCCCTTTCAGAGAGTTCACATATCTAATACTGTTTTTTTTGGTATGTTAACTAAGTGTCCGCTTTAGAGTTTTTAGCTAAGACAGTTCCTTTTATTCATAGGATCTGGAAACAACCCAGCCTAGTCAAACAGTATCACCAGTCACTATTAATGCTCATCAAAATGCATTGGCCTGTTTAACAGTGGATCAGAAGGGAACCTTAATAGCAACAGCATCCAGAAAGGTTTGATCCATGTTTTCTGATTGTAACATTGAAAGAATCCACAGTTGAAAGAAGAAAAAACATCAACAACAACTTGTTCCTGGAGAGTCAAGTCTGCCAGCTGGATCAAACTTCCTGGCATTGATCTATCCCAGCTACAGCTAGAATTTTGAAAAAATGAAATGAAATTAGTTTTATGTCCTACTTTTCTAGACCATGTGGGTATTGAAGACAAGCAACACCATGCAGGGTACAATGAGGGAAATTTTGCCAGGACAGTGGCATTAGGAAAGGAAAGATAACTAATTCAGTACAGTTCGTAGCTGGGTTGGCTGGAATAATGAGGAAACCACACCTAGATTAGAACATGTGACCATCATTAATTCAAACACTCTTAACACACTTACTGTCCTCAAAAAAAAAAATTATTACACAAACATTCAAACACTTTTGAAGACCCATTCAAACACTTTTGAAGACCCATTCAAAGTAATGTTTTAAAATTTTAATAATTGATTTTTTTAGGGTACATTGATAAGGGTGTTTGATCTATTGTCTAAGAAGTTAGCAGTAGAACTAAGACGAGGTGCAGATCCAGCCATGTTATATTGGTAAGTTTATAAATACACAATTTTATTATTACATAGTATCTCACAATCGGTTTTAAAAATGGGTTCCCTTGTTTTCATTTATGAAAATGCTAGGTGTTCTAATGACTTGGAAAAATACTGGTTTGTCTCACATGTCCATAATTAATTCATAATTAGCTAAATTAGAAGAGAATTACCAGCAGAATTCTAATGAGTGATTGATCAAGAAAGGTCAAAAAGTATTGTTTGTTTATCCAGACTGTACATACATGGACATACATACATGTCTAACCACTTTTTACAGTATTGTATTGTATCATTATTGTATTGTCTCATTATTGTATTGTATCATTTTTGTATTGTATCATTTTTGTATATCATCATTTTTGTATGTCATCATTTTTGTATTGTATCATTTTTGTATATCATCATTTTTGTATTGTATATCTTTTTTGTATAAAAATTTTTTCTTTGGTATCTTTTTTGTATATCATCATTTTTGTATTGTATCATTTTGTATACCTTTTTAGTATTGTATCATTTTGTATATCATTTTTGTATTGTATCTTTTTTTGTATTGTATCATTTTGTATATCATTTTTGTATTGTACCTTTTTTTGTATATCATCATTTTCATCATTTTTGTATCATCATTTTCATCATTTTTGTATATCATCATTTTCATCATTTTTGTAGATGATTTTCATCATTTTGTATACTATCATTTTCATCATTTTTGTAACGTACCAAACAGTATTTTATCACATTGTATCATATCATTATTGTATCTTATTATCATTTTGTATCATACTATATAATTTCTTCTTTCAGCTTATCATTTAGTCCAGATTCGTCATTTCTCTGTGCATCAAGTGATAAAGGAACTGTTCATATATTTGCTGTAAAAGACACCAGTTTAAACAAAAAATCAAAGTAAGATTCTATACTTTCTTTTCAATTAGCGCTGTTGATTTACCTGTATTTACCAGTCATGTCTAATTGGAGCTCCAAATTGACTGACTAATATTGATCTTTTGGACATTTTCTATGCTAGATGTTCTGGAGTTTTCACAAATTCTCAACTTGGAACTTCCGTAATCATCATGTGTGGTTCCAACTAATAACACAATGGGAAATAAGCAAATATTGGGTGCAAATTATCTTTATAGGGGATGTCCATTCTACACCATCAATATCTCAAAATATTGTTCTTTTCAGGTTTCAGAAAATGGGATTTTTAGGACCGTACGTTGAATCATTATGGGGTCTAGCAAGTTTTACTGTTCCAGCTGAGAGAGCATGTGTTTGTGCCTTCAGTTCTAACCAATCAGTCATAGGTAAGTTCATCAAAAACTTGGCTCTGCTTTCAGTCCTGCTATCTGAAAGCTAAAATGATGGCTTGTTATGCAAGTTTTTTAAATTCTGTTAAGGCCTACTGGCATGAAAAGAAGTGTCTGTATTGTTCCCAACCTCTTCAACTGCAGGTGCCCCTCTTAGCGATTTTTGATGTGCATTTGGTCACCCATGGTGTTATTTATTATTAAATTATCTATCTAACTGGGGAATCCATAAGTTACCAACTTTGTTTCGTTGTATTTTAGCTGTATGTGTGGATGGAACATTTCATAAATATGTATTTAACACAGATGGTAATTGTAACAGAGAGGCTTATGATGTTTATTTAGATATGGGGGACATAGACTGATATGTATTTAAATCAAATCATTATATCTTAAACTGGATAATTTGTTGGGTAGACTTGTTACATTTGTGATAGAAATTTTATAATTTTACATGCCCAATAAACATTATTATTTATGTGGACTCGTTCAGTAAGTCATGTTGAGTTTACAGACCAAATTGACATTTAAATTTAAAGTGACGTGAACATTTGAAGAGTATGGCACGATGACAATCCTAAACTGCCATATACGTTTTGTGGACTCTGTAAAAGAGATGCCTAGTAGGCAAACCAAAATGACATTATTAGCTATGTGTATGTGGTTTCTTTTAAAAGGATACCAAGTTGACAAACCTAGCACTAGAGAAGTTCCAGGTGTTCTGATATGGACGAAGTTTTTGCAATAATCATAAAGATTTTCACTGTTAAAATAGTGCTCAATGCATTAACAGCAGAGGGATGTATAGAAATATTAAACTGAACCTGAAAGAGTTGTAATTTAGACTTTTTTTGTCTGTGTGATCTGTTTTAACCTGTGTATCTAAATAAGTAAAATTCTTGTGATTGCACTTGTATGTTGTTTTAATTAATAAAAATTATTGTACATTATAAATATTGTATATATATACTAACATTCCTTCATAGAGACCTCAGCCCCGTTTCTAAAAAAAATCTTCTGATCAATTTTCTCGAAAGTATTGTATTTCTCTGTGTTAAATGACGGAGTTACGACAATTTTTTATTGCAAGATCTTTTGAGAAAAGCGGCCAACGTTCCTTCAAAAATCTTACAATATGAATTTGTCATAAGTGTGGAATTTACATTGAGAAATACAATACTTACGACAAAATTGATCCTAAGATTTTAAGTGAAACAGGACACCATTCTTCAAAAAATCTTATGATTTATCATAAATGTGGAATTTACACATAGAAATACCCTTCTTAAAAATTGATCATAAAATTTGTTATGAAGGGACCCTTATTATCATTTTATATTACAAAGTTTTTTAAATACAATCTAATAACCACAGGCATCTGTTTTTATCAATAGTCAACTCTCTCTATAATATCGTGGGTGACCACTTGAAACCTCGTATAACGATATATGACACGGAATTACTTTTTCGAGAAAAACTATTTGTACACGTATTTTGTTAAAACCTTTATTATTTTTTTTACGGCTATATGTGGTTTTCATTCTTTGAAAATATAAACCTCGTATAACAACTTGATATCTTCGACCTATTGAACCAAAACCTCTTATAATAATACAGTAAACGAGGTTTTGCGTTTTCATCCGCAGAAAAAGAACATTGAACCTCGTATAATAATATCTGACTGTTTATTGAGTTATTTAAAATTAAGCTAAGAATACGAGGTTTTGATCACAAGATCCGCTCTTTTACGAGCTTTCGAGCGGTACCAAAAAGTCATAATGACCAAATATGGCAACAGGTTTCAAGCGGTCACCCATACTATTATAAAGTTAGTCCACTATTGATAGAAACAGATGCCTGTGCTAATAACAATACAGCTTTAAATTTTTTTGTTTCTTTATTTTTATCTGGGTTACTTCACTGATTATAAATCTGACAGCATTTACAACAAAGGTGTGTTCACCTACTCATCCAATCATAGACTTTGTTCAGTAAGAGTTGAGCCAACAATTCATCAATGATATGCAAATTACTTCCACCTACAAAAAAACTGATATAACTGTCAATATCTTTTCTCAAGATTTGTAACAGTATGGTCAGTCGGTAGTGACTTGGATTGTCATCTGCTAGGCGATTCAAGGTAAAAATTCTGAAATTTTTTTTAATTAAAATGACTTTTACTCCATTTTAAATATGACTTTCAATAGGTTTAAAGGTTAGGTGCCAATTTGATTTTTAGAAGAATGTTGCTGGATCTGTGAAGAGTGGAGTTACCCATAGAAAATTAATGAAACAAAATATCTAGAGCTGAATTTGATGAGATTGAATCAGACACAAAAATAGAGAGATAATCAGCCATTCTTCTAGATATCACAAAACATTGTATTAGGTTTCACAATTAATATTATCAGTTGCGTGGACTCCCTTAAAGGGATGTCGAGATGACAAACCTACATACCATAGTTATACATTATAAGTTCAACATGTATGTACATGTATAACTTTTCAGCTTTATTTACAATTTAATGAAAAATATACTTAAGAAGTGATAACAAAGAGAATCTACCAGTCTCAAAATAACAGAATTGTTTGTTAATTTACCCGATTTGGGTGCTCGTTCCAAAAGCTAGGAGTCAGGGTTTTAAAGGAAGAATCTCTTAGTGCCTATAAAGAATATCAGAAGAATGACTTTAGACATTTATTCTAAGAATAGTTTAAGGAATTTATTTTGATTCAAAATCTCACGCACACAAAATTCACAGTTAACCTAAGAAATAATATCAATTCAACTGCTCATACTCACTTCCACGCATTCAAATCACAATCTACTTCATTTATAACATACTAACATACATCACAAAAAATTCTACAACATTTACATCACCACTGATAAAAATAAGTTGACAGGCAACAAAAACACCCCTACTATTTCTAATGAACTCTTCTAGACATACATCATTATTGAAACAATGCATGTGTGGTAGAGTTCATTAACAATTTGAGGGTTGTCATGGATATAGTCTTCTCAAATGTTCGCTTTTCCAGCTAATAGAGCTCATTTTCCCTTATTTCTAAGTATGGCTGATGTCAAATTTTCTTGATGAAAAATGATATTGAAACTCTCAAGCTCTCTAGCTGGTAAATTTAAACACAAGTAGATGACTAAATCCTTAAAAGTCATATAATATATACAAAATAACAATTATTTTAAAATTATTGAATGAATAAATAATCTGGGGTTGCTTGCAAAAACACTATAATTAAACCATCAAATTGCTTTTCTGCCGAGGTAAGGGATCATTAATATAAATTAATCTAATAAATAATGGCCAGAATTTACTAAATGGTTAATTCATTTCTACAAAAACAATGTCACCAATCAAATATACAGAAAGCAAATTGACAAATCAGATTGACCAATCAGAAATGAATTAGGAAAACACAATCAACAGTAAGACAAAAAAAGCTACACCTGATTGGCTGTAGAGAAATGAAGAAATCAAAGGCTAAACCAATCAGAATTTGAAACTGGCAGAAATACTAAAGTAACCCATCAAAACAGTCTTAAAACCAGGTCTTGGATTCTCTAAACGATCTTAGCGATAGGACAACCTAGAAACAGAAGAACTTAAGAACTTAAGATATCCTAGGGCTTAGATTGTTTTGAGAATATGTGGCCAGAACTAGTGAATTTGAAATCTATTCAATAACTGTAAATAAAAGATGTGCTTTGAGTTGCATGTTGAATAAATCTATACAAGATATTTACAAATCACATTAATATGTCAAAATTTGCCAAATTATACCACATTCTTTAAAGATATAAGAAAAATGCCATTCAAAATAGTGATATACTGAAATTACCCATAATAGTTACAGGTGTTTTCATTGACTCGTTTCATGACTACTCGCCACTGGCTGCACTTTTGGGGACAACTAGGATCTTGCCATCAGCATGAACATTTCAGAGTCCTGTTTTACATAAAATATTGAAGATTTTTTTTTGAGGAATCGGCCTAAGACCTGTGACCATAGCAGTTGCTTGTCATCGGTCTTTTTGTCCATATGAACATTTCGCTTAAATCATCTGTAATGGATTCGCTGCAATACTTACAAAATGTAAGACAATAAGAGTCCACTGTAAATCCAAAAGAAGAAATTCTTTTTTTTTCAAAACCATCAGTTCTTGAGCTATTAGAATTTTTCACCCCTTTCGTATTATGCAAATAGACAAATTCAAGTGCTGCTAATCACGTTAAAAGTATGTACATTATTTATAATTTACATAGATATTCAAATTTTAAAGATATATATTAATTTGATAGAGAATAACTGAACACAATGTTTAAGATAATAATGTAATTGATATCACAAAACTTGCAACTTGTTTGAAATTTTTCATGAGAGATCTTAACTTGATATTTGAATTTTCATTTCAACATTCTACCCCCCTAAATTGTTGTATCACCTCAGATAACGGAGCGAAATCTTGGCCATATAAATAAACGGAAACATATCCCATCTTGTCTTGATCGAAGCAATTATTACTGTTTGACAAAAACTATATCAATACATAAATCACAATATTGTGTTCAGTTATTCAGCTTATATTTTTATTATACACAATTATTTCATTTCATATCTTGGATTTAAAGAAAATCCATTCATCTGGAATCGTTTAAATGCTAAATACAACTAGTTTTTTTTTAAACGTCAACAAGCAATTATGGCTTTCTCCGTAGAGTTCTAACATGAATATTTTCTATGTAGACATGTAAGAAATGCAGATGATGAAACAAGTGTCCTAAATAAAAATTCACAATCAGCCATTTTACATATCCAATCAGACATGACTTGCATTTAAAGCCATATGAACAGTTTAGAACTCAAGTCAGACATGTCTGGCAAATAAGCCAAAGCTTCAATCAAGAACCCCTAGTCAGACATGACTGGTAAATAACTTCAAACAATCAATCTTAGACTCTAGTCACACATGACCGGTAAATACGGATGGATCAACAACCCTGTTCCTGTAAAGCTCTTTCGATTTGCATGTGAAAGAAGTTTCTAATAATTTTTTCAATATGAAAATGATGGAGAATTAGTAATATTATGTACACTATAATTACAGAGTCCCCTGAAATCAGGAATACATGTTTTGGAGTTGATCACAGTTAGGAGTTTTTAGTTCCTGTGCCCTCTGATATAACCTGGCATCTCCAGAACTTCTCGCAGACCATAACATATTCTCTTCTGTAATGAAAAATACACTCAATTTAATCCTTACTAAACTTCAAGACTGTAGTCTTTTGAGACGTTTGATAAAATTAACCACATTTGTGTTCAAGAAACACGGCTCAAAATTAAGGAGAATTAAGGAGAATCCTTTCATGATTTTTCTTAATTGATTTCCATGTCAGATCTGGACAAGAATTGAAATTGAGAATTTAAGTCCTAATTTTCTACACCTTATTGGGCTAATGAAGATAGATGAGGGTTTTGGATGGAGACAAGAGTTTCAATAACGCAATCTACAGCAGAAAATTTCATTTTTAAAAAATTGTTAAACTTCACTCATGGTGAAATGGGAAATTATATATACAGCAGCATGTATGATAAAATGTTAAGAAATTGACTTACTATAGCTTCTTTCTCTCCAACAATTAGAGCGTAACTGACTTATATATTCTTCTTCTACTTGTCTTTCTATTCGCCTTAAATCACCCTTATATTCAGGTCGAAAATCTTCTTTAACATAATATGGTACTTTTAAATTATACGTTTTTCTTTCTGATGAAAATTTACTGAAATTATAAAAGATCAATTTGGTTAATTAAATATTTAACAAGACACAGAAATATAACAACTAGTCTTTTCCAAATTCTCTAAAGCCTTGAATGGGAACAGTATTTTGTCTAAGTCAAGTAGTTGAAGAAGTATGCAAATGTCTGTCGTGTATATGATATCATAAGTTACATTTCCAACAACAGTCTCAACCCAGCTCACGTTCCCTGTTGGTGGGTGAACAATCCAACTCTTGACGAATTCTGCTTCGCAATGATAGGAAGAGCCGAGATCGAAGAATCAAAAAGAAACGTCGCTAAGAACGCTTGGCTGCCACAAGCCAGTTATCCCTGTGGTAACTTTTCTGACACCTCTTGCAGGAAGCAGGAAAAATAGAGCTCTCCCATCGTCGCCCTAAGATAGCAGAATTTCATTCCAAATCCAACCAAAATCACACCAATATGTCATTGGAAATCAAGATATGAATGAATAAATAACTAAATAATTGAATGAATAAAAGAATCAATAAAGGACTCAATGAATGATTGAATGGAGAAATGAATGAACAAATAAATGAATGAATAGACGAATGGACAAACAAACGGATGAATAAAAGAATGAAGAAATGAATAAATGAATGAATGAATAAATAAATTAATGAATAAATGAATAAATGAATAAATTAATGAATAAATGAATAAATGAATAAATAAATAAATGAATGAATAAATAAATAAATGAATGAATAAATGAAGAAATGAGTAAATGTATGAATAAATGAATAAATGAATCTTACCTGGTTCTGTGCATGCTAAAGACAGGATCACTGACAAAGATACTACTTAATAAAGATAATAAGATTAAGAGTAATATTGGGGCTAACTGTAAAAATAGTGTATATCCACTCTGAAATATAAAAAATAAACAAAAAAATTACATGGGATTTATAATTACAATGTACAAATTATAATTATTGAATGTTGGACCTCTGCCCTGATCAATTACACAAAAAGTTTTAAAGTGTTTTGATATTTTCTACTGAACGATTTGTGTCGTATCAAAACGGAATACAAGTTTGTTTAATGCGCTCTCTCCCCCTAAATTTATGGAGTAATTAATCAGAATTGTCTAACAGTGGAGATCTTTTTTTGGGATTATGTAGAAGTTTAGAACATGAAAATATAATCCTTCACAGAATATAGTCTGGCACAGATATTTAGGACAATTCTTAACATAAACACGCACAGTAGACATTACGTATTTTTGTAGGTAGAATATAATATTTATTGAAAATATACAAGCCAAACTTATATTAAGATCATTCCTACTTTAACTACCTAAGCATAAACTGAGCTGGTTATGTTTATGTTTTGAATCGTGCACAGAAGTGCAAATATCTCTACCCGAAATCAGTTTGAACCCTGTATTACTGATTATAAATACATCTCAGGAATCTAAGAAAGGGGATGCACGCACAACAGCACATGCATTTTAAAGTTAGTTCAAGCCACAGAACTCCAAACTTTCATCATACCCTGTGAATATGTCGAAATAAAACGTAGAAAATTGATGGAGGCTGTGGCGGAACTTTCTTGGATCGTTTCTGGCGTTTTGACTGTAAAAAATATCCTAATTTTCAATATATTCTAATAATTTTATAATTTGATTAATAAATCCCTCAAATATCCATATCAAAACCCTTGGAAATTAAAACTGAAGATTATGGTAAAATGATCAAGGAAATCGGACTAGTTTTTGCAAGTTAAAAGCAAATAAAGTACATAAAACAAGAACTCCCTTCATTAACCTCCAAAGCAAAACCATGCACACTTGTTGATAAAATTGTGGCCAAATAAAGAAATGATTTTGTCTCATTCAAAACTACTGATACACTCCTTCTTCACTTCAGGCCACTAAATACTACAGAGTTTAGATCAGACCACAGCTGCTGTATTAAACTAACTATAGTATCGAAATATAAACTGACCTCTGATTGGTTGTTATGATTTTGTTGATAATAATAGGTTCGGTGATTAGAGTGACGATGTCTAGATCGAGCTGCAGCTGTAAAAAAAAAACACAGAAATAATCTTTGATGAAGATGAGATGGGCAATGCTATTCAGTTTGCAATGAAGGAAATTTTTGATGAAGATTGAGTTTTAGTTCTTATTTTTCTACTTCAAATTGAGTTGATAAACACAAGCAATGCCTTTCAAGACATTACTCTGTTTTGGTATTAGCTCTGAAGGGATCAGTAACATTCCCAGTTTGAAGCAAATCTAGTCTGTTTGCCAGACAGTGGTGTTTCTAAGGGAGGTAGGGGGTGTTCTTAATAGATTGAAATTATTGAGGACTGTATGTATAGTTCTTTAACTGTTAACCCTTAATAGTAAACAGTATACTTGATTGGGAACTTAAAAACATACAAAAACCACTTTGTTTTCTATTCAGGCATGACAGCCATTCTTTTCAGGAAGTGTACATATTAAAAAACTAAAACAACTCAAACAATAATAGATTCAGACCACAACTAGTGTCCTTCACAAAAGAGTCATTGATTCACTTTTGAAAAGGGGGGTGAAAAGAGGCTGACCAGGATTTGCTCTCCCCACTTTCAAATTTTTTTATCAATGTACGTAGTGAAAGCATGGCTAATGTTTGCTAGAAACACCACTGTTTCCAGCCCCAAAATCCTAAATTATGACCACCACCACCCATGTCAGAAATGAACTTAGAACCTTTAAATTGTCAATATGATGACTCAATGAACACTTAAAATAATCTGTTCTTACCTGAATTTGGGAAACCACCTCCAAAAAACATATTAAATAATTCTTCCGGGGATATATCACCTAAATAGATAGATAGATCATATACTACATTAGGACTTAACTTTAGCACCTTCGGCTATCGTTGATCAGCTAAAAAATTGAGCGAATCTCAAGAGAAATTTGCCACGATACACAAAATATAATATATAACCTTGAAGTTATCTCAGAAAGCATGTCATATCAGTTTAATAGAAATTCAGTATGGAGGCATGCACTCTATACGTCTATAGTTAACATATTGTATTTACACTTTACATATTATTGTTTTCAATATCTTTTGGAAAAAATACAACCAGAAACTAATTGCCAAAATAATGACAGATATATACAGAAGATGGTATCAATCAATATACAAAACAATGTACAGGGTTATTCTTAATAAATTAACAATATGTATATCTTAGATATTGTTACCTTATAAGAATATCTGTTACAAATACATTTGTCTATTTCAATAGGAGGCTTTTCACCAAACGTCCGGTTTTTTCTTTTAGTTGCCTACTTCTTGAGCTCTTGAGTCAATGAAAACAACAAATCACTACATAGTGCTTCAAAAAGTTTTTTTTTTTTTTGTGTTTAGACGCACGACTTGTTTCTCATTTGAAAAGTAGAATTTATATTTACCTTCAAATCCATGTGAATAGTCGTATTCACGATGGCTGTGTCCTCTACTTGATATTTCTGTTTCTGGTCCGTATAAATCATATTTCTTTCTCTTATCACTATCACTTAATACAGCAAACGCATTTCCAATTGCTGAAAATATATAACAAGGATTAAATAATTTGATACGCCTCAAAAACCCACCTTGATTTAGCAAATGAACTCGTCTGATCTCTTTAATTGTTGAATCATATTTATAACAAAATAATGTTTAGGGAGTCCATTAGAGGTTGAGGGGTGTCATAAAGATAGCACACTAATTCCAGCCTTCAAAATTTTTTCATAAATTTCCACGGCCAAAGCTTCTAATATACTTCATATGAGTGTAGGCAGTAAAAACCCACCTTTAAAAGCCTCTGTTGCTCCCGGTGCCTTGTTTTTATCAGGATGCATCTGAAGAGCTAACTTTCTGTAAGCTTTCTTTAATTCACCATCATCTGCTTCTTTAGTTACACATAATATCTCATAATAGTCTTTACACTTACTAATTCTAGAATTACACAATAAAAAACATCTAACAATGACAGAAACAATTCCACTTACTTACCATATTCTTTAAGTAACTTACACAAGTAAGGGAAATCAAGACAGAAATGAAATTAATGGCGTTTTAAGTCCTTCTTTGTGGACCTGTTTGGGCTAAAGAGGACAGTGTGTAATTAGCCACCCACATAAGCCTACTCAGTTTCAACTGTTGAGGATTCTTTCATGTCTGTAACAACTAGACCCTTTTCCATGTTTTTCCACCTGATGAGTCTTTGTTTTAACATTCAAATACAGATAATTCTGGACACACATGTATTTTAAGTGAGACAGTGGATTGGACAGTGAGCTGTGAACACTATTACTGATTGGCTTAGATAAAAAATTCCTGTTTCTGAAACTTAATTATGATTGGTCAAAAAAATGGCCTACCTGACCCTTTAAGTTTGAAATATTTACAGAATAAAATAAGCTTATTTGTCAGATAGAATAATATCATGTCCAGAAAGTGTGCTGACACTGCCCAAAAACCTTCCCCCTTCTTTTCTTCAAATAAACTAAGTCCGTCAATAATCTACCTTTTGACAGCTACCAGTTGTTCCTCCGTGTAATCGCTAGTATGATTTTCTTTATTTTCCTCCTTAGTTTTACTCTGACTGTTCTTTCTTCGTCTGACACTCTCTGATTCTTCCCTCTGTGCTTTTTCTGAGTTGGCATTTCCGTTCATTTCTGTAATTGTGTCCATCAATTCTACAAAAATAAACCGAGAAATAAGATTGTAGGCTCATTGCCTTTGATTTGTGAGGTGCATTTTGTAGAGGTATGTTTCACCTTCACACAATATCATTATTGGAATTTTTCTTCATAGGTGACAATTTTTTTGTAAAATTTGGGCATATTTCGGTTGAAGTTTCATGGAGGGAAGAGTATTCTATTCAATGAAAGCTAACACAAAGGGGTTATTATAGATAACTTGGCACTTAACCAAAATGGCCCCAAATATCATAACATTTTAAGGGATTGATTTGGTCTTGCATACATGTAAATAACCTTCAGAAGAACTAAAACTGCACAAAAATTGTATAATCCCTTCGTACATCAGAGTTTCCCTCAGATCAAAGTATCTGCCTCTATTTCAGCTATTTTGAAAGCTGTCTGCTGGTGTATAGACAGAAATTAAGGCCCTGTTTTGGGGGTTTCCGCACCTTCGAAGATGCCAGGGTTTTAAACCCATTAAAATTTATTTAAATCGGATCAGCCAAACTCAAATGTATTCAGAAAGATTATTTTCAGTCTATCCATCTAAGCACATCTTCGGAGGCATGGAAAATCCCCATAAAACAGGGCCTCATTTTTCTGACTCTACTTCAGCCTATAACTGTAAAAATATCTATCAGAAGCTGGAGTAGAGGCATATTTTTTTTAAGGAAGTCTGAAGATAAGACACATTTAACTTTCAAAAGTGTATACTTCTGGACACACATGGATTTGATGACTCAAATTTCGATGCTGAGATATGAACACTAGGTCTATTAGATTAATGCAGGTTAGACCAAGTCAAAGTCCTGTTTCTGAGACTAAGTTATAATTGGTAAAACGGATGGAAAACCTGTCCCTTTAACTCACATAGTAAAATAAGGAGGTACAAAAATTCAGAAATGTGACCTTTTTCACTTTGAATTTGATAGTCCTGCTGAGAGAAAACTGAATCTATTGACTTCATTTATGCTTTTTGCTTTCAGTTTTTGGCAAAGCACGAAAATGACATAAATGTACAAGTGTGTTTTAGGCTGAATATCGAAAAATTCTCCTTACTTTTGGATCTATCTGATGGGTAGAGTTTATCAGCCTTTTTCAGAAATTTTAAGGCCTTATCTTTATCGCCAGCTTCGATACATCTTAGTGCAATTTTTATACACCGTTCGCTTTCATCCTTGTTGCCCTCCATCTTTAATTTTACTATTTTTAGCTTCGTGACAACTTGTAAAACGACTTTTCATTGGCCGAACCCAATGTATACGTAAACCACGTATTTCCAGAATATTTCAGAATTTTCAATATTTTATCCAAAAATAATTAAAAAGATCTCTTTCAGAGCCATAAAAAGATTTTTGTTGTTAAATTTTTGCAAATTTATATCCAGTTAATCTCTTTCAACAATTTTCTTTAAATTTTTCTCCTAATATTGACGTTTTTGATCAGCCAATGAAAATTTTCGTAAGTCACCAGAAATGACAAAAGGGAAGTAATCCTGATTTGAGACCACTCTTAATTTCTTGGATTTTTAGACTGTTTGATGTCCACAACACGATATCATACATGCATAATATGTTATAGAATAACCCTCTTCTCAAAATTCCGGGTGACCCTGGCGAACGACGAGTCATTGGGGTGAATTGATTATTGTCCGATTTGACGTGGACGTTTTGTTAAACTGACACGTGACCTGTCACATGGCATAACACAACTCTTATCACGTGATACCGGTTAATTAAAACTTTTTTAATCGTGCCTCGTTGAAACACAGTTTCAATTAGCTACTAGCACATTAATCGTCGCGTACTTGACTTTTCTTACCGATTAATATTCTGAAAACAATATATGACCCTAGGATTGAAAATGGAGTCTGATTCAGAAAGATTGCCAATAAATGTGCCTAAAGGGGAAAGCAATATTCCTCTCGTATCTATTTTTGAAACTTATGTTCGACCATGTATAGCTGAATTTGTGGGTGTGAGTTTCTTTGTATTTATTGGGACAATGGTCGTACAAGACAGCTCTGGTTTACCAGATAAAGACTTCCGTGCCAATGCAGTAGCTATAGCTTTATGCCATGGAATGACAATAGCTGTATTAGTTATAGCTTTGGGATCTATCAGGTAGGACATCAGCATCAACCTATTCTAAAGCCTATTCTTAAATTAAAAAAAAGTTATTGCTGCTGTCATGGAAAAAATTTCCTTATTGCACACTGCAAGGCTTCATTTTATATTTGTAAGCCCATGCATGACTGATAACTAAAGTTGATCAACAGTCTAGTTGAGCTCTTGTGGAGCATAACTGATAAATACAGTAAATCAACAGTCTAGAGCATTAGATATGACTTGCAAATATTTAAACTGATAGCACAGTCTTGTATATCAACAAAAGTACATGACCTAATTGATATCATAGAAAACATTTTTTTCAACTGTCTAGAGCTGTAGTCAGACAAGACTGGTATATACAGCCAAATAAACAGTCTAGAACTCTAGTCAGACATGACTGGTAAATACAACCAAATCAACAGTCGAGAGCTCTAGTCAGACATGACTGGTAAATACAACCAAATCAACAGTCTAGAACTTCAGTCAGAAGTCAGACATGACTAGTAAATACAACTAAATCAACAGTCAAGAGCTATAGTCAGACATGACTGGTAAATGCAACCAAATCAACAGTCGAGAGCTCTAGTCAGACATGACTGGTAAATACAACCAAATCAACAGTTAAGAGCTCTAGTCAGACATGACTGGTAAATACAACCACATCAACAGTCTAGAACTTCAGTCAGAAGTCAGACATGACTAGTAAATACAACTAAATCAACAGTCAAGAGCTATAGTCAGACATGACTGGTAAATGCAATCAAATCAACAGTCGAGAGCTCTAGTCAGACATGACTGGTAAATACAACTAAATCAACTGTCAAGAGCTATAGTCAGACATGACTGGTAAATACAACCAAATCAACAGTTAAGAGCTCTAGTCAGACATAACTGGTAAATACAGTCAAATTTAAATATCTAATCAACAGCCCTGATATGAATTAATTTCTTCTATAATGACCATATGAATAATACATTCAACGTTTTGTGATATATTCTCTAATATTATGATATCTATATTTGTATTATTTTTGTTTCCTTGTTATTAAAACAATGAAATCTATTGTAAGTAAAACCATATGACAAAGATTAGATATTAATAATAAAAATATGCAGTAAGCAACTGTGATTTAAATAGTTAGTCAGACACCCACATTAATGTGGTAGGGGTTGAGACAGAGAGGTGATTAGTGATTAGGCTGACAGGGCCTCCTCCCCATCCCCCTTTTTCAAATTTCTTATTATTAGACATTGCCTGTTACCCCCCCTCTCCCCTCTTGATGTTATTCAAAAACACCCTTGTTGCTCACTAGCCTTAAAGGGATTGTAAAGAGCTTTTCTAAACAATTTATGTGTTAGCATCAATTTGCATCATTCCAATTTACAATTAGACATAGTTCCTGTAATTCCACTTAAGATTAGCGTTTTATGACGTCAATAATCGTGAAATTTGGTTGATCACATACGGCCCTTCGCGATTAGTGATGTCATTAAATACTTAGTTGTAATGGAATTGCAGATTTCAGGAACCAATGTCTGAAAGAAAATTGGTATTGGTGCAAATCGATGCTATCAATGTCCCCAATACACATGAAAATTTAAGAAAACCTCTTTAAAATCCCTTTAAGGTCCAGGCTTCAATGCTAGCATACCTCGACTCAAACACAGTGATGCAGGTTGGAGGGGCTAACATTTGCATAAAAATGAGTATCCCATTTCATCCAAATTCAAATATTTTCTCATTTAATTTCAGTGGTGCCCATGTTAATCCGGCAGTGACCCTGGCCATAGCTATTTGTGGTGAAATCAAGCCATTATTGGCTGTTTGTTATTTCTTCAGTCAGATTGTGGGTGGTATGGTAGGAGCTGCTTTTACTAGGGTAAGGTATACCCCCACATAAAATTTAGAAAAGGGATGTAGCTGTAGCGTAATTGGTTAGAGTGTTAGAATCTTTACATGATGTGGCAAATAGAAATATGAATAATGGTGGTCGTGAAATCTAATGTTGAGTCATTGTGTGAAATAAATAAATCATCTTTACTCATTACTCCAGTTAAAAATGGGTATAGATAATTTATTAGCTGTTTCTAGGATATCCTAACACTGTTTCTAGGACATCCTAACACTGTTTCTAGGACATCCTAACACTGTTTCTTGGATATCCTAACACTGTTTTTTGTTTCTAAGATATCCTGACACTGTTTCTAGGATATCCTAACACTGTTTCTAGGATATCCTAACACTGTTTCTTGGATATCCTAACACTGTCTCTAGGATATCCTAACACTGATTCTAGGATATCCTAACACTGTCTCTAGGATATCCTAGGGTCTTAATCCTAACACTGTTTCTAGGATATCCTAGCACTAAGATTGTTTCGAGAATAAGGCCTCTGGTTTGGATTAAATGCACCAGCAAAAATGTGTTTTATTTTTTTTTTTCTTTGAAATTTTTCAATATTTAAATATATTTTGAACAGGCTGTGTTACCAGATTCTATGTACACACAGTTTGGAGGTGGAGCTCATGATTTAGCTACTACTGAACATGTTGGTGAGGCCATATTGTGCGAAATGCTTTTGACTACCGTTTTGGTCTTAGTAATTTTATTGGTAGCTGTTGATCCTCGTACTAAAACAGAGTTAGCTCCCCTTGCTATTGGTATGGCGGTTACTGTTGATATATTTGCTGGGTAAGTTAAACTTAAAGGACTTGTCCAAATAGATAAATGGCCTTTAAGGAGCAGATTCGTCTTCCTTTTAACCAATCGTACTGTAGTCTCAAGTTTGAGGTTTTTTTGAAGGAATTGTGCCTTTAAAAATCAATACCTATGCATAATAAATTTTGTATCATCTGAACATTCCAATGAATTGGAGCAATATTTAACAATTCTGTGAATAACTGTTTGTTGGATATTTGTGAATAAATCCAGTAAAGTTTAGCTTAAGTCACCTACTGAAGTAACTTTACCACAGCTTTCTTTTTAAACGTTTAACAGTAAATACGTAAAACATGACTTTCGTAAAGTTTGACCAGTTCGTACTAAAAGTTCAACTTAAGTCCAACTTTAGTCAAAGTATAGGTTAAGTACGAGTGCTGCATACAGCCCTTAGTTTTCTCCACAGAGTTAGCTATGTGTGGTCCCTTTTCTTAATAAAGAGTCAGTATATTTTTTTGTACCTATTAAATCAGTATCGTGAGCCATTCAACAATTTTGGTGCAAATAAAAGGTTGACCCTAGTCTATGAGACAAATTGGGATGTTGCTTAAAAACTCCAGAAACTTTCTTTTAGGATATTTGTTACCGGTGCTTCCATGAATCCTGCGAGAAGTTTTGGACCGGCTATTGCCATGACAGTTTTCAAGAATGCCATTTGGAAGCATCACTATGTATATTGGATTGGGCCTGCACTGGGTTCCATATTAGCAGCTCTGATTTACAAGTAAGTAGAATTGTGTCCATTTTTCATTATATACCCGGTTCAAATTCTGCTCAAAAAGTTTTTCTGTTCTTAAAAAAAGGTAAAAAAAATTCTTAAAATAACATATGCTTAAAGGGACAATGGTGCAATTTTTTGACCAATCGTACCTTAATCTCAGTAACGTGAATTTTTTTTATCTAAGCCAATCAGTAATAGTGTTCACAGAATCCATGTGTGTCCAGAATTATCTGCTTTTGAATGTTAAAATGACGACTCTGTGATATATAAGAAGGCATATATAGATTCAAATTCCACTTCTAGTACTGCTGAAAAGTAGGATATAAAACCCAATTCATTTCATTTCATTTCGTTTTCTGAAGACTAGTTACATCTATTCTAGACTCATATCAAACCCCCAAAATAGCGCAACTGTCCTTTTAAATATTTTATATTTTATTTTTATATAAAACGTGACATAAAGTGAATTAATAATGATTTATAATTATTGAATAATTAATTAAAATGGATTGATAATTAAATATTAAATTATGTTAATATTATTCTCTTTCAAGTTTTTAATATAGCAACAGTTGTTTAGTTTAATTAGTAATAAAGTCAGTTTTTGTCAAGTTATTCTATGTTATCAATAATTCTGTAGTATTATTTGAACAAATAATTTTATCTCTTATGTTTTCTAAATAATAAAATTGGTGCAACCTAGCAACCTATAGCTAATCAAATTTTATAACCTAAATTATGTTCTCCATTGGGATCCATTGACAGATATAAATAAGTAGGCTAAATTTTGTCTGTCTTGTTGGCCATTGGTGCTGTCTGTCTTGTTGACCATTGGTGTTTTCTGTCTTGTTGGCCATTGGTGTTTTCTGTCTTGTTGGCCATTGGTGTTGTCTGTCTCGTTGGCCATTGGTGTTGTCTGTCTTGTTGGCCATTGGTGTTGTCTGTCTTGTTGGCCATTGGTGTTGTCTGTCTTGTTGGCCATTGGTGTTTTCTGTCTTGTTGGCCATTGGTGTTGTCTGTCTTGTTGGGCAAGTCATGTGCCGACAATCCATTTCATTTGCAAATAATCTTGAGGGGTCTTTTCAATGAAGTCTACAATATTTGATTTTATTTACAGGTTGGGTTTAGGAAGTGCTAGTAAGCGTCTGATATTAAAAGAAGAATGAACAGCTGCCCGTTAAGTAGACGCCAGACATCACCGATTGGACTGGTGAAGCAGAAAGATACATATCATTATATCTTCTATTCTATAAAAGACAAGTTTGATTTATATAGATCTATTTCTTGAGGCAAAAATGACAGTGTCCAATCTAACTACAAGACTGATCTCATCTTCACAATGTCAAGCTATTAGGAACTTCACACTTATACCTCGACTCAGGATCGAATGGGAGAGGGGCCTCTAGCTACAGGCCTGCCTTGACTGCAATAGTCACTGCAGCGCTTTGATTAAGCCATAATTTTTACAGTCTTCTGATTGGCTGTATTCCCTTGCATAAAATCCAACCAAGTCACTGCATCCCATGATAGAAGAAAGGTGGCTATTGCAGTCAAGGTATAACACGAGATTATAATAGCTTGACATTGTGAAAATGTACAGTGTGTTTCTGTTGTATTGTCTTAGACCAATGATCTGATAAAATTGTTGTAAAACACATGCGTTGTCAACTCTGGATATGACATGGACAGCTTTTTAATATAATATCGTGGTGACCTTCCTAACCTCTTGGCTTTAAACACATGTCGCTTCATCGCTGTCTATAGAAATATTTGTCTAAATCAAGCTTGTCTTTCAAGTTTATCAAAATATATATATATATACTAATTTTATTCATCTATTTTATTTGTTTTTTTGAAATTAATTTATCATGTTTATTGTGATGTTAAGGTTAGTGTTTGGAGGAATGGCGGAGTTGTCTGTCCTAAATCATGTAAAGAAATTGGGTAAATTTCTGAATAATATTCTGGTTGTTTGCTTGGGTATAACAAATTGTTATTTTAACCAAATCCCCTTTTCAATGAATTGATTGAACCATGGTAATTCTCAAAACCGAAATATACTGGTTGTTTGCTTAGGTAGCCTATAACCAAATTGTTATTAAACCAAGCCCCCTTATATATATAGTATAGATTAGACTGTAATATCTTTATAAATTATTGTGAATTTTAATTAATCAAAATGACGATTTTCACGAAAAAAGGGTTGCTGACTCATTATAATATTCTCAAGAGTCCGAAAACATCAGATTGTGATTTATGGTATCATCAATGTGTCTCAAAGTTCGTTAAGGGGATGTGGTTTCAACACATGGTTTCCATGTTGGTTGTGGTTTTTGTTTTTTTTATTATATTTAATCAAAAATAATTGATATATACATTAATTGAGATATATTATATTTTCCCCTATATAATACTCTAAAATGCCTGAAGATATTACAATTCAAAAATATAATACTCTTGAATACTCGAATACTCTTTTTAAATTTACAAGCTAAACGAAATGTTAATATGTACACCAAATACTCCAATTGGTCTTTTTTGTGCAGTTGTGAATAAAATTGTTTTTTATTAAAGATAGGTTTCCATATTTTTTAGTATCAAATTATGCAAACTATTTGATTAATTGGTGTTTTTAATGAATAATGTATTCTTAATCATATCATTATGTTCTTATTGCATATAATTAAGAGTTAAACCAATCATAAATATCCATGTATGTAAAGTAAAAAAAAAAAAACTTTTGACCTTTTGTGATCTGTCACTCATTGGAATTCTGCTGGTAATTCTCTTCTAAGTCAGCTAATTATGAATTAATTATGGACATGTGAGATAAACTGGTATTTTTCCAAGTCATTAGAACACCTCTACTTTCTATTCACATAAGTATCATTAATGAAAAAAAAGGGAACCCATCTTTAAAGACTAAATTATTGTACTATAGTCGGAAAATGTTGGTCATAGATAATTATGTACATCATTTTCGTGTTTTGCTATAAAAGGTTTCCCCATATACATGAATATATATATATATATTAGATAAAACATCGAATTAAACATCAAATTCTCCTGCCAAAAATCATGATCATATTTTTTATAGAGATTGTATTGTGGCATAAGTTTTTCATGTGTAGCAGGTCCATTCATTGCTTCTGTTTATATCATTTCAATTTTCTATCAGATGTCTGTGGTTCCTGATGAATTTATTCTCTCAAGAATCAAGTTTAAATTATTAGTGAGATGTTATTTTTAGTCTATATCAAATATATTGTGTGCATCCAGGAGAAATTAAAAATATAAACACGATCAGTCCACTTTTTTGGGGGTAGATTAAATAGTTATTTAAACTATACAGCTTATCTTGTATTGTATTCTTACTACTCAAACTACCTAAAATAAATGGACTGTGCGTGTTTATCTTTTGAATCTTCCTGGATGTACATGAATATCTGTGTTTAACTATACAGCTTATCGAGTGCTATTTATTTTTCTATATAACTGTGTTGTCATTAAAATAAACTTCTATTATATTTACATAATATCTACTTATATTTACATAATATCTACTTATATTTACATAATATCTACTTATATTTACATAATATCTACTTATACCCTTTTTCCTATTTAATAGAGCAGAACTAAAGGTGGTTTTTTGTTTTCTGATGAGCTTATTAATGAAATTGCCAATAGCTGCTTTTACACTGCTTTAAAAACTTGGCTTACTTGAAGTAAACTGTACTCTATCCAGACCCAGCTCGGATAATATTGGCAGTGTAAACACGGCTTAAGGCATTGTCTATCTTCGTTAACTCTGCCAGGTTCAGATGAACAGGATCTACAACTCATTTGTTTCATTTCATTAGAACAATCAAGATCACAAAGTAGGATGTAAAATTCAATTTCATTTCATTAGAGGAATAGACGATACAAATGAAATAGAAGTGGACACACAAGGTACAGGTCTGGACACGATTGGTTTCTTCTATTTTCGACTGTATCGATAATCCTGCACCAAACACCACGGTCTATGCCCACCTTTATACTTCAATCTATACACCAAGTAATGAAATGAATGGAGTTTTACGTCCTACTTTTCTGCACCTTGTGGACTAATGAAGACGGGAGATGCCATGCAGGGTACAATGAGGGAAATTTTGCCAGGACAGCGGCATTAGCCTGCTCTTTTTCGATTTCCAACTGTCGAGGGATCTTTAACGATACGCTCACAGCCTGTAGCACACAGGGTCTCGGTTTATTGTCCCATCCGAACGACTAAACGCTTTTTCCATGTCAGCCCCTCTTTACCTGCATCACTGACAGGGGAAAACCGGGTTGAAAAATCCGAAGGTATTATCTCGACCTATTCCGGGATTGAACCCTGGACTTTCAGGTTAGCGAGCATGCGTCTAACTCACTGAGCCACCGCGGCTCCTTAACTCCAGGCATAAAACAAGTATTAACTATCCAGCCGCAAAACGTAATCCAAACAACATAATGGCAAAAAATTAGTAGTAGCCATTTTATTTCATTTCTACTCATAATTTCAGGCCTCAACACACCCAACCAGAAAAAAAGATAACTGAAAGATTTAAATATTTATTTTTTTGTTATTTTGAAATAAAAAGCAACAATCTTGATAAATTATTTACACCATTCACAAATCTTATTAAAAATATTTAACATTCGTCTTCTCGTTGGCTGTCATTTAGTCCCTAACTTCCAGACTCTAACCTACGCTAGTCAATAACTGTCTTGGTGTTTTAGACTAACTGTCATTAAATCCAAAACTTGCTGACCCTAGCACTCAGGGAATAAAATTAAGTGTCAGTAAGTTTCAGACTAGTGAAATAGCTATCAGTGGCTAGGTAAGAGTCAGCAAGTTTTAGACAAATCGAAGTGTTATACTAGGATAGGCTAGAGTCTAGCTGTTACCAACAAATTACATAAAATTTATATCTACAATTTATAGTTTGAATATAAAGTATATTTGGATATAAATCAGAGAGACTTAAACACTGCTTCAACCCTGCGTGGAAAACCGCATAAACCTTAGAAATGACTAACAAGATAGGGCTACATCTGTACATAGCTCAAATTGTCATACAGTTTGTCAAAATATCAAATTGCGAGGATGTCCAATTTAGCACAGTGACAGATATCATCTCAATATATTATTAGACCAAGGGTGATTATTCTTGAAAACTTAACTTAAAATGATTTTAAAGTTCCAGTCATCTGATTGGTCAATCATTAAAATCGATTTTAATAGGTTTCAGTCATCTGATTGGACAATCATTAAAATCGATTTTAAATGGTTTCAGTCATCTGATTGGTCAATCATTAAAATCGATTTGAAAAGGTTTCAGTCATCTGATTGGTCAATCATTAAAATCGATTTTAAAAGGTTTCAGTCATCTGATTGGTCAATCATTAAATGGATTTTTGTTATCCAATCAGATTACTGTATTTTTTAAAATTATTCAAGTTAAGTTTTGAAGAAGAAGGCCCTAGAAAATAGTCCTAATAATTATGCATAATTTATGCTTCTTATATTACAAGCGTATATAGTTTTATACAACTGATGTAATCATTACACCAGGCTTTAAATAGCAATACTATCTTAGGTTAACCAAAAAAATTGTTGAACAAAACACCAGACCAGGCCACATATTCTTGAAACGATCTTTGTGCTAGGATTAAATAGAATCAATGTTAGAAGATAGACCCAAGGACATCCTAGCGCTAAGATCGTTTCGAGAATACATGGCCTGGACGTCCTTGGGTCTTAACTTCTGTTACACATTATACACTGTTTTTAGGACTTCCTAGCGCTAAGATTGTTTCGAGAATACGCTGCCTGGTCTAAATTTTAACACAAGAGTCAAATAGTTGTTCAAATCTCACAGGAGTTCATGTGGTTTCATCAAATGTATTCGAGTCTGTCTTCATAATGGCAGACCCTTGTTACAATAGTTATCTACATACCAATTGGGTTCTCTTAGTTATTTTGCTGAGTGAGCAACACCTGTGTATTAAGCAAAGCAGCCAGTTATATTCTTTATATCCCTTACATCTTTAATGAACTCTTCCACACATGCATAATGTCTAGCAATATTATACAATGTAATGCATGTTTGGAAGAGTTCATTTTACAGAATCAGGGGTGTTCTATACCTTTCAAAATATTAAAATTTGCTTTTTTTCTATTTCTATATACATATTAATAAAGATAACTTGATACATTATTATTATGATTATAATACGCATGGCTTTATTCTAAAGTAAGCCAAGGAAATCTATTTCTCTTCCTTGTCAAAATTTGTGAAACACTAATCTTAGTGAATTAGTCCAAATTGATTGCATTATTACCAGATCTTGAAATAAAAGTCAAAACAAAGCGTTATCTCAAAAGTAAAAACTTTTGAGCCGACCATGAAATTTCAACAATAACATCTCTGTTATATAAATGTTCTTTGCAATAAATGTACATTAAGGCACCCTGTACTTTCTGTACACAAACAGACCTAATAAATTACTGATTACATCTTAATAATATATCATAGTTACAAATTCAAGAACCTTAACCTAGAAAAACATCAGCTCTCAGAAAACATCAAATATTGCTTACACTTTTAGAGGAGAGTCATTTCTGCAGTAAGATCCTTATGCAATCATAAGGAATGATCATAATTCAATTTTTTTATTCTAAATTGCAAATTGCATGCAAGTTGAATCAAATCTTTTTATCTCAACCTAACTCTAGCTCTTACTATAAATATCTAAAGAAGTAGGAGATATCACTGAATTATTTCACAATAAAATCTACAGAATAAGAAATATCTAATTTCGTTTTATGATCTAACTTAACTTGTTAAACTTTATTTTAACAATAATTTTGAAAGAAATTAATAGCTATGTCTTACAAGCATAATAACTTGGGTTTTCAAGAATCCTTTCTACTAACTGGTTCATAACCCTAGACATTGATCTTTTCTAGATAACCCCCTACAGCCAGGTCTACTGGAATTATGAAGAAAAGAAGACATAATCAATAAGCTATATAGCTGGGTTGACTGAAATAATAAGGAAAGACAACTCATATAGGGCCACTTGACTTCTTAACACCAAGACAGATTAGGGCACCGATCCACACAAAATCTTACTCTCTCATTTAACCTTGAGAAATACCATATTTACGACAAAATTGATTGTAAGATTTTTGTGGATCAAGACCCTGAAATCTAAGAAATTGCGTAGCTTGTGTAGACTCAGTTAACAGGTATTTCAACTTGAAAAATACATTGCATATAATACAGTACTGGATAATAGAGACTAAATTATTGTGCATAGATTAAAATTCTCAATATAAATTCTCCAATCTGAATAAAATGCAAATCTGGATGTTTCGTTTCGTGTTTTTTCTATAGGTGACTCCACTCTATAACCATGATCTGACGAGATAGTTACACATCTCATGTTCTAGGTCAAATAATATTCAGCCAATCAAAGGCACAAGTTACAAAACATAGGACTTCATCTAAGTTTTTTAACTTATGCCTCATCCTTTTGTTTTATGTTTTATAAAATATGTTTACCTCAATCAAATGTTCAGATCAATGAAAAATTTCGTTATTAACAAAACAAAACATCAAAATTTGCATTTTATTCAGATTGTAAATTTTCAAAAGAAACAAAGTTTCTCTTCCAATTCCCCTGCTGTTTCATTATTATTATCATTATTATAATTATTATTATTATTATTACACTATTAAATATATAGACATACATTTACTTAATCTGATTCAAATACAGACCAAAATCTTAAATAATCTTATGATCAAAATATATTTCTTAAAAATTTAACATGAATGCTAATCCTTCCAGAACACATGTGGGCACTCTGCAACTGAGTTTGTCAATTACACATCCTACATGACAAACAAAGAATTGCCTTTTCACCAAGAGCCTTACCCACCCCTTCTAATCCCAATAACTACAATCTGAAATTCCACAAAATCCACACAATATGGCTACCTTTCAGCAAATTGACAACAAAATATTTCTCTTATATACCAATCTAATTCTAATTTGATCAGGAAATTGTTATCTTATTTCAATTACATTGATTCCATACAGGGCATCATTCCCAAAACTTTAACAAAATACAATAATCTGATTGGTTGATAAAACTAAATTCAAAGTTATTGACCAATCAGATTAAGCGAATGATAAACTTGATAAGGTCGTTAGAATTTCTTCGATAAAGCGGTAAAAATTTCACGAGATACCCAAATTAAGTTCATTTTCTATTGGTCGAATAGGAGCAGAAAAAAAACAACTTAAATTTCATTGAAGTAGGGTGTAAAACTCTATGTCATTTCATTAGCCCAATCAGTAACAGAAAAGTAAGATGTAAAACTTCATCTAATTCCATCAGTCAAATGATGAGTAGAAATTTGGGATGTTATATGAATAAAATCAGGAGAACAGATCATCATAAAACCCATTTCATTTCGTTAATTTAATTATCATCATCACTGGTCAAAATAAATTATTCCATACAGAAGCTGCATCTTAGAATGATCACTATTCATGTAATTATTCTTTGTTAAAAGTTTTAAATTCGTGTCGTTCAAAGTGAAAGACACCTGACATCACATTTTATGCGGCGATTAATATACAGCTTGGGTGACTTCGATTGAAACTCTGTGGTCGAACTAGAGGTGATAGAGAAATGACGTAATCATCATCAGTACGCTTGTCGAGTGAGAGTCGAAATTGAATTGACATTAAGGCAATATAGTGGCACTTTTAACCATATATAAACATTCCTTGAGACCATATTAACTCTTGTTCGACTCTCAAAAGAGCGAGGGTCAAATATTACGTCACAGGGGTCTAAACTGTAAAAAATATTACAGTTACAGACTCTAAAACCTCAAGTCAAACCCAAATTCCAATCAAAGTCACCCCTTACGGCCGAACACTAAGACAAGTGTTCTGAAGAACTAGCACTATATTCTGGAGAGGGAGTGGTCAAGTTTATCTGATCTAAAACTGAACTAACGTAAGCGCTAACGTTCACATCCATTTCTTCATATCTTTTGATAAATGGATGTTCCTAAAACAAGAAAGAAATATTATTTAAAATTTATGAAATGAGCTTCAAGTTTTTGTTTATTTACTTTTGATCAGGTTTTAGGGGAGAGAGACAAAAAAGCGAGGGTTTTCTTCAGTTCGGGGCCCTTGAGGCTGGGGGTTGCCAGGTCTCCAAAAGCCAAAAGATTTAAGATGGCCTTTGATGAACTTAAAGCTATAGGAGGGCTGATTTTCACTTCAAAATAAGACCTGTCACAGGCCTGAGTGAGGCCCAATGGCCTACACCCTAAATACACCAATGTTTACTGGTCTTTTGACCAATCAAATTGGTTGTCTGGCTGATCCTTACTGACATATTGAAGACTGATTGGCTGATTGAATGATTTGTGTACTTACCAAAAGTTTAGTATATTTTGGTCTTTGTCTTTCTTCTTTCGTTAAACTGCAAGAAAATAAACAAAAAAAACTGCAAATTCAAAATACCACATAAACATTATAAATTATGTAGACTCAGGAAGGGATGCTTAGTTGACAAATTCAAACACCAAACAAACATTATTAAATATGTAGACTCTCTGAAAGGGATCCCAAAACATTAATACCAAATCATCTTTATAAGCTATGTAAAATCTCGGATTCAAGAGATGCCCAGTCGACAAATCATCTATGTGGACTCTCTGAAAGGGAAGTCGAGTGGCCAAACTTAAAATACCACATAACCATCATTAGCTATGTGGACTCTCTGAAAGGGATGTCTAGATGCCAAACTAAAGATACCACATAACCATTATTAGCTATGTAGACTCTCCGAAAGGGATGTCGAGTGGCCAAACTTAAAATACCACATAACCATTATTAGCTATGTGGACTCAATGAAAGAGATGCCTAGTAATGCCAAATTATCCATATAAGTATTTAGGCTTTGAGAAAGGATGCTGATGTGAAGCCAAATATCAAGAAGTTTGTTCCCGAGTCGGATGCCAAATTGACAAAGTTGCAATGTGGCTTTCGATGCTCCAAAAATATCTTCAACTTACCATAAAGAAATAAAGTTTTTAAATTCCTCTGAGAATTGAGAGTTACTCTGTAACCGAGGTGGTGGCCCCTGTACAACTTGAGTTAATTGGTCAAATACACTGTTCCATTTTTTAAATGGAAAACGTCCCGTAGCTGTTTCCGTCTGCAATAAAAAGGGGGAAAACTAAATGCAGATTTGATTATGCTAAATTCTAATGTAATGAACTTATGTTGTTCTTTTCTGTTCATGATTGGTCTTCAAGGAGATATTCATATAGCCTGACACAGGCAAGGACAGGGAATAAGGGGCTGTTCTTTGACTTTTTGCGACAAATACTAAGGGCTCAAAATGGCATGATATAAATAAAAGAGTCCAACTTCAGTAAAGATGCAGGTCTTTTCTGTTCATGACTGGTCTAGCAGACGACAATTCAACTCATCAAGACCCGAGCTATCCCATTGCCTAAATTGACAGTGTTACAGTGTTCCATCCCAGCGTTACAGGGAAGCATTGACGTTTACACGGTTCGAAAGTTGTTAACCCCTTCAAAGAAATATTCATATGACCTGACACAGACAAGGACAGGGAATAAGGGACTGATATTCTTTGACTTTTTGCAACATAAGACTCGATGCTATCAAACACTAAGGGCTCAAAATGGCATGATATACATAAAGAGTCCGACTTCAGTGAAGATGCAGGTCAGTCATCTGAAGATCGCATAATTTAGCATACATGTTTCAGGTTCTGTTTTAAAAGTTCTACATTGATCTACAATCGAAGTATTGAGCACTAATTTAATAATGAAAATATTTTTGTTATTGTTTTATTAAATAATATATATTATACTTACTAAAGTGATACCTAAACTCCATACATCAGATCTTATATCATATCCTCTACTAGAAGCTTTAGGATCTATTCTCTCAGGCTACAAATTATCATATCAAAATCATTCTACTTCTACATTATTAAATTTATACCCTATGTCAAACTTGAACATCAAACAGCTAACATTCTCTTGCTCAGTATTATAAATTGCTGCTAAATTAAATCATCATTTATAGAGCACGTCCGATATTAATAGTATTACTTTTTCTACCATGTTTCACTTTAGAAAGTTAACCTCATATTAAGGCCTGAGAAATAATATCAATTCAAAGTTGGAGACAATCAGGAACATATCCCGCCATCTTTACAATGGTCGAACTGTACCAACTACTTCTAATACCTTGACTGCAAAAACCACCTTTCCTGCATCATGTATGTAAATGCAGTGATTTGATTGGATTGTACGCTAGTGAATACGAAGAATCAGGGTGGTCATTATAAATTCTGTAAGTCATTATATTAACAGAATTTCTGTAGAAGGCTCTGATTGGCTTTTCATTATCTGGCATACAATCCAATCAAATAGCTGCAAGGTATAAGATGAAATTTGTAATAGCTTGACATTGTGAAGATAATACTCACACTGTAAGTACCATAGATTCAATCTAAACAACCCGATATTTCAGGTACATTGTCAAAGATTTCTAAGGCTGCACAGTCACGCCCACAACCAGATAAACAAGACATTAAGAAACCTACCGCCATATAAGGTCGACAACCAGCATCACGACTTTTTGCTATACTATCTACAAGTTGGCCGCTAATACCAAAATCACAGAGCTTTATATTACCGTTTCTGTCCAGCAGAATATTGGAGGGTTTCACATCTACAAAATACACATAGATCGTTTTAATTTTACATCTATACCTGTTAACAAATATCTGATAACAACGATTTGAACGACATTACAGAGAACACACATAACAGAAAGCAAGAAGAAAAATTTAATGGTATGTTACACCATGCTATTAAGAAAATACCCAATCTATCAAAAATTAGAATTTAAATTTCGTTCTTTTTTGTTTTCTATTTGTTGTCTCCATTGTATTGTAATCTAAAAAGTTTTCTACTGCAGTCCCAATCTCGTAATTTTTAACCAATCAAAGCGGTACATGTAGAACCCATTTCTAATTCCAGAATATTTAAACCCAGCCAAGCCAAGAGACGCTTTTTTCCATGTCAGTCCCTCCGACCTGAATCACAGCCATTGGGAAACCCCACTTATGCCAAATATGTACAATTTAACTTTGATACCTACCCCTATGTATAATTTTTAATTTTTCTTTTAAATAATTCAGGGCTTTAACAGTCTGAAAAAAAAAAAACGATATGAATTCATCAGTTCATTCAGTCTGCATCAGATTAAGCCAATGAAAACTGTCCAACACAAGACAATACATTGAAGAATATTCTTATCAAAATAAAGATTTCTCATCTGTAATCAGGTCTCTGTTCCCAAAATTCAGTTCTCTCAGCCTGTGATACGAAACAATATCGATGACAATTCAACTATTCCATTTTTCTTGTAAAAAAATAGTACTTACAGCCACTGTTATTTTGCCTATTATTTCTTCTGGTATCGTACTATTTTGTTCATCATAAATAAATTTATAAAATTTATCTAATGAGATTTCCATTAACTCCATACAGATCCAGCAATCACCCTGTCAGATAGATAGAAAGATGAACTATTTTCCATTGGAAAATCACGGTCAATTGGAATGAATGAATGAATGAATGAATGAATGAATGAATGAATGAATGAATGAATGAATGAATGAATGAATGAATGAATATAAAATAAAAAGATGAACTAATGAATAAAATTAAATATCACTGTCAAATATAATGAATGATAAATAAATGAAAAAACAAAGAATGGGACTTCTATTTCCATCACCTAGATCCCAATCCTAGATCCCAATCATTTGTAAGTTATCAACGTACCTCCTTAAATAAAGCTCCATAAAACTGGACTATATAAGGGCAATCATTACTTTGCATAACAACTTCTAAATCCATTAATAATTGTTTTTGTTCTTTTTCTACCACAGTGGACCTCACTCTCTGAAAAATACAGATGACATTTTCATTCTACTTTCATGACGACAGGCAACAACATGCTGTGTACAATGAAAGAAATTTGCCAGGAGAGCAGCATCGGATTCTAACTTGTCGCAGGAAATGAAAAGTTGTTCCAGCCCCTTTGGCCTGCATCACTGACATGGGGAAACCTGGTTGAAAAATCTGACAGAATGATGTGACCCATGCAGGGATAGCACCCTAAATCTCCATGCAAGCGAGCAAGCCAATGAAGCCATTGAATTGAAGTTTTATCTCCTACTTTGCTACCTCATCTTATGCTAATGACTCTTGTTATAATTACAGAATGGAAGCTAATCTTTTGCTGCCAATATATGTTTCAGATCAGCAATCCTCATCAGGACACCTAGTTTTTTAACACAAGGAGTATTTACCTTCACAGCCATAATTTTGCCTGTTCGTTTGTGTCTCATTTTATCGACGGTACCGTAATTTCCTCGTCCTATTTCACACAGATCTTCTAAATCATCAGACGTAAAATCTATCATCTAGAAAAATATTTCATTTATTGAATTGTGTAGTGATACATGTATTACAGGGGAGAAACAGGCTTGAAAAAATACATAGCTACCATAGTATTTAACCTATGCTGACCTAATGTGTATTGAAACAAAACCCTGAATCAGGGAATAAAAACATGGAAATGGAGAATATCAGCTGAAGTTCAAGAGGCTCTCTCAAATCGTATCGTTGGATGAGTATCGTATAGTGTATCGAATCGCAACTTCAAGAATCATTGCTGCCCTAACATCTATTCTTCTGGAAAGGTCACGATATCTTGGCTAGTCTATGATAGTTGACTACAAGTTAACATCTGTAGACTGAGCACTCTAAAGACCAAAACTATGTCCCTACCTCCTCGTCTTCTAACTTTAATCTTCCATGAGCATCCATACCATGTCTAGACCGTAAATTTCGTTCTCTATATAAAAAAAAATAAAAGATTAAATTAAAATCGTCATCAGAGCTATAAATTAGCATAACAATCCAGAAAAAAGCAACCAATAACACAGAATCATTCAATTTGAATCAATCCAACTACCTACTACTATGACTACAGAGTTTGCGATATCAGCATCCGGAAGCGAATGTTAACTTGTCATCTACCAATCAACCAACCAGAAAAAAAGCATTGCTCAGTTACTAAGGTTAAACTACAGACCAGTTGGTAAAAAATTGAAGTTATAAGTTAAGAGGAATTCAATGGAAAATTGGAAAGAGGCAAAATCTGATTAGAATTCAAATTTGGATGTTTCATTTCATGTTTTTATTGCAGGTTACTTTGTTCAATTGTCATCCACCATCTGACCAAATTGTTATTCCTCTCCTGTTCTTGGTCAATTAAAAGTCAACCAATCAAATCCTCCGTTCAATCAAAGGTTTCATTTCAATATGCTTATCTCCTTTAAAAGTGCTTGTGATTTGTTAGTATAAGTTTTGACAACTTTTGATGCTATTCGGTCAAAATTCCACTGAACACAATATACAGAAAAATCTTGTCAGATCACGGATGGCTGAGTACTTACCAGCAGAAAAAACAAAACTAACGAACACAAAACATCTACATTTGCATCTTATTAGATTGACGAAAGTAAAATTCCAAAATCAAACTTGGCATTACATTTGATAGCAAAATTGACAAAACACAAGCTTTACTTACATTTGAGTGATATGACCCATATCTGCTAGCGTACGAGGGGGGTCCTCTTTATCAATACTGAATGAGTTTGGTCCATTTGAATTGAAAGCCAAACGTAGATTGGCTCTTTTTTCAGCTGAAAATTTAAATAAAAAATCCATTTCAATCAACACAGGCAACATTAATGTTTCTTAAAAAAAATTGGTTAAGTAAATTATAATTAATAGCCAAATTCTGCATAGAAATTACTAATAAAATTTACCTTGTTTCTTTTTTGCATTGCCATTTGAAGCCATTTTGACAAAAATTCCTGAGTTTTGAAACCTATGCCCTATATCTTTTTAATTTTTAAAACTAAAAACAACAGTTTAAAATAAATATAAACTTTGTAACATGTCCATTGATAATTTATTTTTAATACTGTGATGATGAATTCATTCACACATTCGACATGAAAAAACAAATAAACTACAAAAGTCAACAAGTTGCTGAAATAGCCCTAGCCTAGAATCCTAGATAACACATCTCGTCATGTTAAATAATTTCCTTTTTCAAGCTTTAAATAATATATGATTCATTTTTATCATTGATTCAATGATTGTCATTTCAAATTGGTGACACATCAAGGTTATAGGCTTAGTTTCACATCAAACTGTGGTTGACAGTCTTATAGTCTTCATCAGTCAACAAACAAAACTATCAGTGGTCAGAAAAAATTCCAACCAAGTAAACAATTGAGATTGACAGCTTATTCAAATATAACATGACTTGTCATAGAAAATAGGATTCCGATATACAGTGATCCATGTGATCAAACGGCGATGACAACATTTTATGAATCATTCAGGCCAAAAATAGACAGTCATCAGATGGATTCTCTAGGAAAAAGCCTCTACCTTGATCATCAGGTTCGCCCTTAGAATTATTCGGGGCCGCCATCTTGAAAAATCGTTTGTAAATTGCGTCGGAACAACGCCCGATGGACGGGCAGTTGTCCCCTAGAAACAACAGTGTTGCTTCTACTTGCTCCCTGAGTTAAGAAGATACAGGTAGCATGCACACTAAGGCCATAGAATATACAGTAATTTCATTTCTTCAAGATGACTCATCAATGAAACTACCAGGGAATATCCCATTGACGTCACAAGCACCTGCTGGTAAATAGCCGGTAGATGGCGTCTTTGTCGTCGTCATCACCACCTTAAAACTGGTTATTTCCCTTGAACTGATCTTGAGACAAGTGAAAATTGTAGGCATAACGTCAGGCTCCCCTCTAGGATCCTAGATTAAAGATTCTAAAGATTGTTATTTTAACAATATGCCTCTTTCATAAGTCATAAATCGGGCTTTTCTGCTGTTAGAAAATCACCAAATATGGTACAGACGGGTGGGAAAGAAATAAAGACTAGACCAATTGGATTTAAGGGGCAACATATTTTTGAGGGACACGATCAATGAATTAAAAGGGAGGAAGCTGCATAAAATCAAAGTTCAGACAGAAGGTGTAGCCTCTTCAGTGGCGGAGCTAAAGGGGGGGGGGGGCAGAGGGGGCAGCCGCCCCCCTTCGCAGCCCCAAAAGCAGGTCTTGGGTCAAAAATCTCACAACTGGGTGGGGAATTCGGGCGATTTCAGATATTTAGCCCCCCCCCCCCCACCCCCCCTCGGACGTAAACCTGGCTCCGCCACTGAGCCTCTCTTCCCCTATAGTCCCTTCTCCTAGTCAATGCCATCCTTTCTCAAACATACTCTGATTTTGTACTCAGAAAGAGAACTCATCTCTGACGATTTTGAGGTGACAAAAACATACCAATATCTATATCTTTTTGATTTTGTACAAAGACACTGTAAATGAATCAGTCTCTGCTGAACTTAAGTAGGTTTTGCTGGGGCCCCCATGGACCCCACCCTAACGACAGGTGTGGGCAATTCTCGTATGAGGGACTGAGGTAATAGTCATTCAAGATGTCGCATAATTTTGAAATCGGAGCTGTATCTTAAATCAATTTTTTTTAGGCTCCGTCACTAATTCTGGATGGACAGAAAATTTCGGATCATCCGGTCTTTTTACCGTGTTTGTTTCAATATCCATGTCGTTTCTACAGTTTAAATTTGCTTTCATTTTCCAATCCTTTCCGTTTTGATATTTTGAAATATATTCCCACTTTCATGTTTTTTATAATTTTTATTTCGAGCCCCCATTCAAATTCTAATAATTCCGGATAAATGAATAATTCGGCTTAAATGGTGTTAAGGATAGAAACGTCATGGTCCCTTTTTTTGTTGGAATTGCAACTGAAGCAAGTGTTTCTCCAATACACCTACTAAACTTTTGTAGAATCCCTTTTATACTACTATAAAAATCCGTACAAGCAGAACAATTCCAACCAAAAAACTCTCCCAAGGCATGAAAAAATTGGGAGCAATAATTGTGTAGAAGTGGACTCCTCAAACGAGAAGTAACATCAGGTGATTTGAAAAGAGTAAGCATAGTCTGCTTCGTGCATGACAAATCATAATATAATATTATACCACTAGACAATAGAATCTGATAATACCAACAGTGTATCACAATGTTATATTTTACAGGGCATTATGAAATTGATATACCACACTTTTGATTTTATTATCTATACTCATTGAATGCAAACATTCAATATCATCCCTGTGATAATTATAACATTTAATACCGGGCGTTATTAAGTTGATATACCACTCTTTTAATTTTATAATCTATACTCATTGAATGCATACACTCAATATCATCCATGTAACATTTAATACCGGGCGTTATGAAGTTAATATACCACACTTTTATAATCAAAGCCTTGTTATTCATGCAGTTAATATACCACACTTTTATAATCAAAGCCTTGTTATTCATGTATAATAATAACAGATCAGAATGGTATTTGATTACAATGTAATTGTTCTTTAATTACAGTCGTTAAAAGTCTACTCATTCTATTGAAGCTCACCTTTACAGGTAATATCAGTTTAATGTGACCTAGATATGAGACAAGGTTTACATAAAGTAATAGGGGCCACTAAACTCAAATCACTGTTTAATTATAGTGAGTCATTCACATATTGTCCTTGCATAATTTATGAGACGCTGGCGATAGCTAGATAGTTTGATAAAACATTATTTATTTAAGTCATGTGAAGCCCCAGTCAAGGTATATCGTGATAGTGGGGCGTGGCACTTGTGACGTCATGCTCTATTTTAACCGGAAAACGAAGTGAGAAGAGTTATATGAAAAGAGAGTTGTGTTTGTAGATAACGGGGAGTGTAGACCGACATCAAGTAATGTAACTGATAGTTTATTAAGTGTCCTTAGATTTTACTTATTTTGTAATATAACGTGTTCAGTTTAGTTTAGCTTGAATAGCTGCCTTATTAAAACAGCCATCATGGCTTGTAGAGTCAGTGCTACTATGTTTTTTGTCAGCCTGTGTGTGATCTTTTTAATGGAGACTGAGGTATTAAGGGCTGCCAACCCTTCAAATACAAGCAGTCAAACAGTGACGGATGAACAGTCAGATTTAATAGTTAAGAAAAGTTCCATAGAAAAAGGAATGGATGTATTGTATGATATGGCAAATGGATTTCTAGATGTAGTTCAATCTGAAAAACTTTTTGATCAAACTTGGTTAAGTAAGTATTGATTAATTTACTTTAGTAATTACCTAATTATGTAATCAAATTTCAGCCATATACCTCATATACTTCAGTGGAAGAGATTGTATTGTGGGGGTGGGGGAAGGAGGTTTAGGGGGGTTATCCATTTTGTTAACAGTCAGTTAGTTTGGTAATAGAGATTTGAGAGTGTTAACTAACTTAATGATGTAAATACCATATCAGCTATTCAGTTGGCTAGTAAGTCATGGGAGTGAACTAAAGGGCATTTGCACCATAACTTTTCAAAAGATATTTATGTGTGTATATACTCTGCCACAGAACATCTTCAATGGTCCAATTGTCTACTTGTTAAAGGGCAATTCTAATTCTAGAATTTCTACGCCATTAACCCATTTCCCATCATGTCTGAATACAAGATAAAGAAGATGAGAATAGTTAGACATACAACTGAATAAAAATTCTTACGATATTTGGCACCGAAGTGCAGAATCTACTATACATTGAATATGACATCTGCCTGGAATAAAACCGATTCTACTATTATCTTACTCTTAATTCTGCTACTACTTCAATACACATTTATATCCTTCTCTTACTGGGGTTTCTGCAGGGTGCTAAGAATTGAGACCAGCAGAGCCTCCTGCACTGAGTTTGGTACAAGAATTTTTCCCTACTTTTTCAACTACCCAATAGATCTATAACTGCACTGATAGGCATAGTTATACTGCTCACTTTCTGGAGTTTCTGCAAGAGGGGGAAAGGGGGGCCAGATTAGGGGGGGGGGGGGGCAGATTAGGGCTGACACACCTTCTCCACCCCACTCTGTCAATCCCTAATCAGCATATTGCTGCTCCTTAGCTTGATAGAGCAAACACAGGTCAATATGGGATTCAATGGCCAAAGATTTTCCCCACCCCTCCCTCTCCACCCCTCCTTCTCCACCCCTCATGGTTTCCTTAAACTTCTTATCATAGGATTTTCACCAATATTCAGTGATAAGCAACAATTTTATAATAAATAAAAAGTTCATCATAACATCTGCCTGTCATCACATAAATTTGATTTTTTTTCTTTGGACTGAGGTTTATGTAGTTTTTTATGTTAACAAATGTCACATTTATTGTCATTCAAAATATGTGCTTCAAGTTAAACAAACCTCACATACCAGTATATGTTTCTATCAGGATGTCAATGGTTCAGTTTATTTTGTTGACGATAGGAAAAAGGGCACAATTTTTGTTGGAAGTTTTTGTTTATTATTAAAAAGAAATTTTTCCTCTTTTTATTTGAGATTTGTGTAGGTCGGGGCTGACTAAGAGATATATATTTACATAATATTTTTAAGGTGAAAATTCTGCATACATTTCAGAGTTTTTACTAAGTAAAATATTGTTTATTTGGTGGTTATTACCGTCGAAATTTGAGCCTTCAAATCCATGTGTGTCCAAAATTATCTGTGTTTGAATGTTCAAATGACGATTTGTCAATTTAAGATACTCTGTGATATAGAAAAGACATATATAGAGATAGGGCGTAAAATTCCTAGTTTGAAGTATTTTTAAATGAATTATGTGATTTTCGTACATTTTGTGTACTACTGAAGACTATTTACATATATTCAAGACTAAAATCAACCTCCAAAACTGGCGCACCGCACCTGTCCCTTTGAATTGAGTAGAAAATTGGGTTAATTTTTCTGAGAGCTGGTTACTAGTATTGTCTATTGTATTGTTCTACCTGAATACATTTGTTGAACATGTTGGGAGTGGGGGTGTTGTTTTTTATTGTATTGTAATGTCTATTTGAACTGTTAACTTGTAATAAAAAGTAGCAATTGGTTGTTGACTGAAGAATACAAGCTGAACTGTTTGCCACAGGAAATAAAGTACACATTTTGACTGAGAAATTGTCTGAATTATTTACTTTTACATTTCTTACTTTGTGAATTGATGACATGTCAATTATAGTTTGAGTGGAGAATCATTGGACACAATACTCTATTTCATTTTTTTCATCCAATGAAAAGCAGTAAAATAGGATTTCATTTTATTAGCCCTTTAGACCGCCCCGTTGTTAGGGTGGGGTCCGTGGAGGCTGGGTCCCAGCAAGTCAGAATTAAGCCCTAGCAAAACCTTCTTCAGTTCAGCAGAGATTGATTCATTTACAGTATCTTTGAACAAATCAAAAAGATTTAGATTTTGATATGTTTTTTGGCACCTCAAAATTGTCAGAAATAAGTTCTCTGGGCCTTTAAATCTTATTATTTTCTGAGTACAAAATCTGATCCCCAGCACCAATTCATTCCTGGTGACGGGGCTGCTCACAGAAGCTAAAACTAGGATGTAAAACTTCATTACATTGGTCCAATCAAGAGTGAAATAGTAAATAAAGAATGTTGATAAATGAAGAGCAGGATTTCCTTATCACTTGAAACATAATGATGGCTTCACCATTGATGTTTTCTTTCTAATTTCTACTTCGTCATATTCTAATATATTTGTCAATTTCTATATCATAATGGTAGGATGGTGATTGTTGATGTTGACGTTAATTCGTTATATCCCTGATCTATCATATCCTTAATTTATCATAATATCCATATTTCATCTGAATTTAACATGGAATGTTGCTTAATTTAGACAGTATGTTGTGAAATGTTTGTGATATTATCGTAAAGAGACTTTGAAAAAAGAGCAATGATGAATTTGAAAAAAGACTATGATTGGCTGTATTTTATAACGTACAATCCAATCAAATCGCTGCGTTCTATGATATAAGAAAGGTGGCTATTGAAGTTAAGTTATGAGATGAAGTGCGTAATAGCTCGACATTGTGAAGATGACCGTGGAATTGACAGTATTTAAGTGTTAGGTATCTAAGGTTTTTGTGATCAGACATCAGACAAATGTAGTACCGTAAGTTGTTTAACGAAGAGTAGTAATTAATTTTTAAGAAGTTTTGAAGATTTGCTCTTTTTGATGTTTGTCTTGTAAACTGTACCTGTACCTTGTTTGTGTTGTAAACTGTACCTGTACCTTGTCAGTCTTGTAAACTGTACCTGTACCTTGTCTATGTCTACCGAGATTCCTATTTGTTTCCGTCTCCAAGGCCTGTCGTATAACACATGTTTCAAATGTATAATCCTTAACCAGGTCAACTGATGTGGATGATATATGAATTTCCAATCTTTGTGAACTTAACTTGACACTGGTATGTCATCTTCCTTCAAATCAGACGTGTATCAAATCAATCAACCCGTCCGCCAGGAATGAATTGGTGCTGGGGCTAAGATTTTGTACCAAAAAAAATTTAAAGAATTAAAGGCCTACAGAACTCATTTCTGACAATTTTGAGCTGCCAAAAACTTATCAAAATCTATATCTTTTTGATTTTGTACAAAGACACTGTAAATAAATCAATCTCTGCTGAACTGAAGTAGGTTTTGCTGGGGCTTAATTCTCACTTGTTGGGGCTGCACAGACCCCATCCTAATGATGACGATTGTTTGAAGGGCAAAACTGAACTGAAGTAGGTTTTGCTGGGGCCCAGCCCCCATTGACCCCACCCTAACGACAGAGCTGAGATCACTGTCAATGGATTGGATTTGGCTTGGTCCTTCATAAACCCTGCTGTAAATTGGTACAGATTATTACCAAAAGTTTTGGCCAAGGAGCAACAGTCAGAAAGGATTCTCACAAACCCAGATTTTATTTCATGCGGCAAAAAGGAGTTTAAATTTAGAAAAATTTACCTAATAAATAACAGTAGGACATCATTCCATTTAATTAGTTATAAGAGAAAAGTATTAAAATACCATCATTAAAATGGCAATTTGAATTCATAACATTTTTGACAATTGAAATAAACCAGTGGGGTTGATGAAAAGTGGCAGAAATTTTGAGTTGGATAACTTGTAGTCACCTGAAATTAGTACTGAAATAATCAAGGTGTACTTCATTATCTGTGTAATAACTTTCTCTACCAGCCTGTCAGTAAGACAAGATGTTTATTTACAGGTTTATCAGTAATATAAATATTTATACCACACTATCTCTAGTAATTAGTATCATGGATAGATTCCATTTATCTTCCATTTTTAATGATCTTTGAACAGTTGGTCTGATCTGCCAAAGTTAGTACCTTGGCCATTTGTTATGAATCCCTGGACAGCTTGATATTGAGTAGGAATGCGTTTATGCCCCTCCCCTGTCCTGGCAAATTTTTCTCATTGCACACTACACAGGGTTTGTCCATCCTCCCAAAACAGGTGCAAACTCAATTTTATTGCAGTTCATTTGATCTGCCATAGCCAAAAAATTTGTGCCCAATTTAGCTCTTCAGACGTGATATACCAAGTATGGTCTGGTGATGGTCTTTTGTTATATCTAGAGATAAAAGCTTGTTTACCAAGAGATTTAGGGCTCAAGTTTGAATGAAAACATTTGTATTCAGCCTGCTTTTGCAGTATTTATGATGGAGTTTGAGGGGGTAGGGGATCATCCTCTCAATTGGTATTAAGCTCTGAACAGACTGATAATTGTCAAGCTTGAAACAGAAGGTTAATTCTACAGATCGTTAAAAGATCAATATAAAAATTACAATCTAGGTATATGTTAGAAGGATTAAACTCTCAAGGATTGACTCTCAAAACTACTGGCCATGGCACACAATCAACCCCAACCACTTTTCAGAATGAGCTGTTAGCACTGCATTCCTTTACAATTAAACAAAGTTACATTCTGTAACAGATGGTATATCCTACAGACCGTAAGGTTGGAAGATCAATATGAATATTACAACCTCTGTATATCTGTAATAAATAAAACTTTCTGATATAATACAGATAAGAGCCAACATTAAAGGAACACTACCTCTTAAAATAAACATCAAATTTAAATTCTCAAGCTTTTATATTAAAAAATGGACCTGGTGTCATAATATACAACAGATTACTTCTGTAATCCAATAAATCTATAAAACTTCAGGTAATTATTAAATGCTTTATAATTTTAAAGTTTAATTAATAAATTTTTGTCATATACAGGGATTCTGTTGTATAGTTACGACACCAGGTAAGTCCAGTGATGACCACCATTGAGTTTGGGAATTTAAATGTTCATTCTAAGAGGTAGTGTTACTTTAATGTTGAAGACATAAAGTATGTATTATATACCAGTGCAGTGTTATTTCACAAGTTTGGCAGAAAATGTTGTTTTATGGCTTGTAATACATGACAGCATTTCTTATCAAAAACTGTTAAAATTAATATATAAAATATATCAGTTAACTCTACTTTCATTTTTATTATCAGTAGATATATTTGACTAAATACGAATCAATATTTTGAATTTGTGCAATCAAATGGTAAAGTAAAAATCTTTTGTTTGAAAAATATGACTTTTTATATTGCTTTACCAGCTGAAAAAGATCAGTTTCAGCTGACTGTATTATTTTTCGGAATTAATATCCAGCACTGTGTTCCCATACAATTAAACTAAATGTAACATGGTAGCTTCTATGGTCACTTCCAGGGCATAATTAATTGAATAAAATTAAAGTCCAATTTTTTTCTGCTGAAAAATTTTGATTGCCTTAATGGTAATTTCCACAATAATATCAACAAGACTTAAACCCTGTGTCAGTGCTTTTTTTTGAAGAATAACTTGATACTTTCTGTAACCTGGTTGTGCCAGTGCTTTCGAGAGTTGGCCCAGTGTCGGCTTTCACCCCCTAATACCTAATCCTTAACTACCTTTGTAATGAAAACAATACTCATTATCATTTTTTCAACTTAGAAACTAAAATTTCACGGCCAAAAAGTTAGCTGTTATTTTTGGTAATTAGGCCTCATTACTGTCAGTCAAAGTCAGGTTCACCTATTAACACTATCATGTATTCGTAGACCAAATATCAGTCTAATGTCTTCTGGCTTCATTTAATATGTTAATTAGGCAATATGAGATGAGAAGTAACTAATGGGGTTGAGTATTAAAGTAGTGGTATGTGCCAACAATCAGGGTATAGTTTTAGTACTTATATCATAGTAGTATTGAAGAGTTGAAAATAAAGCTAATGCTGAAAAAAATGTGAAGATGGGACTGATTTTTTGAAAAAAGTATAGGCAAATCAAGTTCATAAATTACCTAAGGAATTGACCTCGTAAACAATAATGGAAAAACTAAAATTGTCTTCACAATATGAACAAATTGATGCTATCAGTGTCACCAATACACATACAAATTTGTTAGAAAACCTCTTTACAATCCCTTACGTCTCATAGCTGATTATAGTAATTGCATGATAAAATATAATAATATTATATTCAAATAAAACAATTTCATGATAATCAATAGTAGAAGTGTATTCAGACAAAATACTTTCATAGTTATTACATATAGTAATGTAATGGCCCAATGGCCCACCCCCTAAATAAGCCATTGCTCATGTTGGTGAATATCTTTGTGAGTTGACACTTCAACCGTTCATCATGATTAGTAGAGCAGAAAATTATCTATTAGCTTTTTTTTTCAATTCTCATCACCTTTTTAACTGGCGTGTCTTTTAAACCATTTAATGACAAACATTTATAGTCTCTCAAAGTCAAGTATGGTAATATTTTTCAGAATGAAATTCTTGACAAAATAATCAACACATCTTTTTTTGTTTTGTGTTGGTTGACATATTTGTGTTATGTTTATTAATTGTCATAATCTTGTTTTCTTCCTGTTTCTATTTTTTTATTCTCTTTCTGACATCCCATTCATATTTTTGATTAATTGCAAGTGCAACAGGAAGAGGGTCTAGACTGTTGTTTTGCTTTAAGTTGACAGCCATGTCTACTTACTTCCAGGCCCATAACTAAGGGGGTGAAGGGAGGGGGGGCTCTTGCAAAAATAGAACAAATTCTCAATTGAACCTGAAATCAGTCTCTATCAGCTATTTCGCCCCCCATGCAAATGCTGCCGTCACCCTTGGTACATTGGGCTGGTTACGGGCCTGCTTGATATGACTTTCATTACGGGCCTGCTTGATATGACTTTCATTACGGGCCTGCTTGATATGACTTTCAGACAGTTCACAGATCCAAAAATTAGAGATTTTATAATAGAACAGACAAATACATTTACAAAATATGAATTACAAGACTTAAGTAGATGTTAACTGGTTATCTACCAACAACTACCTATTCTGTGATATCAGTTAGCTGGTAGCGAACGTTAACTTGTTATCTACCAACAACAACCTAGTCTGTGATATCAGTTAGCTGGTAGCGAACGTTAACTTGTAATCTACCAACAACTACCTATTCTGTGATATCAGTTAGCTGGAAGCGGACATTAACTTGTCATCTACCAACAACTACCTAGTCTATGATATCAGTTAGCTGGAAGCGAACATTAACTTGTCATATACCAACAACTACCTAGTCTGTGATATCAGTTAGCTGGAAGGGAATGTTTACTTGTCATCTACCAACAACTACCTAGTCTGTGATATCAGTTAGCTGGAAGGGAATGTTTACTTGTCATCTACCAACAACTACCTAGTCTGTGATATCAGTTAGCTGGAAGGGAATGTTTACTTGTCATCTACCAACAACTACCTAGTCTATGATATCAGTTAGCTGGAAGGGAATGTTTACTTGTCATCTACCAACAACTACCTAGTCTGTGATATCAGTTAGCTGGTAATGAATGTTTACTTGTCATCTACAAGACAACCAACTTTTAAATAAAAGAAAAGCTATAGGGTGGACAAATATAAAAGTGGTTGAAAAGTGTCCACCAAAGGGGTATTTTCCTGATAATATAAAATTAAAAAATGGGTTAGGTGGCTCTTTAATAGATGAGACATACAAAGTAGACAAACTACAAGATTTGAAGTTGTTAAAACATATGTCATAAGCTTAGATATTGTCATGTTGAATCAAGCTGGACCAGTTTCTAATTTGTACCCGGTAACTTCTAGATTCATCATTTAAAAGGGATTGGAAAGAGGTTGAACCATTTCAATTTTCCAACAGTTAACAATGGTTCTTGCAATTCCACTTAAAATATGCATTTTATGACAGGTTTTGTTATAATTAAAGTAGTTTTTGTCAGATTATATTTTTGACTGTTTAACTATAGGAGATCAATGCAGTGGGCATTTGTCCCCCTAGAGTAATGATTTGTACTCCAATTGTACCCCAACTTCATTTCTGAAAAATCAAAAGTATGATTTTTATACGTTTTAGCCCCATAATACCTAAACAGTTGTCTTCCCATTAAGGGTTGGTTGGTAGATGACAAGTTAACGTTCGCTTCCAGCGTATGCTGATATCGCAATCTAGAGTTCGATTGGTTCAAATTGGATGATTCTGTGTTGTTGGTTTGGTTGTTGAAACTTTGTTAGATCTGGTTGGGTCGAATGACAGGGCAGTTTAAATCAGTTTGCCTCCATTTATACCCCCAATCTCAGAAGTCTGTACCTACCACTGGATCAATGAAATTAGGACAAGTAAAAAACTTAATAAAATCCTTTGAGAGTTTTCTATTTTATTGAATAGTTGACATATATCAAATGTTTAGTTGTTATGTTTTATGTTTTTGTAGTATTTTATCAGTAATATTTTATTGATCTATGTTATTTCATGACATTCTACTCTCTCCCTGGTGACATATTATACATACATAACCTATATTATATTATATTCTGTTAAACTTGATTAGCTATGTGGACTCTCTGGAAAGGATGTCTAGGCCAAATTACTCTATAAAAGGCTCAAAGGGATGACAAACATAAATATCAAAAAAGTATTATTAGTAATCTGGACTCAAAAGGATGAAATGTATTGAATAACAAATTAATGTGGACTCTCCAATGATAAATTATGATATCATAAGCTATTGTGGCCTCTCTGAAGGGCACCTGCTGCCACTATTTGACTAAGTTTTTTAAAGTTATTCATTCAAATATTCTTTGATTTTTAGATCATTCAAAATCTGTGGAAATTTTCACTTTTTTTTTCTGTAAACAATATTTTATTCACAATTATATAACTATACATTATGAAAAGAATTGGGGAACAGGCTTCTGAAAAGAATTTAATTTTAGACAACATGTTCTACCCTTCCTGTCTCGGGTTATAGTAGTTTCAATTATTTACATACTTGAACAATTTGTTATGATTCTCAACAACATACTTCAAATCAGGAAATTCCCTGCATATTTTAATAGAGATATATTGATTGTTAGTCACATGCTATAGCCTACATGAAGTGATTGGAAAGGAAGGGGTGGCAGGGGCTGTCCATTATTACTTACAAATACCAAATACCCAATCTACTACCTACGATTGTAATGAACTGCTCATGTTTATATTTTCAATTGGACCTTAATGGGCAGGGCTGTTAGCCGGCTCTATATGCCGGACATGACCGACAGGGTAGGTCAAATGACCGACGGTCAATATCCTCTGTCAAACATCAAGCATAGGTCTGTGACTTTACCAAAATAAAAAGAATTTACCCAACTTGTACAGTTAACAACCATTAATAATGGCTCAAAAATATCTCTTTGGCTGGACTATACCACGACCAGACAACGAAGGTGAAAAAAGAAAAGATCTGACATGTGACCTGTGACGGACATATATCATTGTTTTTATGATATTTACACCAAGTTGATGAATGGGCTAGTTGAATGACCAATTTCGTGTCAACTACATTACCAACATCATGTTAACTTTGACAAGTTGACATGTTAGAATGATACTTGTTTATAAATACTTGTGAACTCTCTATGTACCTTGAGGTTTCTTTGTTTTTACTTTAATACACTTCAATCACTTCATTAATTACTGTGGTTTCCATTTATTTTAGCTCTCCTCTCTTCAAAACAGCTGAAACTATTTCTTATTTGTATTTAATGATCCAGTGGTGTTTCCAGTAAACAGTAGTTGAGGGGGCCGAGAAGGGGCCAACAAATTTCCAGGGGGGTCACAGGCTATTCTTTCACTATGTAAATTGTTAAAAAATTTTGAAATTGTGGCCCAGCCATCTCTTATTCAAAAGTTTGTTTTACTTTATTACTACCTCACACAAAGCTATTTAGATAAAGTGAACCACTGTGCATACTTTTGTTTGATAGCGGAGAATGGTTTTGTGTTTGGTCTGCATATAAACCATAAAAATCCTAATATTAATTAAACATGCAATAGAACGTGTTAATTTCCTTCAGATATGTATTGGGAGCTGCAGTGGCTCTGTGAGTTAGACACTTGTTCGCTAACCTGAAGGTCCAGGGTTTAATCCCGGCATAGGTTGAGATAATATCTTCGGATTTTTTTTTAAACCTAGACCCCATGTGCTACAGGCTGTGCATTTCATTTCATTTCATTTCATTTCAGATATGTATCTTCTAGGAAGCCATTAATACATTTTAAAATTTAGTTACCCTTCGGGCACTTTCCATTTATTTATAACTTGATTACTATGTCTATAATCAAATACAGTTAAATACATACCTATTTACCTGTTATCAATTGATAGGTATGAATAAAGTATTTCTAAAACTATTGATTCAAATAGAGTGTACGTCTATCCTTTCTGCTCATGTTTACACCAAGGACTGGTAACACCATGCAGTTTGCAATGAGGAAAATTTTGGTTAGGTCAGTGACGATAGATCTTGAATTGAAGTGTCTATGGCCTTGGTTTATCTGCATCCCATCCGAATGATGAAACAATTTTCCAAGGAGTTCGTCCATATTAGACCTGCTTAAAGGATTGTAAAATGAGGTCAGTTGATTGCTGACTATGCTCCTTTAAGGATGAATTGATTATGTTACTTATTAATTGTTTGATGGTATATGAAAATAGGCTATGCTCCAGAGTATCGGACCTTACACTCTATGATGGCTTGAAATCTTTCGAAAATGTAGGAGACATATTTCTCTACAATTGGGCGTTTATTTTGCTCAAATCCTTACAGTAGTTTTCTAACAGTTTGCAAAAAGCATCACAATCTGTAAAAGGTTAACGTAAAGTTTTTGGCGTAAAAAAATTAACGGCTTTTTGTAGTTAAAACTTTCAGATACATTATGGGATACCTTTTCATAGATTCTGGATTATAGTTTCCACAAATTTGAGCAAAATTTCGACCTACAAAAAAGGCGGAATGTCCCTTTAAGTATGTACTGGTTTACCTCTGTCCTTTCTATGATGTAATTTGTATTGAATTGTCAATAATATATATGATGTTGAGTAATGATTAATAGACTTATATAATATATATTTATACTACATGTCTTTATGACTGTTAAATAACTTCAAGTCATTTGGTGTTCAATAGATCTTCATCTTTATATCTTTAGTATGCTATCCAAGGGTCTGCTGCAGGCTATGCACGTTCAAATTCCTTCAAAAATATCTCAAACTAGGAATTTTACTCACTATTTCAATATTAATACATGTCTTTTCTATATATCACAGAGTACCTTAAAAAGACGAGTCGTCAATAATTGTGGTGAAATTTTGATGTCCTAGTGACTAAGTATTTTTGCCTGCTATTATACTGTTGGTGTATGTTACTTGCTTGACAAGTTATGCTATGTATGTTCCAGAATTACGTACCCACGTTCAGCTGGATCTTCCAAAATAATGAGGATGATGACTTATTCTGTACTCATTACAGTAGGTCAACAGTCTTTCGCATGCATGATTTAAGAAATCTGGTAATTCCTAGAGACGATGTGTAAGAGATGAAGAATTTAAAGTATGACTTGTTAAAAGAGTTGTGAAGTCTATATTATAAACAATTGTTATTATATTAAGTTGAAATAACCAAGGTAATTTTCACCTGATGATATAGATTGCATTCTTTAAATTCATCACATTGTATTCTTGTTTTGGTTTAACTATAATAATGTTTCACGTTAAAGATCCCTTGACAGTTGGAAATTTGAATAGAGTAGGCTAATGCTGCAGCTGTCCTGCATGGCAAAACTTCACTTATTTTACACTGCATGGTGTTGCCTGACTTCATTAGCGATAACAGATGCAGAAAAATAGTATGTGAAACTCATTTTCATTTTTGTTAAAGTTGGGTTTCGTTATTTTTTAGTGTCAAATTAAGCAAACTATTTGATTAATTGGTGTTTCTAATAAATTATCATATATTCTTAATCATATCATTATGTTCTTATTGCATATAATTTAAGTTTTAACCAATCATAAATATCCATGTATGTAAAGTCTGGATGAACAAGAAAGATTTTTTGACCTTTCTTGATCAGTCATTCATTGGAATTCGGCTGGTAATTCTCTTCTAATTTAGCTGATTATGAATTAATTATGGACATGTGAGACAAACTGGTATTTTTCAAAGTCATTAGAACACCTCTTCTTTCTATTCATATAAGTATTACCATTTTGATTTTCATAAATGAAAATCAGGGAACCCATTTTTAAAAAATAGATAAAACTGTGGCCTACTTTATCAATATAGTTGCGTGAAATGAAATGAATGGAGTTTTACGTCCTACTTTTCTGCACCATGTGGGCTAATTAAGACGGGCAACGCCATGCAGGGTGCAATGAGGGAAATTTTGCCATAAATTTTTGTCCCATCCAAGCGACTAAAAGCTTTTTCCATGTCAGCTCCTCTTACCTACATCACTGACAGGGGTAAATTGAGTTGAAAATTATGAAGGTATCATCACGACCTTGAAAACATAGTTTGGTAGGGTAGTGAATTTGAACCAATCAGGATGACTTATGTTGTACAATAATTTCTATAATATAACAAATGAAATACACAGAAACCAACAACTATATTTTATGAGAATAACATCTTAGGTTCATGAGGATCCTGTCCACTAGCTGATCCTTGGCCAAACCACGTCATTGATCATTCATGCAATTTCCATACCCATTTACAGCTGGATTGATTAGATTAATGAAGACAGATGACTTAATCAAGTTCCACAGACTTTGTAGATGTAACACAATAGTATGACCTCATCAAGTTCTGTGTATCTATCTGCTAAATATCAATATACAATATTCAATATACCTACTTATTATTGTTATCAGATAATTCCCCCTTGACATATATTACAATGTTTTCTTCTTGAACTCGGAGAAAACTTTTTTCTCATTTCCCACTTCATGGCATTTCCCATCCTCAGGCCAATAAGGCACAAATAATATGACAGAAACATTTTTATTGCAATATTAGTAGTTAGGCCTCTGTTTGGTTTATTTTTCCCCGCACTATCGTTAAGATTTTGGGTTTGGGTGGGTGTGTGTTAACTATAACTTGAGATTGATTATTTCTACCTTGTCTTGTTATATTATTTATAGTCTAGTCACCTGAACCAGGTAATTAACATCTCATCAATATCTTTCATCCAATTCAACTAATTAAATATTCATTATTTACTGTAATAACATGTTTATAACCTGGAAACAACAATAGTTAAATAATAATTAAGAAATAGTAAACATTGTTACGCTATTTATAGGGATACAGCCAACCCTCCAAGATTTGGGGTACAAATAAGGGGCAGACTGGCTCAAAGGGCATCATGGAGTGATGCATTCTGTTGCATAATTTGGTTCAAAAACGTAACAAAATCATATTTTTCAAATAAAGTGGGGGTGTAATTTTGGTGCAAACCAGGACTAGGACCATAATCCTCAACTCCACCCCCCATCCCTCCCTCTCGAGAGAAATTACCCCTGTCTGAATATTTGCTTTATCAGTTGGTTAAATAGGGAAAGCTGTAAACCCTCATAAGGCTCTAGTTGTTTAGATATTGGCTTTAACAAATAAAAATAGGCAACAATGTAACAATTTACTTAAATGTCTAAGCCTACTTTGTAGCAATTTGTATCACTTTTTCAGAATCAAAATTTAACATTCAGCACTCCTAAACTTCAACAAAAAAAAAAGCTTTTAGACTAGCGTCACATCCAAAACGTTATTTATAGATATTATTATTCTCGTGCTTTGTCACCGTTATAGTTTGTCCACGCTATCTACTCAATTTGATGACATGAATTATCAGTTTGATTAGAGATAAACTGTTAATCTTTAAACAAATAATTCATTTGAAAACAGGAAGAAAGATAAGATATCTTTATCTATCTTGTGATCTTTGAACAATATATGATAATGATATTTTCGTGTCAAACTAGCTAGCAGATTGTGACATCATAGCAGTGAGCCACCATTGATCTAAACTATCATGTCCAACTAGCTAGTAGATTGTGACAAGATAGCAGTGCATACAGAACTATTGTGTCCACAACTAGACAGCAGAGAGCAACCATTGAACAAAACTATTATGTCCAAACTAGCTAGCAGATTGTGACAAGATAGCAGTGCATACAGAACTATCGTGTCCAACTAGCTAGCAGATTGTGACATGATAGCAGTGCATACAGAACTATCGTGTCCAACTAGACAGCAGAGAGCAACCATTGAACAAAACTATTACGTCCAACTAGCTAGCAGATTGTGACAAGATAGCACTGCATACAGAACTATCGTGTCCAACTAGCTAGCAGATTGTGACAAGACAGCAGAAAGCAACAATTGAATCAGCCTAGCTAGCAGATTGTGACAAGACAGCAGAAAGCAACCATTGAATCAGCCTATCATGTCCATATAGTGAGTCAGGTAAATTTAAGTGTATTAACTCGGGACTCTTTCAGCTATCTATTGAAAGAGAAGCAGGGAAAGGCCAAGATACACTTCAGTGGAGGTCTCTAGAAAGGATAATAAGATGAAGACTGAAGCAGTAATCCAATACATTTGCTTCGTGTCATCTCAGATGTCCTTAAAAATCTTGTATAGCAATTTTACTTCAATATCATTTCTCAATCCTATATAAAATGAAACTAAAATGAAATGAATGGAATTTTACGTCCTACTCTTCTGCACCTTGTGGGCTAATGGGCAACGCCATGCAGGGTGCCATGAGGGAAATTTTGCCAGGACAGCGGCTTTAGCCTGCTCTTTCAGCTGTCCAACTGTCGAGGGATCTTTAACATTTCATTGACGCAACAGTTTCAGTTTGTATTTTTATTGACAGAATGGTGAATCATTGGTCCTCATGTCTGTCAATCTCATTTCTTTATAAATCTTTATAAAATCTACAGTTTTTTGCTGGTTTTTTATAAAAAGATGAAGGAGAAAGTTTCTTATTTCACCAACTGCATGCCCAAGTGGGCGTATTTGGTCGTGATCTATTTGGTTTGATCTATCTTAGATTTTCTTCGAATTATAAACATTTTTATTCAGTATCCTGTAAACTCCCTTTGTGTAGAAAATTTTATCACCAGCCTATCCTAGATACAATGATTATTATAACTGGTTTATGATTCATGTGGTAATATTATCACGTTTCTAGGTATAATTATGTCATACTCTTTCCTTATAGATGACAATGACACTTCATTATAATATGTCATCTGAATGTGGATTTGTTATCTTCAAAGAAAAACACATACCTTACCTGTGGCAAAGCCAAAGGGGTGGCAGTGGGAGCAGCCACCCGCTCTTGTTGCCCTCAGGTTTTTTGGGCAAAACTCTAATAACTAGGTTAGAAGTTAGGGCAACCTCAGATATTTATAACAAATTTGAAAGTGGGGAGGGCTTCTGAAAAAGTAATCTTTCCAAATTATTTTAGTTGATGAAGCTACAAATGGCTACTGAAAAAGTCATGTACAGAAATTTTAAAGCGGGGGAGGGGGGCAAAGCTCAGAAAGCCTCTTTTCTGTTGACATCCCCTCCCCCTGGCCACTTACTTATATACTTATATTGACCTACTTTTGGACACTGATACAAGAGGACTGTCAGTTCTTTAATCTAATTTTAAGTTCAGACTTGTTAAAATGTAAGGTATACATGAAGAATGGTCAATGAGGAAAGAGAGTGTATTTGCTCAGTAAACTGAAGAATATTGATGAAATTTTTCACTCCACAAATAACTGAGTAAAGGTCTTGACCCACTACAGAAAACTTTCTCAGGGGTTATTGGGGTTTGAAATGTTGTTGACAGCTCAGGGGTCAGTTGCTGCGAAAGGGGGGGGGGGGGGGTGTAGTACATTGTTTTGTGCCCCCAATAATAGCCCCACTTCATTTCTAACAAATTAAAAAAATGAATATTTTTTATCTTTTTGCCTCAACATATGAATTTTATTTTTCAAAAATTTTCTTGGAAAAGAACCAGGTGTTTATGACGCTTCCACAGAGCCGTCTCATTTTAAATTCAACCTTGACAGTCGTCTCCCTTATTATGTTAATCTGGCCCCTATTTGTACCCCCAGTCTTGAGAGACTGCTGCTGTGGAATATCTACGAATCCCATACAAGATTTCAGAGCAATATTTCGAAGTGATATACAAGGCGTTGTCACGCGACTGAAAATGCTGTAGTGGGTAACGACCTTTAGGTTTGACCCTTCATTTATTTACACCTTCAGTTTATTGTTAATGTCTCTAAAGTCAACATCGTCTTCTACGGACAGTTCAATTTTCTAATATTGACATTCCAATCTAGTTACGGTAAATCAGGGCTGTTGATAAGACTGTATTTACCAGTCATGTCTGACTGGAGCTTTTTTTATTTGTTAAATTGATGCTATCATTGTCCCAATAGAAAACCTCTTTACAACCCTTTTAAAATCAATTTTAGTAGGGACAGCACTCCCTGCACACATCTTGTTGTACAATAGTGTCATTTAATTGTCAGACAAGATTGGCTCAGAGAGTAAACAAAATCACCAGCCCTGTTGTAACAATGTATTGTTTTCAATTCATGTATAATATATCTAATTTATTTCTACAGATACTTAGTTACAGAGCCCCATGATTTATATTATAATCCAGTAATTTAAATCTTTATAAATAATGAAGCTACAGTTTCATAAATATTATATGTTAGGAACACAAATTATATGGATATATTTCTTCTAGTTTTATTACATACTACGTTTAGAAACACATACAGGTAACGTTATCAAATAAAATTTTACCTGATAACGTTACCTGTATGTGTTTGGAAATGTAGTATGTAATAAAACTAGAAGTAGTATATCCATATATCTTAGTGTTTTATTGTAATTTCCTACTTCTATATGTCTTACAAAGATTATATTAACTTATTAGCTTTTCCAGATTTGTATTTGCAATTAAAGTGCATTTTTTATTATCTTAAAAAGGTCTCGTCAAACTGGAATTATTCTCTGAGAATGACCAATTTTTTTTTTGAAGTTTTGATGTGTCAACTTGCCACTCAGCATTCCTTTCAGAGAGTCCACACAGCTAATAATTTTTATTTGGTATTTAGGTTTGTCAACTGAGCTTTCAGAGAGTCCATATGGCTAGTGATGTTTATTTGGTGTTTAGGTTTGTTGGCCCAGCAGCCCTTTTAGAGAGTCCACATGATGCTTATTTGGTATTTGGGTTTGTTTAAGAGAGTCTACATAGTTAATAATATTCATGTGATATGTTTTGTTCTGATGTAGATATTTAATATTTATAGAACTAATGGAAACCATAATATAAGAGAATGATATCAATATGTGTAGAATTATAGCTAGAATATTAAAAACACCGTGGGGACCATTGTTTTATTGTTATTATTGACCTTTTAACTTGACCTTTTACAGACTGACACTTTACTTTCATTTTGACTGGGCGTTACATGTGAAAATATATCAATACAATGTGTGATTTGGTAAACACTTTGCACCCAATTTGAAATTGACTTGTTCCTTTTGGAAATTTTATCAATACAATGTATGATTTTTGGTAAACACTTTGGGCTCAATTTGAAATTGACTGGACCTTCTGTGTTGATATATATATAATTGTATATATTAGGTAAACACTTTACGCCCAATTTGAAATTGACTCCTTGTGCCTTTTTAAAATATATCAATACAATTTTTTTCTTCTATCTTTCAAACCACTCGTTAAAATTCAAAGTCACTTTTTTATATAAAGCTAGCCCAAGCCTGTGTTTCTGCCGAAATTTTAGGTCTTGAAAGGATGTCTCTCCATGATGTTCCTTTTCCATGATTTTTTGGGTATATTTAGATGGTAAAGGGCATAGAAATGGAGAGGTTGAGGTGGAACCCTTTGAGGGTGGTGTCTGTTTGTCCTACCCCCAATATCACCCCTTCTGAGACCTCTGATATAATATTCCTGATTTTTATCTGTTTCAGATTTAACAGCCATTGCTCAAGGTCACTTTGATTTTGCTGAGTTTAATTCAAGATGGCAGGAGGTAAGACCATATTTCTATGTACAATTTATAGATTAGGAAAAAGAATTCTTTTCGATATGGAAAACATCAGTTGAAAGGAAAACGTCTATTGAAGTCAAAGAGTAGTCTAAGTAGAAAATGATATGACAGTTTCACCACTCTGACCACAAACAACTGTCATTATGCAAAGTACAGTTATAAGACATCTCCATTTGATTTTTGGGTTGTTGGGGCCTGTTTTTCGAAATCCAGTTTGAAGAAATAAAGCCTTCTGATTGGTTAACAATAAATTTGAAATTAAAAAAAAACCTTTTCATTCCTCGTAATTAATTTATTCAAATATTAATTTTGTCTGTATCTTTCCAGGTTTCAAGTTATTTTCTAGGATATACATTATGTTTAGCAGTAGGAGTATTATTTGCTATAATTATGCCAATTGTTGGTTGCTGTTTTTGTTGTTGCCGATGTTGCGGTCGTTGTGGGGGAAAGAGGAAATTACATGACCCAAAACGAGCCAAATGTAAACGCACGTCGTATTGTACAGTTTTACTCATTATTAACACTGTGTGCCTGTAAGTATCTTACACCAAAAAAACAAACAAAGCCAAGGTTTCTTATCTTTTCGAGTAGTAATGCCCTTTTTTTACAAGCTGCCCGTTACCTCTTGAGGCAAAAATAAGGAATACCTAGAACAAGAGAAATGTATATAGTATATTGTAGAGAACAAACAAGTAAATCCAAAGTTCCTTACCTCTCCAATAACCTTATCCTACTTATTACTCTTGTACCCCTAAAATCTTACAGCACAAATCATTTACAGCAATAGAGATATCTCTGTACACTTCAATTCGTCACCTTTCTCAGAGAGTTCACATAGTTAGAATTTATCGTCTGTTTCAGATAGTCCATATAGCTATATTGTTAGGTTTTAATTTGGTATTTTATTAATATAATTATGTTCACAACACCTCTTTCAGAGAGTCCACATACATAATATTGTTTGTATGGTAAATGTATTAATTTGGTATTTTATAGAGTTAATAATGGTTAAGACATCTCTTTCAGAGAGTCCACATAGATAATATTGTTTGTATAGTAAATGTATATGTCTTGTATTTTCTAGAGCTGGTGTAATATGTGCCTTCGTAACCAATGATATTTTACACCAGAAACTGGATAACAAGGATAAAATGGGGCCTCTGGGAAACGTTGATAAAGCCGTGGCCTCGTTAGATAATTATGTTAATAATACGGTCAAGGTAAGTTTGAGGCTTGGGGGTATGTTTCAGGGGGCAATAATCCAGGACTCAAGAACATCAGGCATTTTCAAGTGACTAGTCATTCAGAATATGAACCAATGTAGGACCTCTCCTGATAACCATGACAAATCATGGAATAGCGAAACCCATAGTAGAGAATATGTCAGATTATTTGGATTTTACTGTGGTCACTGATAACAGGTTGTATATGACACACTTTGATTGGTTAAATATAATGTCATTAGGACAGTACTGTGGTAGAAAACTTGATAGATTACAATGAAGATAGAAATTATATTAAAGTAGTATTTTTTGTTAAATTGGTTTCAGGTTGTCAATCTAGCTAAAAACTTACTGATATTAGAGACTGAAATTTTATTAAAAAGATCTTATTTAAATTAGACTGCTTTCAGAGAGTCCAGTTACCTGTAAATGATATTTTTGTATGGTTTTTTCTGTTTTTTTAGTTTTTAGAAAAGAATATATTAAAAACATATGAGGCTGCTACAGAAGAGATCACAATTTCTATTAATGGTAAGATTCAAAATAACAATAATCATCTTAAAATTCATATTTCTTGACTATAACTGTATCGTATCGTAGCCCTGTCAGTGGCGTTTGTAGGAAACATTAGGTGAGGGGACTGACAGTGATGGAGCCAAAGGGGGGGCAGAGGGGACTCCCCCCTCGCGGCCCCGAAAGCAAGTTTTTTCGGCAAAAATCTCATAACTAGGTTAGAAATTTGAGCAATCTCAGATATTTCACCCCTCCTCGGATGCAAACCTGGCTCTGCCACTGGGGGCTGAGTAGGGATGACACAATTTTCCAGGGGAGCCACATGCCGTTCTCTCACTATGTAAAATGATTTGAAAGTGGAAACACCCCTGTTGATTGTATGATATGTATCGACATGTGGTCTTTATATCGTATCGTTCCATGATTAGAAGTATACCAGCTATTGGATGATATTCTCAGTCTGACTATAGCAGGGGTTTTTAATCTTTTTCCTTATATTACCCTGCACGATCCTTGATATTTGATAGATTGCAGCATTACCCCCCTCCCACCTAATAATCCTTACTATTTCGTGATTTTCTATTAAGTATTCCCTGCTATCTTTTTCAAAAAAATAATTTTGTTTTGTCATAAGTATTGCATTGCTCAATGTAAAATTCCACTCTTGAACAGATTCTTATCATTTTGTAAAACAGGCCCCTGGCTACAAGTATAATTGTATTTTGTAGAGTCAGCCATTACTGCAGTAAAGAAGGTACTAGATATAGTGAATGCTAGTGTGTTTATTGATCAAACTAAAGATCTTGCTAAAAGTATGTACCCCGTTTTTTTCCTACATTTCATAATAATTGGTCGTGGCAAAATCTCCCTCTTTGCACACTGCATGGCTTTATGACGTACAATACAGCTCCATTTAAGCTGTATGTAGACAAAGAGGGACTGGATGATAGAGGCCCGTTTCATTTCATCCTGTTTCAGGTACACTGAGTTTATTTCATGATCAGCCGCGACGCCGATTTTCATTTGTGACTTTAATCAAATTTTAAATTTCATATTAAAGGGAAAATCTTCTATATATTTTTGAATCGTAGAAGAACACTGTCAGATTTGATTCTGAAAAGTGATCCACATAGTTGAGATTGTGCTCTAGCATTTGATAAAACAAATATTAGGCGATCACATCACTTAAAAGGGACAATCTGGTAAAAAGCATTTGCTTTACCGTCTTCTTTATATTTTTGAATCGTAGAAGAACACAGTGTTAGATTTGATTCTGAAAAGTGATCCACATAGTTGAGATTGTGCTCTAGCATTTGATAAAACAAATATTAAATGTAAAGTAATCACTTTAAAGGGGCAGTATTTCCCTCCCTGTGACCAATCATACCATAGTCTCAGAAACAGAAATTTTGTAGCTAAGCTAATTAGTAATAGTGTTCACAGCCAATCGTCGCAATTTAGCCTTCATAATTTTTATGTGTCCAGAATGTTTGTTTTGAGTGTTAAAATGATAACTCGTGTTTTCTTGAGATTCTTGTGATATATAGAGAAGACATATATAGAAATAGAAAGTGAAATTCCTAGTTTGAGGTATATTTAAAGGAATGATAAGAAGTTTGAGTATTTCTAGTACTCCTAAAGACTATTTACAAATATTCAAGACCCAAATCAACCCCCGAAAATGGCACATCTGTCTGTTTCATATCATTAATTTATAATTTCAGAAACCGACATTGTGCTTGATGATTTAGTGAATATCAGAGATACATTAAAAGAATTAAAAACAAATGGAGATACCCTGTCTACCAATCTAACACAACTTAAAAATGAAATAGACCAATTTTGTCAGCCACCAAATAATGGGAAGTGTACAGGTTTGGATACGGATAAGTATAAAACAGAGGCAGATTTTAGCAAGGTAAGAAAGTGGGTATTGTTATAAAAGGAGTACCGGGCACTATCTCTTTGGATAAACACAAATTTTTAAACTTGGCCAAAAAGATTTTATATTATTCAGTGGACTGGTGTCATAAATAACATAACAGATATTGCAATATTTGTGGTCTAGGTCCATGTTCAGTTTCTAAAAACAAGTTTTACACTTTTAGTGCTTTTCACAATTACATTGACTAGTCATTAAATCTTCTGTTATATTACACATTTCTACCCTGTTTTACTTTAGCAGGTCTTCTTTGAGCACCAAGATGATAAATATCATGTGACTTTAAAACTGGCCAATCAACATGGTTCTACATAGATTGGTTTTATAAACATGATTAAACATGAAAATTACCTGAGTTAATAATAATAATAATAATAATGATCTTTTTAGGGGCCTAAATTAGACCAGGGCTGTTTACAATTAGTCCTTTTACAAACAATGTAAAACAATTTATGGGTGCAAAATGTATAAATATAGAGTGAACAAAATCTGAAAATTGGGCTGTCAACCTCTCATTGTATATTTCAGTTGAGTGAATTGTCCACAGAAATTGATAATGTGAAGGATAGTTTGAATATAACTCAGTATATTAATCAGGTAAGACAAATATTAGCGTCACTCATATCCGTCCATCATTCCGTCCTTCCACAATTGCTCGTAAACATTCCAGGACCCCAGTTTCCAACTTGGGGTGTTTGGGTTATGACCAACTGGTGTAGGAGAAGAATTTATTTTGAATTGAGAGAGCACCTCACATCATCACATGCTGGAAATGTAGATGAAACAAATCTTTGGGGGTGTGAAAGGTCCAGATGTGTATTACTGCAATATTAGTGGTCTAGGTCCATCAAGGGGAAGTAAGCGAGTAGCAACTCCCTGTTCACTTAATCGTTTTATGTAATTGTGATTTTTGTTTTAATGAACTGTTTATTAAAACCAATCTTCACCAGTATTTGTGCTTCAATGGTATTGTGCTCCAGACTGGTACCAGGAGAGGATTTTTCCTAAGTTGTTGAAACTTGTATCCAATCCTATCCAATGATTTCAATAAAATATGCTTAAATTAAACTGGCGCATTGCCTTCTTTTTCAAAATATAATAAGAATTTGTCATAAGCAGTGTGGAATTTTTTGGGCCATTTCAAAATATGTCTTTACCCCCATATTTATTGTATATTTTAGGTGGAGGGTAAAATAGACCAAGTGAAGTCAAATGTTACTGATAAGATAAGTGACAGTATAATCAGTAAGTTTTTAACATTTGAATTATTTAAAATGCCAAAATTTTAAGGAAAGATTCTTCGATGGCAGATTAGAAACAAAGTAACTTTACTTCAATACCCACTATTCTTGTATCATGGAATGAAGCAATTTGATTGGAATGTACACTAGCAGATACAGCCAATGAGAGCACTCGATATAAAGACTTTAAACATTATGGCTTATGGTTTACTTACTTTCTGTTGAGGCCTCTGATTGGCTTCATTGACAAACGAAGTTACATGGCCTTGTTTTAACTAATTGAAGTAAGATGGTTACAAGAATATGTGACCTTGTTTTAACTAATTGAATATTAATCTGTTATTTTAGAGGCTACAAACACCATGAGAGATGTAAGAAAGGATGTTACAAATGGTATTGATTTGTGTAAGGGAAAAATACAGGACGCAGTAAGTTGGATATAAATAAATATATATTTCTGACTATAGTTCCCATCAATAGATAGTGCACACTCTTGACACTGGTATAGTAGACATTTTGATGTCTCACCCTTACCCCTCTTGACACTGTTATAGTACACATTTTGATGTCTCACCCTTACCCCTCTTGACACTGTTATAGTACACATTTTGATGTCTCACCCTTACCCCTCTTGACACTGGTAGTTACAGTTAACCTTTCGGTTGATAGTGAAGTTGATATTTCAAATTTGAGGACAGAAGGCAATATCTCCTTCATTTTGTCGGCTATTTAACTTTTGACTAAAATGACAGAAATTTGGATGGTATATCATATTGGGTATCCCATCGGTAGAGCGGTGGACAGCATGCAAAAGGGGTAGAAACCTGACATCATCGGTAGATTACTCATGTATGGGTATATGTCAGGTTTTTTTTTCTGGTTATATTGAAACGTACATGTATTTGTGTCAATTTCCATCCCAATTTTTTCCACCTTTTTTTTTCAGACAAAACCAGTTTTTGATTTCCAAGGTTCTCTAGAAAGTGAACAAAGTGAAATCTCCAAATATGGAAATTATGTGTAAGTTCAAGATTTTGACGATTCATCAAATTTCAACGTTTCGTCCTATAAACAAAGCTTCAGCTTTGATTGTATATTGATGCATTTTGTTATGCTTATGTATACTGTGGAGATTGTGGATGTGTTCAACTTTCATAAAATTTCATTTACTAATTTTGGAGTTGACAGAAATCATTTTCATCTCCACCTGGTTTCTTTTCTGTTCTGTCATAGGGGGCTAATTTGAAGCTCTGAATGAATTTGCCTTTTAATGAAATTGTTAAGAAGCTTCATAAACTTTTTATGTGTATCGCAGACACTGATAGCATGGATTTTCACCATTTCAATTTTAAATCAGATGAGTTTTCAAATTAGGCATTTTATATGTGTCACTATTGCAAAAGACACGTAGATATTTTACCCCTTAAATAAGTACTGGGAGCCCCGGTGGCTCAGTGAGTTAGAGGCCCGCAAACCTGAAGGTTCAGTGCCGAATCCAAGCATAGGTCGAGATAATACCTTCAGATTTTTCAACCCGGTTTCCCCCTGTCAGTGATGTAGGTAAGAGGGACTGACATCGAAAGAGCATCTAGTTGTTTGGATGGGACTATAAACCGAGTTGAAGATCCCTTGACAGTTGGAAATCGAAAAAGAGAAGGCTAATGCCGCTGTCCTGGCAAAATTTCCCTCATTCCACCCTGCATGACAATGCCCTTCTTCATTAGCCCACATGGTGCAGAGAAGTAGGATGTAAAACTCCATTCATTTCATTTCTTCTTTATTAAGAACTGTTGTTATTTTTGTAGATGGTATGCAGGTCTGGGTATAAGCTGTTTGTTACTATTAATAGTTTTATTCTACTATCTGGGCGTACTGTTTGGTATGTGTGGAGAAAGGCCAGGTCGCGGCGCTGCCTGCTGTAATACAGGTGTAGGAGGAAACTTCTTAATGGCGTAAGTTTATTCCAATTACCTTTCTTTTACCTGTTAAGTTTAAAGGATACTACCTCTTAGAATGAACATAAAATTTACATTATCAAATTTGGCTAAAAGAGTATATATTCATCAGTGGACTTACCTGGTGTCATAATTATACAACAGCAGTATACAGTATACTCCATAAAACAGCGTAATGTACTTAGGTTTAAACTTGGTTAAAATGAGTCTTTGTTCATCAGTGAACTTACCTGGGTCATAATTATACAACACAATGAATTACTGTTAATCGATAAAACTCTATAACTGTCCATAAACTAAAATAAACATATTAAGATAAAGTGTTTTTCAATAATCCACTGTTTAAATTGATTTATCAGGTTATACAGGGATTCTTAATGAAACTTAAAATGTATCTACTTTTGGTATATTTCAGTGGTGTAGCCTTCTCGTTCGTGTTTTCCTGGATTCTGATGATTATATGTTTAATATTGTTTCTGGCTGGAGGTTTTGCTTATACGGAGGCTTGCCGATATTTTGTCACACATGAACCAGCTGATTTACAGGTGAATATACTTGCCTTTTTTTAAAACAGAAACTACAATAGGCACCTTGTCCCAGTTTCACGAAATATCCTATGATAATAATTTGTTATCAGCCTGGAATTTTATGGTGAAATACCATACATATGGTCATATGGATGTAAAGATTTTTTTGCGAAAGAGAACCCTGTGGTAAACCCTTGCTAATTGACTACAATTTGGTTGGATTGTATGTTAGTGAATACAGTTAATCAGTAAGCCATAATGTTTACAGTCTTTCTGTCTAGGGCTCTGATTGGCTACATTCTCATGTACAAACCAATCAAATTGCTGCATTCCATGATACAAGAAATGTGGCTATTGCAGTCTAGGTATAAGAATTTTGTAATAGCTTGACATTGTTAAGATGGTGTAGGCCAAGATAAACAGTCTTCTTCCTCCAATAATTTGCATATATTTTCTGTGTGCCTCTGAGATCCATGATTATATTGATTGAATTTACTTATGCATTATAGAGGATCCTTTTGTTTTTTCAGCCATTTGAAAATCTGGTATTTCAAAACCTGGACTTCACCAAGAACTTATTCAACGATTCTAACGCTAAATTTAGTATAGTTCAAACATTAAAGTAAGTCATTGGTTGATTCATTCATTCATCTGTTCATTTTATATTCATTTGTTTATTTCATTCATTCATTTGTTTATTTAATTCATTTATTCATTTGTTCATTTGTCATACATTTCATATCATTCACTCATTCAACCCAGGGTTCTCAACCTTTTGGACTCCTCTTACCCCTTAACTACATAAATATGCGCTATAAGTGAACTGAAAGGTACCAAAACTCGTTAATTATTCACAGAGGTCTGAATCTTGTTAAACTTGTACAAGAGCCTCTCAGTTACTCTGGTGGTGTTTGTTGATGTTACCAGGGGGTACTAGTACCTAAAGCTGGGCGAAACTGTCATCATGTCAACCAATATTTTCATTTAATTGTGATCAATTGGGTGACGAATCTCATTTTAAAAGTGATAATGAGATCTTAATTAACAAGGTATATGATATATAATTATACAACAGTATTCCTTTAATAGAATGAACCATATTTTTTCTCCCAGGAATTGTGAAGAAAATCAAGCTATATATACAGCTCTACAGTTAGATAGTTTCTTAAACATAAACAACTATCTCAATATCTCAGTATGTATTCTATTCTTTTAATTTATGCGCATAATTTAGATTATGTTAAGCCTTTTTGCACTCCTTTTTAAAATGAAAAAAAAACAAACATATCTCATTATCTAAATATCTCAGTATGTGTTCTATTCTTTTAATTTATGCGTATAATTTAGATTTCATGTGCAAAGTTTATTGGATATGTTAAGCCTTTTTGCACTACTTTTTAAAATGAAAAAAACAAACTTATCTCATTATCTCAATATCTCAGAATGTCCTTGATACACATAAAAAGTTTAGAATATTACCTTACAATCCCTTAAAGTTTTCTATATTTCTATATTCTATATTCTATTTTTTAGTCACTATATAAACAGATTGATAATATAGCTAAATCTAACGTTGACTTTAATAACATTACCATCCTAATACCTGAACTTAGACAACAAATAGAGGAATTCGGCAATGCTGGCCTGGACAAAATTGATTATGATTCTTTTGAAGCTGAGGTAAGATAATTTATATAAAGGGGGAAGGGTTGTAGCTGAATCAAATCTAGTGTTTAAAGTCATGACATCATTTTCTGTGTTGAGTGAACAAAATTGTTATTAGGAGTGATTAGAAAGTATGGTGATTTTAAAATCATCTTTGTTCGGTCCTCAAGTTTACGAGAGGTGAATGAGTATAGAGAATCTGGGAAAGGTCATTGCCAAAAAGGCCAAGGATCAGTAAAATCCTTTGGACCTAAAATGTGTTTCTTTAATACAATGATTGTTAGTTTAATTTTTTTGAAAAATGTCCTTCATTGGTATCACATACTTATTTGATATTGGCCTATTTAATTTTTGTAAATTTTTGTCCACATATAAAACCCCATATCTGTCTGTCTGTCCTACTGTCCTTATTGTATGAATATACAGATATATGTAGCCTAGGCTTTATTCTGGAAAACTTAAATAAGATTTAATCCAGATTTTAAGAAATATAGTCATCTGATTGGATAATAAAACAAATTTTAAAATCATTAAAGTTAAATTTTACATAATAAGACCCCTGGTTTTCAAAATAGTCCAGTTGTCTGAAGATCTCTACTTTATTGGCTAAATCAGTAGAAAACTGTCAACTGAATCTCAAGATGTTGTCTGAAGGTCTCTACTCAGTGGCAGCATTTACCCCCCTAGAAAAATATTTTGTACCCTCAATTGAAACCCCACTTCATTTCCAACAAATAAAAAAAATATTGATTTGTGTTATCCGTTTTCGCCCAAAAATATCATACAACATGCAGAAGCGTTAGAAACCCGACAACATCAGTAGGTTAAATATGTATGAATATTTGTGTCGTACTTCACCAAATCAATTTCATTTTTCGAAAGTTTTCATTACATTTGGAATTTAACCTTGACAGTAAGTTGTCCTCTTACTAAGTTAGTCTCTCCCTTAATTGTACCCCCAGTCTCAGGAGACTGGCCCTGTACTGCTATACTTGCCGATAACACAAATTCTGAATCACGAAATTTGTCGTGTCCATTCTGTGTTTCTAATGTTTAATGAACTTTGTATTTTAGATGAAAAGAGTGGGTATTATATTAGTTAAAGCATGTTCTTATTGTATGTCTAGGTTAAAATGATTGTAAAATAGTTGCAGCCTGCGCTATTAGAAATATCTTTATAAATCTAGAGCCAATGCCTATGATGTTATTGTATCATGTGGAATGGAATTAATTCTGACCCTTTTGACTGATTGTTTGTTCTATTGAAAAAATATTCATTCATTCATTCATTCATCTTTTCTTCATTCTTTTATTCATTCATTCTTCCATCCATTTTTTATTCATTCATTCATTCATTCATTGTCTATATTTTTGACCAACCTGCCTCTTTTTTAAAAATAAGTTTGATCATTTCTCTTATGCCTGTGAATTTAAGAGTATGTAGTATTTTGAGCTTTACAGGATTTTTCCCCTCTGAATGCAAAATTCCACTTTCCCCCTTTTTTTATAACCGTAATTATAAATGTGTCTTGAAGTTTGATTGGTTGAGAGTATTTTGAAAATATGTTTGTACTATCTGAAATAGTCTTGTTATTGAGTACAAACAATAATTTATTGAAATTTAAAATGCATGATTCAAAGAATATCTGACAGTAACACATTATTAAATACTTTGCATTGTTTTAGTTTCCTCAGAAATTCTAACATTTAAAGGGCGTTGCCACGGGGAGACCAAGAGGGGGCATGCCCCCTTTACCCTCCCCTCACCCGCTAGGAAATTTTTTTTATCAATGTACATGAGTATTGCCGGTGAGCCCATCTTAACAATTCTGTGACCCCAACTTGACCCCTCACCTCATGATTCATTGATAGGCTATTAGGGCTGTAATTATCTATTTGCAGATAAAATTTAGCCATCCCAGCCTGTCTCTGTAGAGCATGCTATTAAGCCCTAAATCTCTTTAAATTCACCCACCTTGCATGACTATGACCTATATTTGAATATTAGTGTAAATGATGTTATGTGCTATTTTGAATTTTAAGACATGAAGCGGTTTTTGGTTTATTGACAATCAAGCTAAGAATACGACGTTTTGATCACAAGATCCGCGCTTTTACAAGTGAAAAGTCAAAATGACCAAATATGGCATATACGGTTTCAAGTGGTCACCCACGATATATACGGGGAAAACATTTTGATAAATACAGCTCCAGATACTATATTTCTTATATTTTCTGTGGGTTATTTCAGTCTTTCTAGATCTGAAATTATATGAATAATTGAACTCACCTTTCTTATAAACATTGTTAGATCTAGAGTCAATAGATCTAGAAAAGTGAATTGACCCATAGAAAATAAATGAAACCAAATATCTAGTCTGGGTTTTAATATGATCAGCAGCTCATCATTAGGATGCGTATTCTCGAAACAATCTTAGCGCTAGGATGTCCTAGTATCTTAACTTATATCGCTGTTTGTAGAATATCCTAGCGCTTAGATCATTTTGAGAATATGCGGCCAGATAATTTAAGTTTGACTTTGCCTCTGTAAAGGTAACAGGAATTGACGGCTTCGAATCATAGACTAGTGAGCGCCATGGAGCAAGGAAGATTTTGGGAAAGGGATAGCTTAAATATAGTAATGCATGGTGGTTGAAAGTGAAATGTTAGCAGAAATCTTGCTATTATAATTATTGAAAGGGATTATAAAGAGGTTTTCTAAAATTTGTATGTGTATCAGGACACTGATAACATTAATTTGTACCACTTCAATTTCAATCAGATGTCTGTGGTTCCTGCAATTCCGCTTAAAACTAGGTGTTTGATGATGTCACTAATCGCGAAGGGCTTTATGTGATAAAGCATATTTTGCCATTGGTGACACATATTTTTTGTGGAATTGCAGGAACTATCAGTGTTCCAGATGCACAAAAAACCTCTTTACAATACCTTTCAATTAAATATGCTTGTGCGGGCGAGGTTCAAAATATATAAACTTCATCCGTCCATGTTATTTTTTAGGTAGTTTAAAAATAGATTTTAAGAAATACAGTACTCTGATTGGTTTATAAAAATAAATTTAGAATAAAATTAAGTAATCGTCCAATCAAATGAAGAGAATCTTTTTAAGTTTTGGTAAATGGGGCACTAAGTCACATACAGAGATTAGGTTCAAAAAGGAGGGGGAGGTTTGACAGCCAACACAACGCACAAGCTATGCCAAAAACTCGCTAATCAATCAGTTAGGATGAGAATAGTTAAGGTACATTGCAATCAGAATTATTGATACAGGAGAAACTGGAAGAAGCAAATACACAAAGTGTGGGTCCAAATTTGATTCACTTCTATTTTCTACTCTATCCTACACTGCTCCAGGCCTTGTTTATTCCCATGTTTATATTATTTGCCTTGCAGACGCCAAATGGCATTACTTACTTATTGCTAAAACGACAATCTACCTAATATCCAAATGTCTCACATTGTTGAAATTTTTAACTTTTTCTGTGTTTTTCTTGTAGATCAATAAAAATTTAACAGCCATAGATCTAATAGAATTAGCAAAAAAGTTAGAAAATAAAGCAGCTAGTGAGACTGGTGTAAGCAAATCATGTTTTTTATATTTTTATCACAGTGTTTGTTTCATACCAAATGAACATTATAAGCTATGTGGACTCTCTGAAATGGATGCCGAGTTGACAAGCGGTACCAAATGAACATTATAAGCTATGTGGACTCTCTGAAATGGATGCCGAGTTGACAAGCGGTACCAAATAAACATTATAAGCTATGTGAACCAGGGCTGTTTATTTATTTTGATGGCAACCAGACATTTTTTTTTCATATCTGATCTTAATTTCGATTTGGGAGAAGGTCATTATTATATATATATACTGATATTGACAGGAAGTTTTGCCTTTCATACATTTTATGGTTTCCTGATGATTGCCATAATTGACTATGAAATGTAAGATCTGAAAGGGATGTGGAATAGACGGCATAGCATTCTGAAATTAGTTAACTCAGGCTAATGCCGCTGTTCTGGCAAAATCTGTTGTTGAGCAAAAGGATTGAAAATACGGGACAAAGAAATTTAATTTTATTTGGATTATTCTTCGTTGCAGCAATTTAAACAACAGTTAGAAGAATTTGCTGCTAAGTTACGTAGAATGGACAAGGAACTTGTTACTCCCATGAAAAAGGATGTGGTAGGTTATGTGTAATTATACATTTTGGAATTTGAATCCAGATCATAATAGACCCACTTGATGGAAAGTGACAAGTATTTCACTAGGATATATTGCTTCTTGAGCTTGTATTATTTTAAATACATAATAATTCTCCACAAGTCAACTCACAATAATTCTAGATCACAAATTTTTTTGTTATAGTATACTGTTAACTCTATTTCATTTCATTAGTCCAATAAGGTAGGGAACAGTAGGATATAAAACTTCATTTCATTTCATTAGTCTAATAAGGTAGGGAACAGTAGGATATAAAACTTCATTTCATTTCATTAGTCTAATAAGGTTCAGAACAGTAGGATATAAAACTTCATTTCATTTCATTAGCCCAATAAGGTTCAGAACAGTAGGATATAAAACTTCATTTCATTTCGTTAGTACAATAAGATACAGAACAGTAGTATATAAAACTTCATTTCATTTCATTAGTCCAATAAGGTACAGAACAGTAGTATATAAAACTTCATTTCATTTCATTAGTCCAATAAGGTACAGAACCGTAGGATATAAAACTTCATTTTATTTCATTAGTCAAATAAGGTTCAGAACAGTAGGATATAAAACTCTATTTCATTTCATTAGTCCAATAAGGTACAGAACAGTAGGATATAAAACTTCATTTCATTTCATTAGTCAAATAAGGTACAGAACCGTAGGATATAAAACTTCATTTCATTTCATTAGCCCAATAAGGTACAGAACCGTAGGATTTAAAACTTCATTTCATTTCATTAGTCAAATAAGGTACAGAACAGTAGGATATAAAACTCTATTTCATTTCATTAGTCCAATAAGATACAGAACAGTAGGATTTAAAACTTCATTTCATTTCATTAGTCAAATAAGGTACAGAACAGTAGGATATAAAACTCTATTTCATTTCATTAGCCCAAGAAGGTACAGAAGAGTAGGATATAAAACTTCATTTCATTTCATTAGTCTAATAAGGTTCAGAACAGTAGGATATAAAACTTCATTTCATTTCCTTAGTCCAATAAGGTACAGAACAGTAGGATATAAAACTTCATTTCATATCATTAGCCCAATAAGGTACAAAACAGTAGGATATAAAACTTCATTTCATTTCATTAGTCGAATAAGGTTCAGAACAGTAGGATATAAAACTCCATTTCATTTCCTTAGTCCAATAAGGTACAGAACAGTAGGATATAAAACTTCATTTCATTTCATTAGTCAAAGAAGGTACAGAAGATTAGGATATAAAACTTCATTTCATTTCCTTAGACCAATAAGATACAGAATAGTAGAATATAAAACTCTTTTTCATGTTTTTCAGACCAACTTGAAGGGTAATTTAACACATTTGAAGGAGAATTCAAACGTCAAGGTAAGAACTTGGCCTTTTCTTTTGCCAGTTGGCAAGTTTTATAATATTAAAGTGGCTGTGATCCTGAGAAGTTACATGCAGAATCTTTTATTAGTGAGCAACAATTCATGGAATCTAGTCTGAGTTGACTCTTCTCACATTCACGGGGCGGCCATATTGAATCCAGAATGAGGCTCATAACACAAACAAACAAAGGTAAAGTGTCACTGTGGTGACATTTTGATAAAACAAGAGTTGTTTATGGTGACATGATTACATTTTATTTCATTTGCAGCCAGAAACTGAAGCTCTTGTCAAAGGTTTAGAATCAGCAGAGAAGAAATTTAATTCTGAGGGTGTAACAGAAGTCAACACTGTGAGTATTTAATGGCATGTTTTCATGAGGGGCAAAGAGAATCCAGGGACAGGAAACAGGAGATGGGTAGGGGTTGGGTGTTCTGTTTAAGTGGTGGGGTTACTAGCTATTTCTATATATCACAGAGTATCTTAAAATGACCAGTTGTCATTTTAGCATTCAAAGGCAGATAATAAATCTGGACACACTTAGATTTGAAAACTCAAATTTCGACGATGAGATGTGAACACTATTAATGATTGGCCAGGCTTAGTTAAAACTAAAAAATTCCTGTTTCTGAGACTGAAGTATGATTGGTAAAAAAAAATGACGCAGCTGTCCTGTTAATATATATTTGGCCGAAATTATTTAGTTTGAATTTTGATGATGGATGATTATCAATGACCACAAAAATGTTAAATTTTGAAAGACATTTTTTATTTTGTAGATGCTGAGTGAAGTGGTCAACAACATCAAAAATACTTTAGGCAACAAAACAACAGATATTAAAACCATGGTAAGAATATTTAATATGATTTTAGAATTTTAAGTATTTTTCAATAATTACCTAGTTTTATTAATTTATTGTCCTATATAGGATTCTGTTTGTATAATTATGACACCTAGTAAGTCCGACTGATGAATATATACTCTTATATAGGTCTGGTTTGAACATTTAAATTTTATGTTCATTCTAAGAGGTAGTTTGATCGTGCTCAAGATGTTTTTTCTTGTGGACCCAACTGGAAATGGGTACAGATAATGTCCAGTTTCAAATTTGGGTAAATCGTTGCTTCACGTTGCTATTCACTTACGTTTTTTTTTTTTCAGATCAAGAAAGACGCTGGTAAATGCCGTCCTGTTTACGACTCTATTTATTTAATGACTGACGCATTTTGTGTTGTCGTCTTATATCCAATGGTAAGAAATTGATTATGTCGGGTCAATAATAAAATATTTTTAACTGTTACACCGTGTCACTACTGAAGTTTGAAAAGTATTTGTACTTGTTATCCTGTCTTCACTTAGAGACCAGTTCCCATCGTTTTTCAAATTAAGTTTGTAAAGAATGTATAGAAAACATGTAAGATTGGAACAACATTTATCACAAACACTAGACAATATTATGGAATAAGCTCTTATGTGATAATGTGAATCAAGATGTACAGCTGAAACAACATAATTCCTACCCTTATCACTTTTTATAATTAAAATCAGACTTGGGGTTCACTGACAATATGTTGACTGTAATTTTGATCATGCTGTTATATTGATGATATCTTCTTGGATTGAATTGTAAACTGTAGTGTCTTGATACAGCTTTATGAAAAAGAATTAATCATTGAAGTAAGTTTTGATGCTACATCTCTTGATGTTTCTACAGTCATTCTCGTTTTAAAATTACTGAATTTCAAAATATAAACCAGAGCAATCCACTTTGTTTTGAGGTAGTATAGGTAGTAACATCAGATTACTTACTCTACCCATAAATAACATGAACTGCTCCTTATAAGCATGGATAATGAATAACAAATTATCTTTATATCTTATAGAATGGTTTTTGGTTCAGTATGGGTTGGTGTTTATTTTTCTTCATCCCAAGTATAATATTTGCCGTTAAATTGAGTACGTTGTACCATAGGGAAGAAGAATACGTAGAAGAGAAGGGCTTCGATGATCCGTAAGTTTTGGGATTTTGACCTTTTGATTTTTTTTTAAGATTTGGTATTGGCTTTTGATTTGCACAATAACATTTTGATGCTTCTAGAGTGTAGAATGATTTTTCAGCCTCTTAACTTGAGCAAAATATTTTTTCTTTCACAATTTGGTGTTTTCTCTTTGAAAATTTGGTTTAAATGTTGTATTTTAATTAGTTAATTTTTTTTCTATAAACTGGGATTTATATTAGGATTTTCTTTAAATTTTCTTCCATTTTACTAGATAAGGGGTTTTTTTGGGTTAATAACCTACTACCTTTTGTCCGAATGTTAAAATTTTTAACACCCACATCTCTCTATGACAACGTATATTGTCAGCACCAATGGGTCTATCAGCCTCTCGTTTGTCTGTAGGTCCGACACACTTCCTGTAAAATCTACTTATTTTGATGAAACTATATTTATATTCTTAAAATGAAAATGTAATTAGAATTTGAGCGCTTTCTGATACTTAGAAACAGAGTTATTGCCCTTGTTCCCAAATAATGAAATTACTACATTTTTAAGTTTTCGAATGATTTTGTGAGAACTTGGAATAAGGTGTAAAAAAATATAGTTATCGAAATTAGCTTTGTTGAAAATTTTATACTGGTTTTATATTCAAACAATTTATGAAAAGTTCTTGTTTTTTTACTCTTGATTTTGAAATATTTTGGACGAGATTTTGATTAACGGAATCTTTTTGCTTGTACGGATTATTATTATTTACCAATTGCATACTGAAGGGCGTATCTTTACAAGTCCCTTTATTAAAATGTATCAGTGGCATATCTGGACAGTTCCCTATTTTAAAATTTATTGGTGGCGTAACTTTCTTTACAGAAATTTTTCAATGTATGCTGGTCCTAATCCAGACACGATTCCCCTCACCAGGTAATGATCAGACTTTTACTAACTATCGTGTTGTCGTGTTGTCTTCAGGGTTAATTACATCCATTTCTTTATACTATAACACACGAAATTTAAACTTAGTCCATCAAAGATATTGGTACTTGTCGGCCATGTTTTCAAATTATCAAAGCCATTCGTATTTTTCTACCCAACAAATTGTTTCATATCATGAGATGACTGAAACCAAGAGAAACCATTGTTTTGAAAACTGTTTATAAAAGAATAGAACTGAATGAAGGGCAGGGGTCCAATCAAAACATATATACACATCAAGCCATCTTGTTTAAATAGCAATGAGTAAAATAAAGATCTGCTTTGTAAAGTTTATATTAGACCTATTTGAGATCTGCATCGAAAGAATATACACTGTTCATATTTTTGTTGTGCATTGTCTCAGGATGTGCACAATATCTTTAGTCATGATTCATTGCCGTTATGGGTTCTACTCCTTGCCGTTGTGGGCAATTTCATTGAACTTTGTCCCTAAATAAGACATATTTCCTTATTAGTATATTAGTGGGGGTTATCAAGGACATATCATTGACCTGTGCATAGTATAAAGAAATGGATATGGACCTGTTGTCAGAAGAATCATAACTTTACGATATTCTTCAAAATATAGAACTTGATTGGTGGATATATAAATGCTATCATTATTATTAACCAATCAGATTCCTTGAAATTTCATTTAAGTTTTAAAAATCCGATTAGCTGATATCATTAACCAATCAGGTTTCGTAAGACTCAGTTAGATTTAAGGAAATTTGATTGGCTAATACTCGCATAATTATTATATTGACCGATCAAATTTGTGAAAATTATGATCATTGAAGGTTATGATATTTCAGACAACTGGCCATATGGGTATCAAACTGTGGTCTAAATCATCCCTGATTTCTCATTCATTCTTACTGTTGTATCAGTAATTGTTTTTCAAGGCTGGAAATAGTTTGTCAGGCACCTAAACCCCCTTTATTTTGTTATTGAACTCTTTTGAACATGCATAACACTGTATAATAATGATTGTGTAGAAGAGTTCATTAATAATCCAAGGGGTTACAAGTATGATTGATCAAAGTCATACATGCACATCTAGGTCGTTTTCAGTCGTAAACGCTTTAAGTTTTTTTTTTGGTTGATTAAATGACAATGGGCACAATATAGATCTGACTTGTTCAGTTTTAAACACTAATTATTCAATCCCAAAGTTAATGGACTTCTCTTATATTCTACCCAGAAACAATGGACTGGCCTTATTTATGATAAGAAACTGCCTGGATGTGCATACCTGTCTTTGACCTACTTTTAAAGCCTGACACACTATTCTTGACCTTGATGGTTACCGTTCACTACATGTATTGTATTAGGTTGATAATTCTGTTGGGTTATTCTATGCATGATATCTGGTTCTGTTCATCCCCTATCTCATTAGTTAAAACTGTGTACTGTCAATTCTAAGGGGCATAATGGGTAAGGCCACGGAGGGAGGGTTTAATCCTACTTTCGATTATCATATTTTGCCCCAGATACCTATGTCTATGATTCTCAACTCTTTAACTTAGAGGTTGTCTCTCGACTCTTTGCTTGGTTATTTCCAGTTATTACATCATAAGGGGTGGGTAAGAGAGGCAGTTAGGGGTTTAGGGCTCTCCTTATGTTTATGATTCTAAACGATTAAACTCTAAGAGGTTTTGTCAGTTATCTCTAGACTCTAGGCTCCATTACTTCAATTTATGATGGGAATTTGAGGGGTGGTGGGAGTGCTTAGGAAGGGAGGGTTCTATTCGGGGGCCTTTGCCTATTAAACTTATCCGTTAAACTTTGAGTAGTTTTTCTCAGTTAAATCTTGTCTCTGTAGAATTTCATTCTAGACCATTTCTAAGCCTTTCTAGACCTTTATAGATTCATTTCTAAACCTTAACAACTGGATTTGTAAACCTTTATAAGGGAATATCTAGACATTTCTAGACCTTTATAATTTCATCTCTAGACCTTTATAATCTAGTTTCTAGACCTTTAAAATCTCTAGACCATTATAACTTCATTTCTAAACCTTTAGAATTTACTTTCTAGACCTGTATGATATAATCTCTAGACCTTTAGAATTTAGTTTCTAGACCTGTATAATATAATCTCTAGACCTTTAGAATTTAGTTTCTAGACCTGTATAATATAATCTCTAGACCTTTAGAATTTAGTTTCTAGACCTTTATAATCTCTAGACCTTTATAACTTCATTTCTAAAACTTTCTGGACCCTTTCTGGATCTTAGTAGATTAGAGTAGATATCTAATTTTGATTTATAATTATTTTTCTGTCATTGTATATCTGTCTTTTTGAATTGTCAGGGGGTTGTTGTCAGAAACGTTCTATAATTCTCTTCACTACTTTCAAAGATACAAGAGTCCAACACAATCTTATCCTTTGATAAAAAGAAGGAAGATTAAAATATTGCTAGTATGCATAGCTGTTAACTGTTTATGGTGTATATTTATTTCACCTTGCTTAACATATATTTTCTGGTAATTTGTGGATTGATCCACCCATAAAATCCGCAAAAATTGATTTCCAACGAATGATATGGCTCTCAAATTTTGTTAATTGACCGAACAGGAAAAATGCACAAAAATTGAACTCATATATACCTAATAATGAAGAGATTTATAAAAAAAAATGTTTCTGGTGAGAATTTTCTGAATATTTTATATAAAAATGAAATAATTGGTTACAAACTGTTTTTAATTGTCTAATATTTTCATTTTCTGTTTTCATAAGGCCTCCATCTTGATTCAGTAAGGCGGTATGAGTCAGTCATTGTCCAGCCCTTGATACAGCTAAAGCCTTAACCAATCAGTTAAGTGGTTGGAAGTAACTTTACTGTGTCTAAGGCAAATGTTGCTTTATTAAAGACAAGATCTACATTGACAGAAAAATCCTGATACTGTATCGAGGGCTAGGTGTTGAATGATTCACACATCCTTTAATGATCACGATGGTTGACCCCTTGCATTATGATAATCACTATTTAAACAGGTTTCTTTAACTTTTTATGTGTATCGGGTCATTTGAGGCTTCTGATTGCCTCATTCCAATTTTCAATCAGATGTCTGTGGTTCCTACAATTCTACTAAAAGTAACATTTTATGACATCACTATCGAAAAAACTGCTAGGACTATTGCAACATCATCAGACACTTAGCTTTGTGGAATCATGAGAACCACAGACTAAAATTTGGAAGGGTGCAAATTGATGCTAACAGTGTCCCTGATACACTAAAAAGGTTAAGAAAATCGCTCTACAATCCTTTTAACAGCTGATACATGTCTTGCATCATGGTAAATTTGGATATTCCCTTGTTGATTTTCACTCACTAATGTTTTTTTCCCTGTTGAATTAGATTGCTACATTGGGTTTATAAAACTAACTCGTTCCACACTGATTTACAAGGGGGCAGACTCAGGATTTGGGGAGAGGGGTTTGGGGGGTTGTTCCAAAGACTCAAGTTTTGAAGGGGGATCTTACAATATTCATATTTGAAGTCAAGGGGGTGTAGTATGGGGATTTGGTGGGTTTGGACCATATTAGAGGTGTTATAAGTTTGTAAGCTTGAAATCAGGGGGGAAGGTACAAAACTAGTTCAAACTTGAATTGTTGCATTACTAAAATTTGGGCTAGGAGGTGTTTAGTGTTTGAAAAAAAAATTGGACAATAACCACCCCTCTTCAAATTTGGCTTCATAAAAAAACAGGGAAAATCCCAACCAATCTACACCCTAGACTAATCCAATATTGTCTGAAATAATATTAATATGGCTTTCATATTTGCTTTAAAGCAGTACAGGTCCGCAGCATGGTAACGGTTATGGAGCTCATAATACTGGTTACCGTGACGATGGCTATAGGGGAAAATCTAATGGATATCCAACGCATGCTGAAGGCCCTCCCGGCTACAATGACGGCTATAGAGGTAGACCAGCGCCCCGTTTGGAGGCGAATGACACTAGTATAGGTGATGGGGTCCCTTATTATTACTATCCACCCCCTAACGAAACCCCACTGCCGGCTTATAGTCCTCAAAAATTCTAACCCATACAGCTGTAAGTAACATCTCAGTAGTTAACTAACTTCATGTGACCATATTCTCTCATTTTTAACACATCTGGCTTTCATTTTGTAAAAAGGAAGGACGAGGTATATCTGGCTTTCATTTTGTAAAAAGGAAGGACGAGGTATATCTGGCTTTCATTTTGTAAAAAGGAAGGACGAGGTATATCTGGCTTTCATTTTGTAAAAAGGAAGGACGAGGTATATCTGGCTTTCATTTTGTAAAAAGGAAGGACGAGGTATATCTGGCTTTCATTTTGTAAAAAGGAAGGACGAGGTATATCTGGCTTTCATTTTGTAAAAAGGAAGGACGAGGTATATCTGGCTTTCATTTTGTAAAAAGGAAGGACGAGGTATATCTGGCTTTCATTTTGTAAAAAGGAAGGACGAGGTATATCTGGCTTTCATTTTGTAAAAAGGAAGGACGAGGTATATCTGGCTTTCATTAAAAGTTTCGTAAATTGCAGCCCAATTAAAATTAAACATTCGTTCCATTCTTAATAAGCTTTTAATTTTAATATAGCCACTTCGGTTAGAGTCTAAGCCTTCTTGAATATTCATCTGTTTGATGATACCGCCAACCAATCACATCACTGCTCTCTCCAAAGCTTGTATTTTTTGATACGAACAAAATGTGTATTCAGTGTCTAAGGCTTCTCAAAATACACCTTTTGTTCGTCACAAAATCCCAGCGTTAGAGAAGGCAGGAATTTGATTGACTGTTGGTGTCATCAAACAGACAAACATTCAAGAGAGCCATCTTTAGACCCTAATTGAAGTGGCTATATTAAAACAAAAGCTAATAAAAAAAACAGAACGAAAGTTTGGTCTAATTTTAATGAGGTTGCTTTCATTGAAATATGAAACTGTTTTGAAGCCAGATTATCGGCTGAACGTGTAGATATTTATTATATACATTGTAGTTATATGGGCTTTGTTCATTGGTGGAATGACTTGAATGTTTCCAATAGAGAATACCAGAGATTATTGAGATTAGCTGAATCTGAAACCCAGTAAGAAGATTAAACAAAAATATGGTTCACGTTGTTCCAAAAAACATGACCATATTTTGATAACGATTGCAAATACAAATAGGTTCGAATGATTAAGACCCTCTTCACAATGTCAAACTATTACGAACTATGTCTAATACCTTGACTGCAATTACCACTTTTCTTGAATCAGAGAAATTTGTAAATGCAGCGAGTTGATTGGATTGTATGCTAACTAATACAGCCAATCAATGTCCTCAACAGAAAGTCTGTGAACAATCACCCATAATGTTTACAGCCTGTGTGTCGAGGGCTCTGATTGGCTGTATCCGATAACGTACAATCCAATAACATTGCTATATTCCATGATACAAGAAAAATGCCTAATGATGTCAAGGTATAAGACACAATTCGTAATAGCTTGACATTGTGAAGATAATAAAGGCATACAAAGCTTGGAGAACGCGGTTCAAATAACAAGGAATATGGTCACATCAAGTTAATTACTTATTAATACTGACATTGACAGTTCAAATATTCTTTGTTTTTTGTGTAATTAACATATTATGATGAAGTTTCTGTTTCATAAAATCAATGAAATTGTCTTCAAGTCATGATTTATTGTAAGAAAATGAAATATATTATGTTTTTCCTTTTTTTGATAATTTTGTATTGATTTCCCCAAAACTTGATTTGGATCATTCGACATGGAAAGTTGAAAACAGGCTTAAATATGTTTGAAAACAGAAAACAGGCAATATGTTAGATTGAGTCTCTAAATAATCCACAAAAAGGGAGATGATTTGGACTGTCAAGTTCTAATGATTTTAACTAATGCTTGCTATACAATGCTTTATATTTACTTACCCACTGCATGTTGTTATATACTAGCTAATAAGACTAATGGTTCTATTTACCAGACATGTCTGACAAGGCAGTTCAAATGTTTGGACATCAAAAAGCCTCTGTCAGGTGTCAAGTTTATTCAGATACAGTCAAAATTTTTGACTCAAAAACCATTGATTTTTCTTACCTAATGGCTAGTAGTCAGGAAATAAAAAAAAATCTAATATCTGTGTAAGTAAGCTAGTATGAAATGTTTGTAGGCTGAAGCCATGAATAGACTAGGTACGGCGTCTGGTGTGGAATTATCAATACAGTAGAAATAGTAGAAGTGAATCGCTGTGTCCAGATCCATACTAGTTCCTCTCGTATTCACTTCTCCTTGTTTCTGCTGTATCCATAATCCTACACTGTTCACAGCACCACATATCGTACCTCGTACCTCGTCTAGTACCTCAATATTATTTTAATTTCTTTATTGAATGTCATTTTAGAGAGGAAACCTCATTATTAATTCCTGAAGATTAAGGTAGCCTTTTTTAAAAAAGAATTCTAGTAGAACATTTTAATCAGTTCATCATATTTAGAAGAGTTCACAAACCAATTAAAGGGATTGAAAAGAGGATTTCTAAATTTATACGTGTATCAGAGACACTTATAGCATCAATTTGGTTCATTCCGATTTTCAATCAGATGTCTGTGATTTCTGCAATTCCACTGAAACGAAGTATTAAATGACATCACTAATTGCGAAGGTCCTGATGTGATAAAGCCATCAAACACTTAGTGTTAATGGAATTGTAGGAACCACAGACGTCTGATTAAACATTGGAATGGTCCAAACTGATGCCAGATACAAATAAGAAATTTAGAAAACCTTTTTACAATCCCTTAAAAGATTTTTTGCTTAGAGCCTCTTTCAGAATATTTTCTAAACTTAATCTTCTCGATTTTTTAAAAATTTTGTTTATCTTTCATTAGATGAGGTTTTTTTCTTTAATTGTGACTTCAATTTGATGTCAAACATAGGAATATTTTAGATATTTTGAAAATTTTTACTTTTTTTTTTAAGACAGCTAAACAGGATTGGTAAGTTTTAATGAAACCATGGTAACAGAAGTTTTTTTAAAATAAGAGTATTTGCAAAAAAAAAAATGATAATAATCATAAAGAAGTGATTAAAAGCCGTTGTCGAGAAAAGAAATCTGAACAAATTTTTTTTTCGTAATTCTTGTTGAAGTTAAGAACAGAACATTAAATTCAATTCCAAATCTGATAGATGAACTTAATAATAATAATAATAATAATATTCCAAATAAGCTGTCAATGGATTTGCTAAGTGCAATTGAATAAATCTCTGAATTTTTAGTATAGGGCTGTATTGAAACGAGATTCAATGAAAGCACTGGCCAAGTTTACAGAGCAATAGATGATTGATCATTTGGAAACAAAGTTTTAGCAAGTTAAAAAGAAACGAACACACTCAAAAATGTTGTATGATCATTGAAACCAGTCCTGAAAAATTTCTAAAATAATTTTGAGTGTTAGGGTGTATTGAGACCAGTCTGAATAAAAGCACTGGCCTAGGTAACAGAACAATAGATAAGTCTATTGATTATGTGAAAATTAGTTAGTCATTAGTATGATTTTAGTTGAAAAGACACACACACACAAACATACAGCGTGAGAGTGTGTATTGTAGTTAAAACACTTTAGTCTAACCAGACGTCTAAGCATCTATATAATTCTTGCATAGTGTTTCTGTCTGCCTTTTTCAAGATGCATTTTTCTGATCTGTAGATTTCACCTTTGATTATGTCTTAATACCTTCTAGCTAAATTATTGCTCTAGATATTTTGTTTCATTATTTTCTTTGGGTCACTTCACTGATTCTAAATCTCTTTTCATCAATGATACTCATCGATTCAACTAATCAAATTAGTTTCCGATACCCAGACTTCTCCTTTTTTCATTGCTGTGCGCAGACTAAGTTTGACTGGATGATAAAAGCTAACATCAAGCCATGCATGCGTTCAATTTTAAACAAATTATGGCTTCTCTGATCGTTCTTATTGAGAAGACTGTTATCAGATCTAGAATATTTGAAGTACCCCACAGAAAAGAAATGAAACAAAATCTAGAGTTGTATTTTTATAGTATAAACAATTTTATCTAATTACATTAATTATTGTAGTTTCATCAGCACACGCCCTAACAACCATCTTCACACGCCCTAACAACCATTTTCACACGCCCTAACAACCATCTTCACATTTTATATTTTTATCTTCGTATTTTCATCATCCATATTTTATCATATTTCCTGTATTCATTCATTCATTATTAATTCTATATTTTTAAATAATGTTTTTTACAAATTTTTGCTCAAAAATGAAGGAAATGATTGGTTAAATTGAAGTAAAATCATAAAGAAATGTTTCTATTTGAAGTGTTATTTAGTTGTTAAACTGGATGGCATTATATGGATAACAATTACTTCAATAAATAATATCCAATGCTTACACAATGTTCCTAGTCTTTCATGGGGCTTGATACCAACGGTCCATCGACTTACTGAGAGTGTATATAGCTTGAATTCAAAATGCATGAATGTTCTGTAGGTGTACTTGAGTTAACTTGAGTATAACCAGAGTACACGACAGCTTATCATGTGACGTCTAACTCTCAGGATAACCAAAGCTCAATAAAGACAAGAGAACCATCAACGAAACGTCTTCTGTTATTATCCATATTCTTGTGTCCAGTTATTGAAAAATTAAGTATCAATTTTAGAAATTAATCGAGACTTACCAGTGAGGTGAAATATGATTGTATATTGTAAGAATTGTTTTGTTTTCTTTCAGCAGACCATGGTCATAGACACGGAGGGGGAATTCCTACTCGTTATTAATTCAACCAATCGGAAATCCTACGAATCATCTCTTATAATCATCATAATTTACTGATTAATGAAACTGATGTATTATATCATATTATCTTTACTAATGTGACTTTTTGATTTGCCAGCCAAATTAAAAAAAGATTTAAAAAAATTCGAATTTAAATTAACCAATTTTTATGTTTTATTTGGGAGAAAATCATTCCAGTATCTTTATCACTTTGATATTATCTTATAATATTCACCAT